GAAATGGGGGATGCATACTTGCTCCTACGTCTTCGGATGGGTTTCGGCGAGTCGGCTTGAGGCGACGTCACTGTGCTGGAGGATGCGGAAGACGGCATTGGAGGAGGTGATATCGCGTCTCCTCTCGCGAATGCATTGCTAGCTGTTGTTGCAGCTGCGATGGCAGCAGTCACGGTCGCCTTGTCCGATTTTCTGTTGATTGGGCGGATCGTCTGCTCCTGGAAGTCGGGCTCCGCAAGCTCTTTCACAGGTTTAATTGTCATCAACTGCTCACCCTCCAGAGCGTCGTTATCCCAGTTGGCGGACACATTGCGGGAGTCACTTGACGCGAACTGCTTCAGCCGGTCGCTGGACAGCAGGCCGCCAAAGTTGTCGTGGGGCTTAAGGTTCTGCAGTGCCGTTGGCGAGATGGCAGTTGCAAAATCATTATCCCAGTTGTCCTCATCTTTATTGCTTGTTAGATAGGGATCGAAGCTGACAAAGGAGAAACAAAAAAAAAAAAAAAAAAAAAAAAAAAAGAAAAAAAAAGAAGAGAGAGAGAGAGAAAAAAGAACTGACCTGCAAGCTCGGGTGAGCTGAAAACGTCGGCCATTGGTCGGGGTTTGGCAAGATGGAGCGCGCGAGCGCCACGTTGAATCTCACTGGCACCGTGCCTTGAGATTAGCGGCCCCATCAACGGGGGTCCCGAGTTGTCTGAACCGGTCGAAGCTCTCAAGTTTGTCTCGGACGACTCAAGAGCGCGGTTCCAGCGCACGACTTCTTCGACAGCTTCCGACGGGTTTTTGGAGACCGGTGCGTCACTCCGACGGCAGCTCACGATCCAAGGGTGCCGGCCCAGCTTTTTCGCAGATACTCTCAAATTGGGGTCCTTCTGGAAGCATTGCATGAGGAAGTCCCGTGCGGCCGGCGATACGCCCTCTGGGAGTGGTGGGTGGTCATCGTTGACGATGGCAAACAAGGCTGGCATGGCAGCCAGGTTGTGGTAGGGTGGCCGACCCTGCAACAGCTCGATCACAGTGCAGCCTACGCTCCAAATATCAGACGCAGAGGTTGCGCCGGATAGCTGGATGATCTCGGGGGCCATCCAATATGGTGTGCCGACAACCTGTGCTTCCTTATCTGGACCGGCCAGACTGCTGGTGGAGACACCAAAGTCGGCGAGCTTGACTGTACCGTCTTTTGTAGTCAAGATGTTTGCGCCCTTGATGTCGCGATGAATGACACCTTGGTCATGAAGGTACTGCAGGCCTTGCAAAACCTGCGTCATGTAAACGCCGACAAGATTCTCGGGGAACTTTCCATATGCTTTGCATATGGAGTGCAACGAGCCGTTTTCGCAATATCTAAAGGGACTGTTAGCTTAAACGACAAAGAGATCTGCGGTGGCCCGCGCATCCCGAGTACTGGAACAGCATACTCTAATATGATGTTCAGGCAGTCAACGGATTTGACAAAGCCGATGTATTTGACAATATTGTCGTGCTAGAAGGCGAGAAGGGTCAGTAATGTAGGCCTCAGTACTGCTCATCGGCAGACAGGCTTGACACCGGGTGCCACATACGTGTAGGTTTTTGAGTAAGTCGATTTCGGCCTATGGCGGTAACATGTTAGCATCATATGTCACGTACAGTCTCTAGATCCATAGAGGGCGCTAAGATATACCTCAATCATGCGCAGCTCGCTCTTAGGCAGGTCCGTCAGCTTGATCTGCTTGACGGCCACGGCCTCGCCGGTCCCCCAGTTGAAGGCCTTGTATACAGAGCCGAATGCGCCCTTGCCAATGCAATCTCCTAGACGCTGTGCATGTGTGATAGTTAGCAGGTATCGCGGACAGGCGACAAAGAGTCTGCGGTGGCACATCGAGTGAGAAGGCCCTGGAAAAGCTGGCATAGCACATACGTAGTCTTTGAGTCCTGGGTCTTGTAACGCGCCAGACCGGTCCCGGCTGCTCGCACTTGCACTGCTGCTGCTCGCAGCCTTGCGCAATGCCGGTGCCTGTGCCGACGAAGCGGATGATGTGGTTGATGGAGGCGCACCGCCGCTGGCATGGGCACTACCACGGCTCCCGCCGCCGGACGACGACGGTGCATCCCTCCTTGGCGTTCCAGGGACGACTTTGGCTGCTGCCACACGTACATTGCTGCCGCTGCCGCTTCCGCTTCCGCCCCCGCTTCGGGTTCCGCTCCGGCTGCCACTCTGGCTTCTATTCCTGCCGCTGCCGCTGCCACTGCTGTTGCCACCATTACTGCTCTCTCCATTCAGGCGCCGTTGTCGGCTTTCGTGACTCGTATGTGAATGTGAGTGCGACTGCGACTGCGACTGCGAGTGTTGCGCGCGTTGCTCCGCCGCAGAGGAGCTGCCTGACGCCATGGCCGAAGGGGCGCCAGGGTGGGATTTCGCCGGGACGTGCACTCGGCCAAGATTTCACCGTCTATCCAAGCCCGGAGAGTCTGTAGATGTTCGCAGTTGCGGTGTGTCGCGTCGTGTAACTGCCTCGGCGACGGCAGCTCAGCTACCGGAGCATGTGCGAAGTCGGGATGAATCGGTCAAGGAAGTGAGTGGGGCCGTTCGACTCTGGCCGGAAGAAAAGTATACACTATAAGGCCGTGGGAAATCGGGGGTTAAGGTGGCTATCAAATCGGGCACCATTCACGGCTCTCGTGAAGGTAGAGGGAGGACGTGTTGAGACGAGGTGCTTTGGAATGGGCGTGCTGGTGCAATCCCTGTGGCTCTAGGTCGCGTCGAAAATGAGAGCTCGGGGGGGTGTTTGAGGATGTGCTGTTCTTCTCGTCTGCAGCCTCTCAGAGTCCAGGAAGCAGATCCGTCGATGCTGGTGACTTTCTTGAGCACTGCGTTGCATGAGCCAGGCGCGTCAAAAGGCAATGCCGTCGCAGCCGCCCACAGAGGTGGCCGAATCGTTACGGCAAAATTGTTGTCGAGACGGGCTGTCGTGGGAGCCGCTGTCGTGCGCGGTGTGCAAAGAGAGAATGCGCAGCGACGATGAGCTCAGGCGAGCGAGCAAGACCCAGGTCGTGTCTCTTGTCGTTTAACGTTTGGCCATTCGCAATGCTTGGCTGTTTCCAGCTTGCCGTGTGTTGTTTTTTTGGGTGTCCACCCTTTTTGGCTTATGGATGTGGAGGAGGGGACAGCGACCGTCAGGTCAGGGCCAGTGGGCATAAAGCGGGTCGAGGCTGAAAGCTGGTCGGACCAGTCGATAAAAACGCAAGGGGAGAGAACAGTATGGAGGGGACTAAAACGCGTGGTGTGGTGCACAACATGGCCCATATCTGACGAAGACGATGTCGAAAGGAAGAATCAAAAAATTGGGACATACAAAAACCATCGTGAATTTCAGGGGTGGGCGTATTCGACGTATTATGTGACTGCCCGATACGGGTTGTATTTACAGTGAAAGTGTAGTCTGTAATTACTGGAAAGCACAAAGGAAACAAAAGGCATGGGCGATTAGCAGGAGCGAAAGAGAAACATTCCAGAGCAGAGTGACGGCAGGAGCGACTTGTGGCCATAGCAATGCATTCCTACCCGGGCACAAAAGTCACTCGGCGGGCAGCTTCATAGCAGGAGCGTTTAAGCTTTGTGCAAACGTGCTCTTGCCCAAGTTTCGATACCCGAATCCGTGGCAGCTGGCACACCTAAATGGTCTGCCAGGGGAAGGAGCACGGAGGGCTTCATTTGGATCGCAACCAAAGGGGAAAGGGCAATACTGAACGCGCGATGGGGAAACCCTAGAAGGAGTGGTGAGAAAGAAAAGGAAGAAGCAAAGGGTTCGGTCAAGGCACCCGGGTAAGTGTGTGTGAGAACGGATTACTGGCCGGAACAGAAGAACCAAACGGGGCTCGAGATTAATAGAACCCGATTTTATATTGAGCACAATACACGAAAAACACGTAAAGCACCCATGCGCGTGTCACCGAAAAAAAAAAAAAAAAAAAAAAAAAAAAGAACAAAGAGAGAAAAGGCTAAAAATGAGCACAAGTGTGTGATAGGTGAGCTGGATGGACGGATCACGGCGACACGCAAAGCTGGTTCTCGTTTCACGTTCGGCCCTGAACTCTGGCACAGGAGAGGAGAACGCAGCACGATACCAGGATTGAGCGACCGGTGGATCACAGCGCCATATGCGACCTTCTACAGACGCCAGAAATAGTGCAAGTGGAGCATGCAGTGTTCAGTTGTTTCCAACCAGACGTTTATTTGATATTGCAGTTCCCCGTCCATTTTACAGTCTCTTCGACATAAGGGTCACGATACTTGTATTGTGTCACTCCAGCCCAGGGGCAACTGTTCGGCGCTGAGGTACAACATAATAGTCACGAAAGAGACGGCAGCAGGGGTCGTCCATCTCGTAGAGAATCCCTGTGATTCCTGTTTTCTGTCCAGGCTCTGGTCTTGGACGCTTGCTGCATGGGAACAGACGCAAAATTCGGACCTAACTTCTCTCGGGGAACGGGGGAGCACACGGTCATCTCAGTACGTTTGTTGAATCTTCGTCCACTCTTCTTCTCATTTCGTCCGCCTTTTATGGAATGTGCCGTGAAATATTTCGTACAATGTCTCGCTTTGCGAGTGGCGATGCCAACCAGTTCGTCTGGTTTATCCTCCTGTCCTCAGCCATTGAAGCTGCGCTCAAAAAATAGCAAAAGATGACGTCTCAAACACGAAAACGCAAAAAATCAAAAAAAAAAAAAAAAAAAAAAAAAAAAAAAAAAAAAAAAAAAAAAAAAAAAAAAAATAAACAAAAAAAAATCAAAAAAAATTCGTGTCAAAATCAAGCAAAATATCAAGACTCAAAAGCCTGCAAATCAAACAACCAAGAAAAATAAAGTCGCCTTGGCCCAAATCGTTGGGTGCTCAAAATAGACTACCACAAAATTCCAACGCCATGCCATAATATCCTTCCGCCTAGGTAAACTTTTGGCGTCAAAACGAGAAACAAAACAAAATCAAACGCTGTCCGTCAGAAAAGGGATCGAAATTCTCTAATTCGACGCTTCACGAGGAAGCGTGCGGCTCAGACCGGCCTCAGCCCACCACTCGTCCGGAATGTCTTCGCGCCGAGCCAGGCTGCGCACAATATGCTGCATACCGCCAATGCCGAGAGTGTCGAGCGTCTCGTCTGTGTTGTTGTTGTTACTGTCGTTGGTGTTGCTGCCGCTGCCGCTGCTGTTGTTGGTGCTGGTATTGGTGTTGGAGTTATTGGCGCTGGTGTTGCCGGTGGTGTTGTCGTTGGCGTCGTGGTTGTCGGGATGAGCACCACCAAAGCCAGTACGCATCGGCCGATCACGGCTCGCAAAATGTAGCATGCGCTCCATCGGATCCGCGCCACCTTGTCCAGGCCGGCGGCCAGGCCGTTCGTCGGACAGGCCCAGTAGATACGCCCGCGCCTCTTCCGCCTCGCGTTCCTCCTCTTCGTCGTAAAGGCCCTCCTCGTCGCCATCTCGGTGCACACCATCGTCCATCTCAGAGTCTTCGCACGCCACATCGTCGGCATCGTTCTCCAGGCCATTGAACAACACAGGCGACTCGTCTGCCGTTTCGGCATCCGCCGACACCACTGTAAAGGGCGAGCGAATGCGCTGAGATGTGCCCGCAGACGTGGCACCCGAAGGCACGCTATCGGTGAGGACTGGGTGGTCTTCCGCGAGCCATGACGGAGTGCGCGACATTTCAACAAGGACTGGTGCGGGTGTGGAACCGTTTGTGCCGTTGTCATTGTCGTCCTGGTCTCTCGTGACAGGCGATGGGACGGCAGGAGGAGCAGGCACAACCGGTGTCTGCGTCACGGTCGGCTGAGACGAAGAGGCCCACGCCGACTGGCCCTGCGCCGTCGCAGCAGCCAGCGCCGACGTTGAGGAGACAAACGACAAGCCCACGCTAGGAAGTTGCGGGTCGGCCGTCAGGGTCGTCAGGATCGTCTCCCAAGAGTTGACCTCGGGGCTCAGGCTGCGACGGCGGTCACCAAGCCCGTCGACAGGGTCCACAGGGACCCCGTATCCGTCTTCGAGTGGGTTGCCGTCCTCATCAGTTAGATCATAGTCGCCAGAGCGAAGCGGGGCGTCACGTCGCGATGATGTTTCTGGCAGCGGACGGTGACGATCGCCGTTCACGTCGAGATACCCAACCCGCCACGCATGGCGGCGACTGGCTGCGGCGTCGGGTGTCGCCCGGCCGTTCGAGCCAGGTGTGGAACCGCCACCGTTGGGGATCTGGCTGGTATCGCCGAAAATGCGGGACTGGGACGATTCGCGGGACTCACGGGACCGGCTGGTGGCGCGATCGTTGCTGTCGGACCAGCCCACGGTCGGCCGTCTCGCAGGTGCAGATGCATTCTAATTTGGTTTGGTCAGTAGCCCCTCTGGTTTTACTAGTACACAGCACGGTAGATTATGTGTACTTACTGTAACACGGCGCAAAGAGGACGAACGCACCAACCGGTGACGGGAACGGACATTCGTAGGTCTCGTCTCGGAATCGGGACCATCGGAGTCCACAGATTCACGGGGCTGCTGCTGTTGGAGCGCTCCATCGGGCTGCGATGTCGATGTTGATGTCGGGTCGAGACTGTGGACAAAAGCCGAAGACCGGGCCAAGCGGCTGCCAAGTGCTGCCATAAGCTCCCCGGTGTATGCGTCGTCGGAGTCTTCCAGGCTACTGGCGATGGCTGCGGTCATGAGCGAGCCAGGCCCTTCTTCGAGTAGCGCCGAGGGCGTTTCGCGGGCGCGGGACACAACATGTTCGTACCAGCGCCGGTGTTCTTCGCGAAGACCGCCGCCACCGCTAATAGCAGCACGTCGGGTGCTACCGCTGGAGTTCCCGTCCGCAATGTGGCCGTTGATTCTACCTCTCGCCTGTTCCCGGGCGTGGCTCGCCGCTGCCCTCGCTTGCTCGGAGTCGCGTGTGAGATACTGCTGGAGTAAATGTTCTCCCCTTGGCGCCGGCGGCGCAGACAGGTCATACGCGTTTACCAACGGTTCCCGGGTGCGGTTTAACCGTTCGCGCTGGGATTCGGGAAGGGCACCGATATGCATCTCATGCCGACGCTCCATCCGCTCTTGCATCTCGTCCAGTTCTCGTTGCCGTTGCCGGATGTTGGCTCGCTGACTGTCGGTCAAGCTTTCGAGGCGAGGGAGGTTCGCCACCGCCGTGAGAATAGCACGACGGCGGCTCTGCACCAGACTCTCGATGCTCCGGCGCGTGCGACGGATGCGATTCGGGCCATGGGTAGGGCTGCTGCGACCGGCCGCGTGCTTGTCGTGCAGGTCAGATTCGACCGGGGCGACGTACAGACTGCGGTGTTGTTAGACAAAACAGCGGACGGAAACTAATGCATTTCAATCGCTGCAGTGGGGACGAGAACACTGCAGGCAAATTGTTTTGATGCGTCGGACGGCGCAAGTCATGAGAAGATCAGAACAAAACATACGGAAGACCCATCGTCGGGATTGTAACAAAATTGGCGCGTCGAATGGAAAGTGAAGCCGACACAAGTCTGCTGCTTCGGCCGTGTTTGTATCGTCGCGAGTGTTTACGCCGGTGATGCGACAGTAATCGTCGAGTGGAGAAACCGGAGGGCTGCAAGGGTTGGAGGAGGTTGGATGCGCAACACGCAAGAGTGCGAAAGCCGTGCGAATAAGGGCCAAATGAGAGTTGCTGGCGCGTTTTTTTGGTACCAACAAGCGACAGTCGACGTATTTCAGGAACCAACCCGGAACAAAAGTCGAGATCGTTTCAATATGAAAGTGTTCGGCACTTGGGTAGATGGAATGGTCGAAGGTGGATCGCGCGCGATGATGAAAGACGAAATCAACACAAGGGTGAAGAAAAGAAGACGAAACAAGACCTGGAATTGCAGAAGGAGGAAAAGAAGGAGGGAAAAGCTATTATGACATGAAAGAAAGGAAGGAACAAGTGCCAGGGGGAAAAAACAACAACAAACAACAACTTTTTTAAAACATCAACAACGAGGAAGGTGCGATCCGGATGGTGATGGCCAAAACGGAAAGAGTGAGGGCGCCGAATGATGAATAGGGAAGGAGGGCTGAGGCGAAAGGAAAGGAAGGAGGGGATTGGCGATCTAGGGGCGTCGCAGCGAAGCGATTTTGCGATTTGGTTTTTTCTTCCTTTCTCTCGCTCACCCATACTTTGACTGGCAGCCGCCGCCACCCCCGGGCCCGGCTCGCTGTTTTGACAATGTAGCTTTTGCTACTGCAACTTCACAAATGGTACGTACGAGGCGCCCGCTTGAGCGGCGACGGCCCCTGTCTCTAAATCGGGCAGTCGCGCAATGCTGGTTGGCTGGGGAAGGCGAAAGGCGTGTGGTCCGTGCTTTCCTCCTTTTCAGGCACCAACGAACCAATCATATGAGGTGTGCAGATAATACTGCCGACTCTCACCGCCCTAGTCCTTGAAACACCAACCAAGCATACGACTTTGCAGGCAGGTACGTCCCCCTTGTAAGGCGGATCTGCTGTGCCTGTCGCGTGTGGGCGTCGCGCCGCGTCCGCTAAGCGAGAAGAAAAGTCGCGTTCCTTCCGTCCAAAAGCGTGAAACGCGCCCATAGGTCTTGTCCACGACATTATGCCCCATTTTTATGCGATTTGCGTCACAGAGGTGGTTAAAGTGAATCTGGCAACGAACCTATGCACACGGTTTCACTGGTCTGCGTTGGCTATTGAGTCTTTCAAGCCTCCGTGACGTAACAGCCTCGTCTGTGGTCACTTATAACGAGGTTGATCTATCACCTATGTCAGTAAAACAAATGTCGTCCTCGATTTTTTTTTAAAATAAATAAATAAATTGAATAAACATCATTTGCTTCGCTCTTGATAGTGTAAGTGCTTTGTTTTTGTTTCGAGCGTCTTGAATACATGAATACATTGGTGAGCCTCTGGTCCGATGCTCTAACTGTCCATAAAAGGCACAAAGAATAATTATACGATGAGGACAGGAGAAAGATGACATAAGAAAGACATACCGTTTCGTTACCAAGTTACTAATGCATAGTATCTCTTGCATAAAGGACGAACATCAAAGGTGACACACGAAGAAAACCGGTGACCGTGAATGGAGGAGTAGAAAATACGAGAAACAAAGAAACCAGCCGCCTAGCCCTTTCTTAATACATAATACCGCCGTAGGAGTTGACGCAACCGGGGCATAAGGCCCAGAACGAAAAACAACAAAGGAAGAAAACGAAAACATAGTTGACATAAAAGGACATAAAGCGAAACAATAACAAAGCGGGGTATAAGGTGTGAAAATGGTGTATGCCGTGTAATTTTGCTTGCATAATTAAAGCGAGCCATATAAACACCCTCTCACAAAGAGAATAGAAAAGTAAAACGAGAGTCATAGGGTCAGCATCAGGGAGAAAATAGGCGAATCAAACGAGGAGGGAAACCAAGAAAACTAAAAATCAAATAAAACGAGATGGCAAAAGGGTGATGAGGAAGGGGTGGATGGATTGTGCTAAGAGTGTGGATTTAAATTTTGATAAAAAGGTGTGAATGGTTGTCATGTTTGAGACGTGGGTATCCAGCATGTCGTTCCTAGGATGTTAGAAGCCGAGTGTGAGGTTCTGAGGTTCTGAAGCTCTGAGGCTCTGAGGTTCTGAGATTCTGAGGTTCTGCACTTGTAGCACGCAGTGCGTGAATGACTATGTCGTCCAGAGCTGTTGAGGTGGAAAGTGGTAGAGGAAGCGACATGGACGTAGAAACATCTTTACTCCATCTTCCAGTGGTTGGTCAGGCCGCCGTCCATGTCATCGCTGCCCAGGTACATTTCGACGGCGTAGAGCACCATGACGCCCACAACATTGACCCAGCGCGTCGTTGTGCCGCCTGCGATCTCGCCTGCGCGCAGCAAGGACCAGCCGGCGTCGTGGCCAGCCGCGTTGGAGGCGACGGTAAAGTGCTGCAACAGCAAGCTGGTGTAGATGGCGATGAGGATCGAGGCGGAGTACCACGACAGGAACCCGAGCAGCTTGCTAGCGGCGTCCGAGTCCTCGAGCGTGGGCTCCTGCAGCAGGGCACGGGCGCCGGATTCGCGCACGGCGGGGATGATGCGCGTGGCGCAATAAAAGACAATGATGCGGTAGGTCAGGGAGATGATGACGGACGGCGTAATGGTCTGGAAGGCGGCGTGCAAAAAGTGAAGGGCGGAGCTAACAGCGGTCGGCAAGGTGCTCAGCAGGTGCACGAGCGTCGAGTAGGACGCCATGATGATGGGCGGCAGCGGCGGGAACTCGGGCTCGAGCGCGGCTGCTTGCTGCTGCTGCTGCCGGCGGCGCTCCGCGGCCTCGGGCGACGACGGCTGGTAGTCGGTGAAGATCTGGTACACGCACAAGACGACATACGCAAACAACAGGGACGACTCGACCGGGTTGCCGCGGCCACTGCCGATGCCGTAGGCCGACAAGAACACGACCGACGTAATGGTGACGCCAATGAGGATGGCGTCGATGTTGTCGATTTGCGGAAAGCGGGCAATGCGCGACAAAAAGTAGACGGCGCTCGCAATGACGGAGCCGGAAAAGACGACCAGGATTATCTATACGAACGCAGTACATGTTAGCCATCGAGCCATTTAGCAAATAGAGCAGTGTAGCAACGCTCTCGTCGGATTCGTGGATGCCCGTGGCAGAAACTACGCACCAGCCATGAATCGCTTCGACCGCGGTTGACAAGCCAGCGTGTGATCTGGCCGGCGGCCTGGATGACCAGCAGTGTGCAGAAGCCCTCGAGGACCTGGAAAATAGGGCTCGAGTACTGCAGCGACTTGTCCCAGCCGCCCAGGGCCGCCGACTCGACAATACCGCCGCGGCCAAAAATCCAGTCGCTCCAGCTCGTGCTGGCCGGCCGGCTCGTAAAGACGGAGGACGAGGCACTCGCGCTGGCGGCGCTGGCAGACGCGCTAGCACTCATCTTACTGCTGACGCTGCTGCTGCTGCTGCTGGCACCTCGACTGATGAGGCCGAAAAAGTTGGAGATGCCAAAGCCGCCTCCGCCGCCGCCGCCGCCGCCGCTGCCAACACCACCGGCGGTGCTTGCGCCGATGACGCTGCTTACGACCTTGCTGGCACCACTCTCCCCGCCGGTAACGTGGGCCACGGTGCGGGCGACCCAGTCGGTGCTGCTTGCGTCGATGGAGAAGCGGCTCAAGGACCAGATCAGCAGGCTGGGAATGACAACCCACTGCGACAGGCGTAGGGTGGCGGCGACGGTCCAGCGGAGGCGCTGCGCGCTGGCGCGGTCGGACGGGGCGACGAGGCGCACGGCGATCTTGATGGACGAGTAGGCGCTGTAGTAGAGGAAGAGCGCCAAGCTGTAGGCGAGACCGGCGTCGCGACCGCCGACATCAAAGGCGATTGGGATCGAGAGGACGACGCTCAGCAAGAAGATGGTGCTCAAGAGCACCCGAAATATCCACAACATGTTGTCTGGAAAAACGGCAAGACACGGGGGAGAAAGAAATCGAGAAAAGAAAGAAGGGCGTGACTATCGATGTCGATGTCGATGTCGAGACAGCCCAGAGCGTGCGCGCGGAGAACCGCGCAGCGCGCGCTTTGGAGGTCACTCTTTGTCAAGCCCCAACTCGGACGGAAGATAGGAGGCGAGGACGAGCACGATCGCTGGCCGTGTCGTGGGGTTCGAGACGGCGGGACAGTGAAGGCCGCACAAAAGAGTATCAGCACCGGCAAGATCGTCGTGTCGCGATTCGCTGGCGTCTCTTGTCGCGTTCGGCGAGGTCGAGCGAAGGATCTTGTAGCGGCTATAGATGAAGGAGGAGCCGCGTCTGACGCCGAAGCTTGGTCGAGCAAGCGGGTCGTTCTGTCCGCCTGGTGTTGCTCTGTTCCGGTGGCCGGTTCTTTCGTCGTGTCGTTTGCGCCTCGAGAGGGTGTAAGCGTATGCTCTGACCGATTCGGGGGAGGAGAAGAAAAGAAAAAGAGCGCCGAAGAAAATTGAATAGGGAGGGGGTTTAAGTGAGGGCGGACGCGAAACGAGGTAAGGGGGAAGCCGTTTGCGACGGACTGGCAGAAAAAAGAGGTAAAGATGAGGGAAGGGGCTGGTAGGCGGGACGCAAGAAAGAATCTGGATAGACGTCGTGAGGCGAGGAGTGTTGATGCGAGAGTGACAAAGGAGAGGTTTTCTTTCCTTTTTTTAATTGTCCTTTTTTTTCAACAGCTTCTGACTTAATCTCGTCAAGACGTGGCAGGCACACGCCATAGGCAGGAACTGCTACGGGGAGCTAGGCGGCGTGCAGCATGCACTTTCCAAAAATTTCAAAGTGGATAGTGGAGAGTGAATGGTGGATGGATGGTGGTTGGGTGGGCAGGTGCAGGTGTGAAGCTTGCAGGTGTTAGGCTGCTAGTAAAGTCGCTACCACGGAAGGTCGCAATCCTAGCGGCAGGTGGGTTGGGCTGCTGGGCTGGTGGTACCGTATCTTCACGTGCCAATAGGGGACGGCGGGGGCAGCGTTCAGGGTGAACTACAGGCACTGATGACTGGGCCGCTGGAGCAAAGAATAGGAAGGGGCAAACGGCTGCTAAGGGAAAGTACGAAATACTCTGTTGTAATGAAGATGGAAGGAAGGAGAGAAGAGGCCAAGGATGAAGATAGCGAACGAGGCCGAAAAGGAAGGAGTGATTGACATGCCTCCAGCCGATGGAGATTTTTGCACGCAATTTGATCGCTGGAGGGCAGGTGGAAGTCGCGTGCCACTTTCCTCTTTCCTCTGTTCCCCTCATACAGGGAAGATATGCAGTGCTACTCCATCGAGTTGGTGTGATTCGGCGCGTGCCTGGGAAGGAACCGGGCGAGTCTGGATAAAACTGCGACGTTCTCCAACATGGTGTGTCTGGCAGACGGTGCGGAGGTCTCCGTTGAAGCCACCACACTTAGCATCGAGATTCAGATATGGCTGTGTGTGTGGTGCAACGCCAGATCTCTTCCAACGCCGGGTACGAAGCAGGAGAGAAGTAATTCGTACAGAAGTACGCTGAGACAAGAAGACGAGACCGAATGGGAGCTGAAAAACGACGAGAATCGCAAGGATTGTCGGTTTCTGTGATTGTTTGACGCAGTCTCTTCTCTTCGCATGGGCTCTTGACCTCTTTTCTTCTCTTTTCTATACCCTGATTGAGGCGAGCTGAGGATTGTTCACTTTGTCTACTTTTTTCTTTGCCTATGAGAGGTTCGTTCTTGAATTTCCTGCATATTTTCCCGCGGACAAGCTACACCGTACGAGTCGATAGTCTGCAGGCTCTGTCGTTGCGTTTGGGCATGTTCTTTTTGCAATCGCCTTGCAGCTTGTTTTCCCCACGTTGCTGATCTGTGCGGTCAAATATGCGGTGAAGACGAGCTGACAAGAGCTGAACTGAGCAGCGAACGAGAGGCGGCGGCGTGGCAGGCTGCGGCTGGGGAGTGGGTTGTGCGTGTGGGTGGACTCCGCGAGCTACGTACCGGAGTGGGTTGAGTGGACGGAGTGGGATGCGTCAGCGATGGACTCACAACCGACGGCGGCCATCTTCTGGCTGGACGGGGCGACGAGGAAGCGAGAATCCTGCCGAGCGGTGTGGAGAGTGCGGTCATACTGTTTGGGATTTTATTTTGACTGGTTCACGTCTCGTCACGTTCTTGAAACACAGCGCCCACCAAACAAGTCGAAGCAATCGGCGCGGCCCGGTCGTCGTGCGGGTGCATTTCACATAATACATCACCACAAGAACGGTGGATCATAGAGGACAGCAGAACTCGAAATAACGACATCGAACAAAGAGCGCTTTGATATTGGCAGGGTCGAGCCGCATGGGCAGAAACCGCAGAAGAGAAGAGTCTATCAAAAAGGCTACGTGATAAGTAATATGTATCCAAAACTGTACCAAGAAAGTACAGATTTGCAAGTGTAAAAACAAGACGCAACAAAAAGACAAAAAAGCAAGTCCCAACCCACGAGACCGGCAAGCGATAGCGTAGTGAGCATTGTCGCAAAGGCAGAGTCTCGGTCCCAACGCGCCGTCCCTTGTTTCTGTCAGCAATGGCGTAGTAGCACTGTTGCTGGTTCGAGTGTCTCCCCCAGAGAGCAAAAGATGGTTAAGTACCATAAAAAAGGAATAGAGAAATACGGGGGAGACCTCGAGGTAAAAATAAAGCGGACATGGCTGAAAACAACAATGGTTGGTTGTTTTCGTCGTCACCGTCCGACAGCGCATTCAAACACAAATGGGGGTATCATAATGTAGTCGCAGAAAAAATGCAGATGCAGAAACGAAAAAGAAAAGGAAAGACGAAAATAAGAGAAGCCACAAAAATTGCCGACCAGCCAGCTTGTGGAAAAGCAAAGAGAAGGGAAGTAAGAAAGGAAGTAGAGAAGAGGTGGCAAAGAAAGAATCCAGCCACGAACAACAAGCATCCAATCCATCAGCCCAGGGACCGTCCTTTGCTTGTGTCCCAACGATAGCGCGTTAGCATTGTCGTCATAAAGACAGCAACAAAAAGACGATCTATTGGTCAAAGATGATTGTAAACTGAGGCGACGAAGACGCGTTGAATAAAAAGACTGTTTTCAAAAGTGTCGTATAAAATGGCAAGGCAGGCTGGTGGCGTTAAAATCGAAGGAAAGGGTTAAAACATAATTGAGCCCCTGGCGGCAGGTTGCGCTGCCTTGAGGATGCGGGATCGAATCTCCACAGGCCATCCTTGTGTCATTGCGTATGCCCGCCCTCGAGCGGCTGTTGAAATGATGTCTCTTGAAAATTGAACAGAGATAGGGGCAAGGCGGACAAACGACGGGGCTCGCTCTCTAGTTGCCGCCAACCGGCAGTATCCGCGTAAAGCCGCGCTGCACAGCCTCGCGACGGGCAGCACCGTCCAGGACCTCGTCGTCGTTGGAGTCGTCGGCCGCCTTCGTCGGGGTGCGGCGCTTGTTGCCAAACAGGCGCAACAGCACGACGTTGATGAAGCTGCTCGCAATGCTGACCACCAGAATAGCAATCATGACGAGGTTGCTCTTGCGGAACTGGTGCGGGTTCTTGGGCGACGCATCGGCCGGCCAGCCCGTGTACAGCGCGTACGTCGTCGTGATGCTGCCCAGGTTGCCGAGGCCGGACACAAGCGCCGAGGCCGCGGCCACGCCGACCTCGCCGTGGCGGTGCTGGAAGATCTCGCCCGTCCACGTCATGCAGATGGGCACCGTGGGTCCCAGACCGAAGCCCAGCATCAGCATGCCGCCGTAGCGCGCCCAGGGATTGGACCCGGGCGCAAACGACACGACGAGGAGGCCGACGATCTGGATGCACACGGCGGCCGAAAAGAAGGCGGCGCGGTACCGGTGGAAACGGTCCGAGATGGGCGTGACCAGCAGGATGGCAACCAGGTCCATGATCCAGATGGGCGCAAACAGCAGGCTGACGACAATGCTGCTAAAGTGGGGGTTGATGGCGCTGATAATCACGGAGCCGTAGAGCTGCGTGCCAATGCCGACGCCGACCACGCCAAAGTACATGAGCACCAGCGGCCACAGGCGCCAGTCAATCAGCACATGCAGCAGGTCCCGCACCGTCCACGGGCGCGGGTGGTAGACACGGCGCATTTCGTGGTAGTGGACCAGCGCATCCTCCCCCCTCAGAGCCTCGGGCGACCGCGGCACCCAGGACAACAGGGGATGCGGGGGCCGGCGCGCGGTGCCCGGCGGCAGCGGACGGTCGGGCAGCCACCAGAGCAGAGCAACGCCGAGAACGACAGCCAGGAGGCCGTACACCAAAAACATCCACTGGAAACCAACCAGGCCGCCCAGGCCGTCCATCTTTTGGAAGCCGGCCGACACGAGGCCGACCACGGACGCCGACAACTGGGCCGCCGTGAAGTAGTAGCCAATGCGCTTGGCCAGGCGCGAGGGCGGGTAGAAGAGCGTCAGGTAGTATGCCATGCCGGGCCACATGCCGGCAATGACGACGCCGAGCAGGAACCGCAGCAGCTTGAGACTCCAGGCGGCCTGGACGGCCGTGAAGCAGACGCCGATAACGCCGACGGCGAAGACAATGCGGGCCATCCACACGCGGGGGCTGAGGCGGGTCATGATCAGGTTGGAGGGAAAGTCGAAGACGACGTACGAGACGTAGAAGAGCGCAAGCGCGGTGGAGACGTCCTTGGACGACAGGTGCAGCACCTTCATCAGGTCGTGGCCCTGGGCCGCGTTCATGGTCTGGGCGATGCCAATGTTGGAGCGGATGGCCGAGCAGAGGAAGTAGAGGACCCAGAACGGCGGGATAATGCGCCAGTCAAGCTTGCGGTACACCCGCTCAACGCACTTGGTGTCGTACTCGACGATGTCCGGGGCGGCCGTAGCGATGCCCTCGTCAGCTAGTGAGGAGGTGACGATGCCATTCTTACCCGGTTCCTGGCCGTCGGCGTCTTGGGGAGCCATTCTGACTCGGAAAACTGTGCTGTCTGTGAAGTGACAAGGAGAAGGAGGGGGCAGCCACAGGAGACAACAGCCAGAGGAAGCAATGGGACGCGTGCTAGCCTGGTTGTCTGTTCTCTGCAATCGTCAGAAGAGGTGAGGCAAACGAATCTCAATCTTAATCTCGCGATGCTGAAAGGGCAGATGGGGGCAAATTCCGCAAGGGGCCGGTGACGTAAGGCGGAGTGGATGGGACAGGGAAGGGGAAGGGGACGTAAGTGAAAGTAAGGACAGGAAATGGAAGAGAAGGGAGAGGCGAGGAGGGTAGAGGTGTGGAAGAGGAGAAGGAAAATTGACTCAACAAAAAAAAAAAAAAAACCTGTGATCCATAACCGAAAGTTGTGGGGCGGCAAGAGCTAACGCGGCAAAGCTAAAGAAGCCAGGGCGTGCTTCGCCGGCTCGCCGGGTCGGTCTGGGCCTGGCTGGCGCTTGACCACAACTGGTGCTAGTGCGAAGGAGAGCTTGTGCTGGTCGGGGAAAAAAAGAGGGGAAAAAGGAAGCAGCGATCAGGAAGGAACGGCGACACAGTTGCGACAGCTAAGGAAAGGGCGACCGGGGTGAACATGAACGAGACATCGAAGTGGTTATTAAAAAAAAAAAAAAAAAAAAATAACAACACAAAAGTCTGCACACAATTCGTCGTATACAACGAGGTTTGAAGTGACACGCACCGGGGCTCAGTCTGGCTCTCAGAAGACATCCGGGCGAGAACCTCTTTGAGGAGACTGTTACGGACACGGGTCGCGCAACAGGGCTACAATGAGCGGCCAAAAGTTTCCATAAGACAGAGTGTCTATAAGAAAGAGTGTCCATGAGACAGTCTCCTCTGCGATATTTAGGTAGCACGAAGGAGCTGGTGTGTCGTTAATGTCTGGAACCGATATGATGATGCTGTTGTTGTCTCCTTGAACATCTACGTGCAGTCAACGATCCCGTCTTATTTGTGTTCAATTTGCATTCTTTTCCTCCTTGCAGTACCTACATATCTGCTGGCCGATGCCACTCTCTGCCGCTGCTCATGGGCTTTATCTGTACATCGACTTTGAAGCAAAGTACGGCTTATGGCGAGGCTCTTCAAGTCCAGTCCACGGTCACCTGTCAAAGCAGCTGACGTTCCATGCCATCTGACAATCTCCATTGCATTCATTATTTAAAAAATCCAGGCCGTCTCCGCTAGCTACTGAAAAAACATTTGGTATCCTTCCTGCCGTGTCCACCGCTGGCGGCTCATGCACCATTCAACCATCAACGCCGACGCTTCGGCGCGGGTTTCCGCTTTCTGATGCCCGCACTTCCTTTCCTCTGTTTCGACCGGCTATTGTCTGCCGTGGCAGCTTGCTTTGCCGGTTGTTGTCCTTTTCCACGGCGCGTCTGCCGCGCTGGCTGCGGTTTCACTGGCGCTGGTGGCTGTCGCGCGGCCAAGGCGGCGATGCGAGCACTGCGCCGGAGTGGACGTGGCTCTTGAGGTGGTGGCATTGCCTTTTTCCGTCGAGAGGCCCGCGTGGGCGCCGGCTGCGGCAGTGATGGATGTGGCAGCTGATCACCGCCCGGACGTTCTTCGTCCGGCTGGGACGAAGAAGCGACGTCGCCAGCAGCGTTGCCATCGTCCGCGGCCTCGGCTGCGGCCGCCGCTGCTTCTGCCGCCGCGGCCTCCCTCGCGAGCTCGGCCCGCCTCATGTCCTGCATCATTCTCGCAAAGGGATTCGTCGGCGGCTTTGTAAGATCAATCGGTGATGGCGGTCGTGGTGGTGGCGTCGGAGGTGCACTGGGGATGTTGTCAAACGCATCGGCTTCAGAGGGAGTAAGTTCCAGGCCGGCAATATCTTCAACGTCCGAAAGGTCGTCCGGCTCCGGGCTTGGACTCTCGTGGCGCCATTTCCAGCCGACGACACTCTTGCCATGTAATTGGTGGTTCCACTTGTCTTGCCAATCACCACGGTCCACCCATCGCTGGTATGTGTCCCTCTTGAAACTGGTGCGTTTTGCACGATTGTCGAAACGATCAGCTCTGCAAAACCACTCTACAGACTCCAAGGAAAACTGAAACCAAGGGCGGGACGTAATGAACGACTCCTTTTGAGAATCCGAGGACGACGCGGTCAAGTGCGAGCGAGGTTGGACCGGGGCATATTCGCCGTGGTAAAGACCCTGGCGCAACTCAGCAGCTCGCCGAACGGGATGGTAGTCGGATGCCTGGTCGAATTCGCCTGGCCATGGGCCCAAGCGAGCAGGCCGGTATGTTGGGTCATCGAAATGGCAACCACTATCGGGGATGCCCCATTCTGGGCCCCACACGCCAAGCCTCTCCCACCGCCGCTTGACAATGTGCCGAGCAACGATGGAGCATCGCCGCTCAGCAAGTTGAAGCTTCTTCCCAGACCCAAGAGGCGCCAAGAGGCGGCGCACGTCCGGGTTGGGATGGTGCTTAGCCCAACTACAAATACGGTCGCGCTGGACATTCGCCTCCAATGCAAACCGCGAACCGGCTTCATACTTTCCGAACAAAAACGACGCAACAGAGCGACGTTCGCTTTCGTTAAGCGGCGCCATGAATATGTCGCGATCCTCTTGAGTCAGTTCGCTTGCGCCAGCCGGCATGACCCGTGAAAGTAGATCTTCCTCGTCATATTCGGTGGATGATTCGTAGGGAGGAGGCTCGTCGCTTTCAAAGCGACGGAGGCCGCGCTCGCGTAGATGTGGTCGGTCTTCGAGGGCCTGCAGAGCGGGGAGCGCGTCCTCACGGAGCGCATTCGCGAGGCCCATCGCGTCGTAGAGGGGAGGCATGGCTGTTCAGCATTCAGCGTTCAGCGTTCAGCGTTCAGTGTTCAGTGTTCTCGTCTGTTGTTGGTGTCGTGTCGGTGACTGCATTGTTTTGAGGGTCAGTTGTACGCTCTTCTCAAGTTCTTCTCCAGCATAATCGTTGGCATTCGCTTGGGGAAGGAAGGTATGGCTTTGCCTTGATGGGCATTTGCGGAAAGAGCGATGGTCTTGTGGTGGCTGGTTCCTGTGGTCCCTGTGGTCCCTGTGGTCCCTGCGGTCCCTGTAGTCCCTGTGGCCTGTAAGCTTTGTGGGCGGTAGCCGCGGTTTTGTACTCTATAAGACGCCGTAAGTACACCGCGTTACGCGTAGGCCGAGCGCCAAACTCACTAAATCCGCTATATCCACTCTTTGCCGCAAACGGCTTTCGGAGTCTCCACAGCCACTCAACTCAGAAAGGCCCCGCTTTTGTCGATCCAGACAGGGCGTTTAAAATCGACTTCATTGAGCGTGCAATGCGACGATATAAATACCGTCCATCTCTTTATGATGATTGCGGTGACACCGGTTGCGGCATGGCCGTGGTATGGGTTGCCAACTATCTTGATCTGTTGCTCAATATCTCCTCTTTGACTCTTTCATGATGGAAACACGGCGTTCGCCGATGAGACCCGCAGAGTATGGTTCGTGATTATGACTCTGGCAGGCCCAGAGGTGAGGCCAGCCAGAGCTGAAACCAGGGTGACTTCCAATTTGCGCTGTCCTACTGTGGACGGCCGTGTATCTGGCATCAACGTGACGGATTTGAGCCAATCACGCTCGTCCCTGCGTCCCAACTTGTTTCTTCAACGGACACCATATTATGACACCACCAGCGTGTTGAAATACGGCCATGATCTATCGTTTCTATTTACTCTCTTGCTTTTATTTTGGGACCCCATGCGCTATGAGGACGCCGTTGGTCACATTTGTCGGCTGGACGTGAAGCGGCCCATGCTTTCTTTGCGGCGGTAAATATAGAAATGACATGCTGCAAATTGCGACTTTCTCCTCCTACACCAACCATTGCGCCTCAACAACCGCCGTCGTTGAAACATGGCACGAAAGACACAAACTGAAGGGCGGTTGCGAGGAGTGCGGCGCCTGCCTCGTTTAGTTGGCAGTGCTGGGTTTTGCGGCTCTTCCTTCCCCTTGTCCGCTCCTTCTTGTTTCCACCTTGCCATGGTCCTGCATCCCAGCGCTCTTTCCCGCCATGACCTTCTGTCGTGACTTTCCGTCGTGACCTTCCAGTCATATACTCCGACTCTGCTTCCTCTCTAAATTCTTCTCTCTTCACCATATGCTCCTTGTCTTTTCCTCTCTTCTTTCCTCCTTGTCTGCCTGTCTCTCTCCCCCTTCCCCAGAGACTGTCGTTTTTAATTCTGGTGCCAACAACTACCACAACTCATCATTTTCACAAATCCACGCCACATATCTGCCGCAATGGCTCACCCTGATACGTTCTTTCATTTGGTACCACGGAATGAAGAGTCTCTTCCCATTCTGGACCTTCGCGAAAACTGGCGTTTTGTATCGGAAACGACTGATGGAAAGAAAGGACTTGAAATCGGATACCATGTCTCGAAAGTGCCCGGTCGCGTTATGGCACGCCTTGGCCGTGGCCTAACGGCCGACATAAGGCTTCTTGGAAGAAATATTTCGTCCATCCACGTTGCATTTGAGCTTCACCCCGATACACTTGCTGTTCTTCTCTCGGTACGAGCAAAGAATGCATCGTCCGTCACCGTGGAGCCTGTAGAGGATGACGGAGAAAGCGGAGCAGTGGCAGACACAGGACGAGGAGATGTGGTCGAGGGGGACTGTGTTCTTGTTTTCGAGCAGCCGTACAACATCAAAATCGGTGTCTACAGTTTCGATGTCGCCTGGTGTCCCAAACGCGAGGTGCGGCAGTCCAAGGACGAGGTATGGCGCATCTTTGCTCGACGCGAGTATCAGAAGGCCGTGGAGCGCGAAAAACTTGCCCGCTCCTGCGATCTTCCGACCTACGACAGCTCGACGCTGAACACATGGCACAACACGAGAATTCATACAGCCAATCGCCCCCTGTTTCGCGAGGCCCCCGGGGCAGAACGCCACATGCTCGATGCAGGCAGCTTTGGTAGTGTTTTCCAGGCTACGGATCGTGAGTCCGGTGACCCGTTTGCCATTAAGGTCATCGACCTCACGAAGCTGGACAGTCAGCGTGATGTCGAGTATGCACGGGCATCCGTTCACAATGAGGTGAAAACACTGCAGAAGCTGAAGCACGTAAGTACTGGTACAGCGTTGGCAAAGTCGATGAGAGACATTGGCATAACTAACAGTGCCGGCAGCGGAACATTATCGAGTACCTCGGCTATGCCCAGATGGACACACCCAAACCCGAAATCTTCATGCCGATGCGGCCTGGGACTCTTCGCAATCTACAAAACTCCCCAAATAGGCTCTGCAGTATCGACGACCTATGTAACCGGGTTTTGGAGCAGATACTCTCTGCCCTAGACTACTTGGCCTCGCAATCCATATGCCATCGTGACATCAAACCAGACAACATTCTCTATTTTGACGAATCGAAACACGGAAACTACATCTTTCAGCTGGCCGATTTTGGCTTGGCGAGACACACAACGCTGGCCGTGGGCTTGGGCGGAACAGGGTTCTACATGGCCCCAGAAACATGGGACGATAGCCCATATGCCCAGAGTCCCAAAATGGACGTCTGGTCTCTCTTCGCTACAGTCATCGACGTTCACACAAATTTCAACTTCCCACCAACATGTGACAGTGACACTAGAACACAGTTCAGGCTAGCCCTTGTTGCCATCCCGGCGATTGCAGCGGGCCTGCCTGATCTTGGCTGGATGGTGCACATGGACCCTTGTGTGCGAGCATCGGCCGCTCAGATGCTTAAGTATTTCTTCGGCGAGCGCGGCCTAACAACAGCAACAAAATATATCAAACCTTTAGCTACAGCGCCTTCTGTAGTGTCTGTGGAAATGACCGGTATCCCCGAAGCAGGCTTGATGAAGCCAGACCCCGGCCCGTCCAATGTGCCTACTGCATGGGCCGCTCGAACCCCTGCAGAAGCTGTCCCAGTGTCAAAACGGCTCCCGCTGGTGCAGTACCCACGGACGCGGCAACGCAGACGGTTGGAACTTGCCAGAGCGGGCAGGGCAGCAGCGACACAAGCTGACAGGTTGGTGACAGGGAATCTTGCGTCGAGGCCTGGCCCCGGCATGCTGGTACAAGGACGAGTCACGGAGCCGGGTGCGCAGGCAGGCAGGGAACAAAACCTTACAAGACGGCCAAACTATGAGACGTTAGTGCCCCAAGACGTGAATGGCTGGGCCGATCCTCCAGGTCGGCTCAGAGAGGCTCGCAAAGGCAACGGGGAAGATCTAGCACAACGGGGAGAAATGGCGACCGCACAAAGAGTCCAAGACAACAGGAAGTCGAACCCGAAAGGAAAGGAAGTTGCTCATTCGTCACAATCTTCCTGGAATCTTCCCGGTGGTTTCCCAAGATGAGGCGCCAGTCATTAAAATTGGTTGGTACGTCTCCTTGACACCCTATGTGGCATAATGTTTACGGCCACAACCATCTCGTATCATCTCAATTTTTTGGGGGGTTTGGTTTATATCCTTTTCGCCTTTTTGGAATATTTTTTTAAGCGAGTTGATTTTCTTCTCATATACACTTGATTTTGTTTTATTCCCCTTTTTCTTTTTTTTTTTTTTCTTTTTTTTTTCTTTTTTTTTCTTTTTTGTTCATGTTCTTCCACTTTTTTTTTAAAAAAAAACTACCATAACGAACATCACAAATTTCCCGACATCCAAAGGCGTATTCGAAGTTGCTCCGCCACCGCGATCGCCGCCAATTTCAGCGACGGAGCCGGCCAGGCGGGGGAAGCCGCTGGCAAGGAGAACGCCATCGTCGGATGTGGTACCACCAACTACCAATGTCGACGACGAATTGCCCCGAGCGGAGCTTCTGATTTTCCGTAAAGAGAGCCGAGTCTGGGCGCCTGACTACGCACTCTAGTGAGGTCGGTCTGGGGTTGTCTGATGAACGCCCAGGCATGCCCAGGCACGACTGGAAACAAAAGCAGAACGTGTAGGACTGTGACGTCCGGGGAGGATAAGCGGCTGTTTCGCGTCGCCGACTATCAACTTGACAGTCGCGGAGGATAAGCTAACCCCGAGCCGCGCCGCGCCAGTTCCAGGTACCCGGTATTGCCCGCCCCTAGCGGCCAAGCTATCTTTGCGGAGCAACGCCGCCTCCTGCAAGTTATCTGCCGCTGGGGGTTGCCGTGCGTCCGCGCTTTGGCCGAGGGACGTGTCAAGCTTGCGGCTGGGCAGCGGGGGTCCGCAAAGGAGCCTGTTTGAGAGTGCTGGGTGTTGTCGACATATAAGAGGCAGTTGTCGACGGCAATGTGAGCGACGTGAGGATGGACGACGAAGCGAAGCACAGACGAAAACCCAGGCGAGGCAGATACAGTCGGCTCGAGAAGACGACATAAAAGCGGCCGGATCATCGAATTTTGCGACTGTAGAGCGACAATGACCAGACTCATCAAGACGGATACAATGGAGGCAGCCAAGTCCATGATCAAGCAGTCGCTGGTGGCCTATACAGAGCAGGTGTGGGCAGTGAGTCAAAAGGTGCGTTCTATTTTTTTTTTTTTTTTTTTTTGTTCTTATGTTTTTGTTGAGTTGCTGAAATGCAAGCTGGCGATGTTTTGTGGCATTCAGGGGCCGTTCTTGCCAACTACGCCGAACACTGTTTTCGGAAGGAACAAAAGAGCGACTGCCAAATACAATCGTCTCGACTCCGGGCAGGAGGTGCATACGTTCGTCTTTCCATTTTGGGAGCCAGCCCTCCTTCCGGTCTTGGTGCTGGTGATGACTAACTTCAGCGGTCTCCAAACCACCAGATCTTCAACAACCCCGAGCTCGCATACAAAGAGGCCGGTGCACACGATGCGATTGTTGGCATGCTCAGCACAGTCGAGGGTGTGCGCGTGACGCCACACGCATACGGCCTCGAGACGTCGTTTGAGGCCGAGTACGGCGCGGGCGGCCGCGTGCTCGTGTTCAATGCCGAGTACGACGCGCTGCCCGGCATCGGCCACGCCTGCGGCCACAACCTGATTGCGACGGTCGGCCTGAGCTCGTTCCTGGCCGTGGTCGACGCGCTGCGGGCCAGCGGGGCGCCAGGCCGCGTGCGGCTGCTGGGCACGCCGGCCGAGGAGTCGGGCGGCGGCAAGATCAAGCTGATTGAGGCGGGCGCGTACAAGGACGTGGGCGCGTGCTTGATGATGCATCCGACGGCACGGGCAGCCTTCGGGCCCGCGTCGGTGTACGGAAACGCATTCGACCGGACGCTGGCGATTGCGCGCTTCGCGATCGACTTCAAGGGCAAGCCGGCGCATGCGGCGCTGGCGCCGTGGGAGGGCGTCAACGCGCTGGATGCGGCCGTGGCGGGGTACACTGCCATCTCGGTGCTGCGGCAGCAGATCCGGCCCCAGGAACGGATCCACGACATCATTACCAACGGCGGCAAGCAGTCCAACATCATTCCCGACGCGGCGCGGCTCGAGTACGGCGTGCGTGCGCCGACGCTGGCGGGCGCGCTGGCGCTGCAGAAGCGGGCAGTCAAGTGCTTTGCGGGCGCAGCCGAGTCGACGGGGTGCACGATGGCGACGCAGGATCTGGGGGGCTACGCCGACCTGCGCGCCAACATGCCGATCTGCAACGCGTTTGTCGAGGCCATGGGCGCGCTGGGACGCGAGGTGCTGTGCGACACGGACCACACGACGCCGGCGTCGACGGACCAGGGCAACGTGTCATACGAGTGCCCGAGCTGGCACGGCATGTTCGGCATTCCGTCCGAGGGCGGGGCGTTTCCCCATACGGAAAACTTTGCCAGGGGCGCTGGACTGCGCAAGTCATTTGACCGTGCGCTGGAGAACAGTGAGGGCATGGCAGCAGTGGGCTACCGGTTCCTCGTCGACGACGAGCTGGCGGCGGATGTCAAGGCTGCGTTTGAGGAGCAAAAGAGGCACGACTGAGTGTGCATTGTAGCGAGCATATAACAAGCATATACGGCATATACGGTATATATGGCATATATAGCGTACAGAGAGGAACTAGACCCTGGCACGCAACAAATGTTTGTAGTCAATGCACGGTGACTTGATTGGCGTGCTTGAGGATCGGCAGTGACGACGTCAAAACTTTGACCTCGAGAATAAAAGATCGTTCTTCAAAATCGACGTATGGCCAGCAGTGCTTTTTCTAGCGCTGTGCCGTGGATCTTTATAGACGAGTGACGCTTTGCAAAGCATGAAAAGGGGTGTAAACAATAGCCAACAGAAAGAAGCCGAGCAGGCACACCCTTGTAAGTATCATGATGAAAAAATGTAAAGTAAAATAACAACAAGACACATTAGACAAACAAGACTGGTGATAAATCGCGTATGCCCTCTATATTACACGTCCATCAACATAAACCCTCAATGTCTCTCGCCGCCACGGGCGCCCTCTCCGTCTTGTTGTCCTGGACGTGCCCCAATCTGAAGTGCGCCTCCTCCTTGTCCTCCTTGTCCTCCTTGTCCTCCGTTTCTTCTTCGCTCTTGGCCCTCACAATTGCCTCGGCCACGCCGGTCTCGCTGTCCTCCATGTCGGCCACACGCCGCTTCCTGCGCATGCGCTGGGCCTCGCTGCACACCTCCCGCAACCGGCGATCCTATGACCGGCCCAGGATCAGCGACGACGCGCCGCCGCTGCTGCCAATCACCGGCAAACCCACCATCTCGTCCGCCTCGGCCACCCACAGCCGGGCCAGTGCGCGGCTCAGGCCCACCCGCACCCGTTGTAGAACGTCTGCCGCGGTCGTGTTGGCCGGCAGCCCGCTGCGCCAGTCCCAGCCACGCTGCATGCCAGTCGACGCCGACGACGCGGGCCACGCCACGGAACCAGGCGCGCTCGTCCGCGCACCCGACATGCTGCGGTGCAGCTGGCTCGCGAGCATGGAGCTGCCCGTCATGAGGAACGACGAGGCGCCCGACGCCGCCGACAGGTCGCTCGTCGTCTTGCGCAGCAGATCGGCCGGCGATGAGCCCTTGAGCCCGCCCGGCACGCTGGCCAGCACCACCTGGAAGAACTCGTCGCAGGTCGCGTACACGCGCGAGCCCGCCAGCGTCTGCAGGTCCTCGACGGCCTTGAGCAGCACGTCGACCGTCTCGGCGGCCACCACGGGCGGCGCCGTGACGTGGCCGGCCGACGTGGCGTCGGGCGGCCAGATGGGCTGCCAGACACGGCGGTGGTGCTCGGCACGGCCTCGGTAAACACGAGCGCCTCGCCCAGCAGCGCCAACAGGAAATCCTCAGAGACCACGGCGTCGCGTGCGGCGTCGTACAGCCCGCCGCGGATGTTGTCGTCGGCGCTCGCAATCACGGCCGTCAGAGCCGCAGCCGCAGCCGTGCGCCGCCGCACAGGCGGAATATCCGTCGACGGGTCGTCGCGCACGTTGTAAAAGTGACGAAGCGTCGCGTAGCCACTCAGCAGCCGGCCAAGGAGCTCCGCCGCCACAAGGTCGCGCCGCGCCAGCTGCTCCAGAGACGTCTTGCGCTCAAACAGCAGGCGCCGCAGGTAGTCGTCGAGGTCCGCTTCGAGGGGGTAAGCTGCCGACTGCACCAGAGAGTACGAGATGAGCAGGTTCATCACCTCGCGCACCTTGCCGGGCCGGTGGGCAATGGCAAAGTACCACACCGCCTCGCCGAACCGGTACGATTTATTGGCTAGGAGGTAGCCGTAGTGCTACGTCGTCAGTGTCAGTGTTTTTGTATGTGTGTATGTGTGTATGTGTCTGCTTCAGAATGGGTGGCTCTTACCTCCGCCGCTTCTTCTGCGAACGAGGACATGCCCAGGTCGCTCAGCAAGCGCCAGATCTTGTCCACTGTCGCGCCCGAGTCCACGTCCAAGCGAAGCAGGATCGTCCGCACCAGCTCGCCGATCGTCTCCTCCGCCCGCTCCTGCGAGTTCATGCGGCCGAGGACGTGAATGGCCAGTTCCCAGCCGTCCATATTGGCAGGCGAAGCATCGCTGCTTCCGGCAGCCTCCTCACGCTCGTTGTCCGCCTCCTCGTCGCCCGTCGGCTGCAGCTCCTTGTTGTTGATGAGGGCCTGCGCATACTGGACCAGTGTGTTGTCTTTGAAGCCGTCTGACTCGTCGGGGTCCGTCGGGTCCACGCCGAGCACCTCGAGGTCCTCCATGTCCAGGCCGCCCAGTGCCGTCGCCAGAGCCGACGTAGACGACTGTGTCGGCAGCCAGCCGCCGAGCGCGGCAATCTCCACGACCGCCGAGGCCACGGGTAGCGACCAGGCCCGCAGAAGGCCGAGCAGGCCGCGCGGGTTGTCCTCAAAGATACACGCCAGGGCCACCTCGAGCGGGCTGTTGGTGTTGATTTCCAGACCAGCCTCCGTCGTCGCCCGGAACGACCGCGTCAGCCGGTCCAGGTAGTCCGCAAAGGTCGACGCTGCGCCGTCCAAGCCGCCGGCCGCGTGGCCGCGCAGCGTCATCGTCATCGACATCGACTGGCCGTGGCGGCTCGTGCCGAAATTGGGGGCGTTTGGCGTCGGCGCTACCTTGGTCTCGTCCCACCACCCAAACAGGCCCAGCGTCGCCTCGCACCAGTCCTGCGAGACGCCCAGGATGCGCTCGCGCGAGCCCAGGGCAATGTCAAACACAATGTTGAGGTTCTCGTAAATGTCCCACGGCACCTGGCTCTCGGCCTTGCGCGCCATGCCGGCCATCGACTGGCGACCGCCCCGGTATGGCTCGCCAAACTCATCCTCGCCTTCGGCGTCGTCGTCGTCGTCATTGCCGGTGCCGGTGCCGGCACCGGCACCTCGGCCTCCCTCAGCAAACCGTCGTAGGTGGTCGAGGGCCCCCTTGGCACGGATCCGAAACAGGGTCCACTCGCTGTTCCAAATGTCCCAGCTGCCAAACTTGCCCGGGCACGTGTCCAGCATCGCAATCGTCTCCTGCACAGCACGCTCCACGTTGGAGAGGGCGCGGCCGCTGTACGCCTGCACACCCGCACGCCGCACCTTGTCCCAGCCGCCGGCCCGCAGCAGCTCGACGGCGTCCTCGACGCGGCCCTGCAGCAGGCTCACAAAGACGGTCTGCCAGAACATGCCGTGCGAGGCCGGGCTGGGCTGGAACTGCAGCACATCATGCACCTGGTCGGGATAGACGTTGTGGTAGTCGGCCATCCAGCGGAAGAGGGTTTCGGTCAGCGGCTCGGGCGACAGCACGCCCGTGTCGTTGTCCGTGCTGCGCGTGTGGTGAAGCTGCAGTGCAACCGTCGCAACATACGCGGCATTCTCGAACGCGCTCGCGTCGGGCCCGGGGCCGATGCTTGCGAACTGTTCGTCGTCGTGCTCGGAGTGCGCCGTCTCCGGAAGGCTGTCGGCGTACGCCTGCCAAAGGGCGACGAGCTGTGCAGACGCGTCGGCCAGAGCCTGGTCAAGCCGGTCCGCGTTGTCCTCCACACCCACGCCCTGGCTGTAGAGCTTGCTAATCTGCACCTCTGTCTGGCGGATCAGCTGTGGCGCCTCGGCCAGGCTGGCACAGCCCATTTGGCCGTACATGCTCTTGGCAATGGATGCGTATTTGAGTTCGCGGGGTCCGCGCGTCGATGCAGCACCGCCCAAAAGACGACCGCTGCCGCCGCCGCTGCGGGCGGCTGATGCACGGAAAATGTCTTCGGCCTCTTTGCGAATGCGGTCGTTGATGGCAGGCGTGGCAAAGGTGAGCAGGTCGCTGTTGTTAACGCCGTCCGTGCCGCCCATCGCGACTTCGCCCTCGCCGCCGTCCGCCTCGCCGCCGGCAGGCATCCATGGCGCGCGGCCCTGCAAGGAGGCACGCTCTCGGACGGCACTCTGCGCCAGGTCGAGCCATGGGTCGCTGCCCGCTCCGTTCTCGTCCTCCTCCTCCTCGTCGTATTCACCCTCTGCATCCTCCTCGTCGTCGTATGAGCCCTCGTCGTCGTCGTCGTCTTCGCCGTCTTCGTCGTTTTGGTAAGCGGGAGCACGGCTCCGGTTGGCAGGAACCTTTGTTGCTACTCGTGGCCGGTAGTAGGCCTCGTTGTCCTCCTCGTCTTCGCCTTCGGCATCATCGTCATCCTCATCCTCCTCTTCCTCATTCTCCTCGTCTTCGTCTTCCTCCTCCTCTTCCTCTTCCTCCTCGTCATCTTCCTCGTCGTCGTCGGCCATCACTTGGCTTAGTCGCGAGGGCTGCCGTGTCGATCCCGGTCCAAAGGTGGGCTTGCTACCTTGAATCGAGCGGCCAAGGGGTGAGTTGGAGCTGCCGCCACCACTGCCTGCCTTGAAGCCGCCGAAACTGCCGCCGCCCGCAGCAAAGATGTTCCGCGAGGTCGATGGCAATGGTGAGCCCGTGGACTTGGCTGTGCCCGCCACGCCCCGCATCATGGAGCTGCCCAGATACGACGCCGAGGGTGCGCCAGCTGGTGTGAAGCTGCCTGCCGACGAGGGCGGTGGCAGGCCGCCGGGGGTTGTCGAAGATGTGGCGCCGCCATCAAAGCGAAACAGGCTACCGCGACCGCCGCCGGCACCGCCGCCAAAGCCGCCACCAGGAGTGGCCGGCGACGAGAAGCCGCCGTCGTCGTCGTCGTCGTCCGGCAGCGAAAACTTGTTAGGCATTGTCGTTTACGCGGACGGCGCGAGAGGGCAGAAAGAGAAGCGCGGAGAATGAAAAGTGAAAAGGCTCGACTGCTTGTCGCTAATGCAATATCGTTGACATCAGATGGCATCAATTGGGCGTTTTGCAGACGACGAAAAGGCAGCTTGAAGCTGACGCTGGATTGTTTTGTTTGGATATTTTGGAGTCTTTCTGTTGCTGGGTGTGTACCTTCCTCAGAAAAAAGCTTAGCTCCTGCCACCTCCTCCACAGCTCAAGCGCGCCGCACAACGCGACTGAGAGTCACGTGATCAAGACGACTCGGTAGTCACCATCAAGACCATCCATTCAGGCATCAACTGGCATCACTTTCATCTCCCACCATTGCATTGCACGCATCAAACTGAATACTTGTATGTCGTAGATTATGAATTATTAAATTGGTAGTACTGTTGTCTATAGTGACATTCCCAGCATCCTTCGCAAAGGACGCCAGATACGAGAGCCAACCTGGAGGAAGACCGAGAAGAAAAACAGAGAAAAAAAAACACCATTCTTCGCTCCATGAATATAAAAAGACAAAACAATACCTTTTGCTTTTTTTAACAACACATCATCGCCTCTCATCTTCCATCTGCCTCTCGCCCTGCTCTCTTCATCATCCTCTTGTCTATAAACAACGTTTCCTTGGCAGCATTGTGGCCGGTCCAAAATTGTCTGCTCGTTTTGTCTTGTCCGTCCTTCCGTTATTTTCTTCGGGAAATTAATAGAACATGGCATGGGAACGAGATCCCGCGGTTCTACCTTGAACGCCTCAATAACGTCTTCGTCTAAATAAAGGGGGCGCAGAGAGTTCGTCCATATGTCATGCAAATGCATGTGTGACCAGGGAATGGAGTCGCTCGATATTCGCTTTGGGGTAGTTGGCGTCGTACGATTTGTGCTGTTTGTTGCTGTGTGTGATGCCAGCGTTGTGGGTGAGTGGATACGCCCATCTGCAGCGTTGCCGTTACGCCCTTCGGAGCGGGCACCGCTCAGTTGATGCGCTGGTAGAACAACAGGTATGCAACCTTGTTGTCCTTGATGCTCTCCTTGGGCGCCTTGTTCTTGGGGCTCGTCGCGCCATTCGCGACCGAGCTCCACTTCTTACCATTGCCGTTGACAGGCGCGCTCCAGTCGTTGTCGCTGTCGCCGGCTTCCTCCTCGCCCATGCCAGCAAAGCGGTTCGGGTTGCCCGCAGCTGGGTTCGGTGTGGCCTTGACGGCGTTGGACGGGTTGCTTGGCGGCGCCGAGCTGCTCGAGCCAGCAGACTCCTCAGCGCCGCCCTGGGCCACCTCCTCGCGGCGAATGCGGCGGATGACGGTGTCGTCCAGACGGATCCACTCGCGGCCATCCTCGCGGAGCGCATCGACGGTGTAGTGGCCACCGCTGGCCTGCTTGCCGTGGTGGTAGACGACGGCGTTGAGGCGGTATTTGGGGAGGGGCTCCGACAGGAACGTGTTGCGCTTGCGGCGGCTGAAGATCTCGCGTGGGATCTCCAGCTCCAGCGGGTAGCCAATCTTCTTCCAGATCTTGACAGTGCCGTTGCCCTGCCAGTCGAACTGGAAGCGCTTGAGGTGCAGAATCAGGACCGGCGGCAGGTCCTCAATAAACACTTGCTTCGTTGCGCGGACGTCCTTGCCCTGGGGGGACTTGAAGTCGGCGTGCAGAATCTCGGGGTTCGTGAGGTTGCGCAGCGCATCGACAATGTTGCGGACCTCGGGCGAGTCAATGTGTAGCTGCAGAGACTGGTACGGCTCCAGGGTCACGGAATCCTTGCGCCCAGGAACGCGCAGCTCCGACCGCAGAAGACCACTGAAGATACTGTTGATGGGCGAGGTCATGGCGTGTCCCGATGACCGCGTCTCGGCGGCGCGCTGCCGGGGGCCAACCTCGAGCCAACCTCCGGAAGGGTCAGCACCGTCAGACGTCACAGAAAGAGCCGGCGTGGCCTGTGCAGACGTGGGTGACGAGCCGTTGGTGTTGGCCGCGTTGGCCACGTCCTGCAGAACCTTGGCGCACTCGTCGTTGAGAGTCTCGAGCAGGAAGCCGAGGAACTCTTCGGCATCTTGCTGATGACCACGCTGGAGAGAATGGTATTAGCTTCTGTTGCTGCTTCTGCTACGCTCGGTCGGGGGAGAAGGGTGTTCGCAGCAGGGGGTGCAACTTACAATCATGCTGGAGAATCGTGGCAGTTGCTTAATGGCGTTGTACACAAATTCAGGGGTAAAAGCCTCGCCGTACCGCTCCAGGTCATCGCTCTTGAGGCGTTTCTGGAGGGCCGCGGGGTCGGCACGGTCGATGACCTTGAACTCGCGCAGGAACATGATCATGGCGTCGATCATGGGCGTCTCGCTCTTGAAGCTAAACACCGCCTTCTGGCCAACCTGGTCGAGAAAGTCGTAGAAGGGGATGCAGAACGTGAGGACTTGGAGCACGGAGTTCATGTAGCACATGTTGCCCGTGTTGATCAGACCGCGCGGCTCAATGAAAGCCACCTTGTCCGCGGTACCGACACGGTATGAAGAGACCGCCTCGGCCAGCGAATTGGCGTTCGACTTGGCAAAGACACCAGTCGAACCGTTCGTGCCGTTGGCAGCGGCATGACCGTTGGTGGCAGCGGCGCCGTTCACGCCGGCGTTTCCTGCTGCAGCGGCCTTTGAAAACAGGCCAGTCCACAGCTTGGGGCCCGACGGCACCGGAACGGCAGCTGGCTCATCCTTCTCGGCCTTCTCGGCGACGTCGCCGTTGGTCGCAGCCTCGCCGTTAACAGGAGCAGCTTCGCCCTCCCGTGGCAGTTCAGGAGCCTCTATTGCCGTAGCGCTGGCCACAGGGCCATCCGTAATTGGCTTTGTGGCAGCTGCGCGAACAGGAAGAGCAGGAATCACGGGAACTGCGGGAGCCGTTGGGCTAGTCACAGATGCCTTGGCAGGGCTAGGTGTGGTGGCGGAGGTGGAAGCAGGGCCAGGCTTGGGGGTCTGCGGCGCGGTAGTAGAAGCGACGGTGGCTGCTACAGCCTCGTGCTGGCTGGGAGGCAGCTCAACACTCTCAAAGCCACCCATGTCCCGACGTTTCCGGCGTGCAATTGCGCGTCTCGGCGGGAAGGCCTCTTTGGGCGAGGAGTACCACGGTAGCTTTACGTAAAAATCATGGTCAGCTTCAAATTTTCAAATTCTTTCCTTCGCGTCACGAGAGTTGGAAGATACAACGTACTGGTGCTCTGAAACGTTTTGAAGGCTGAGAGGCCTTTGCTACACCAGGCGCCTCTGGCTCGGAAGGAGCCTGGACAGCGGGGGAGGACTCGACGTTCTCTTGCAGCAAAGATGGATCCGCTTCGGACGTCGGAGTAGGTCCCGCGTCCGTAGAGGGAGTGAAGGCATTGCCTTCAGGGGCAGGCGGGGCGTTCTGTTGGGTAGATATGGCCGACATCGGGGTGGTCGTAGAGTGGGTCGAGAGCGAAGGTATTGAGGCGGGAGGAGGGTTGTCGTTCGGTGTATAGGGGTTGCCGGCGGCGGCGTTAACGATGGCGTTGTTGTGTGGCACATCGCCACGGCCAACTAGAGGGATATGCGGCGGGAGAGAAGGAGGCAGGCCCATCGATGCCTGCATGGGAGGAGGCTGGTAGGACGCGATGCCAGCTGGCGGAGATTGCTGAGGGATCATGCCGTGCAGAGGATACGGAGGCGGCAGCTGCTGGGCCTGAGGCGTGGCGACAACAAGAGGCACATTCTGGGCGTTCCGCACATAGGGAGACAAATGCGGCTGCTGCATGTTATGTGGCAGTCCTTGCGGGTGCTGTGCGTGGGAAGCCAGAGGAGCATGCTGTTGCGACTGCGGTGGTGGAGGCGGCGGCGGCGGATGCATCCCCATAGGAGCAAATTGACCCGGCATACCAGGGCGACCATGCTGCTGCTGCTGCTGTTGCTGTTGCTGCTGCTGCTGCTGCTGCTGTTGGAACTGCATGAAGGGAGCGGGCATTGCTTGGTTCTGCATGTACGGCATCTGGGGATAACCAAACTGCTGGCTGCCATACAGGGGCATGTACCCGTGCTGGAACATCTGCTGCTGGTACGGGCCATTGTGGTTGTTGTAGCCGTACTGGCCATTGTTCTGGTTATTGTAGTTGTTACCGTAGTGGCGACCTCGCCGCGGCCCGCCGCCGCGGCCACCGTGATGGCCATTATGACCACTGTGGCCGTTGTGGCCGTTGTGGCCGTTGTGGCCATTGTGGCTATTGTTGCTATTGTGGCCATTGTGGTTATTGTGGCTGTTGTGACCGTTCTGGACATTGTGGTTGCCGCTACCGGCACCGTTGTTCCCTTGGGTGGTCCCGAAGCTGCCGCCCGGTATGTCGGCCATGCCTTGCGCTGCACTGGCTCCGAGGCCGGCCCGCCCAGCCGGCAGATGACTGTTATTCATCTTGCCGGCTTGGGGAAATGTGTCCGCGTCGCCTGGAGGCCTACAGTCACAATGGAACTGTACGCGCCAAGCGTTCTGGTTTTCGGGGTCGAAGGCTGTCTGCGCAGTCGTTGCGAGTCGCAGAGAGCGGCAGGAGAGTCGCGTGGATGTGTGCGGATGGAAGAAACAAGATGGCGCGATCGGAAATGATTGTGTTTCGTGACGGGCAAGGCTTTCGCGCCACGTTGAGATTGCGGGAAAAAGGGCGATGTGCAATGCTTGTCGGATGCAGATGCACAGAGGACGATCGCACGGTCGAGTGTAGAGGAAGGAAACGAACTAGAATAATCCAAAATGCTCCCGGGGATGGACGGCTTCTTCGTGTTGCAAGGAAACGAAACCAAACCTTGAATCAGAACGCCTGCTATGCCTGTTGGTGCGTCACAGTGTGGCGCGGCGAGTGGTTATCGCACTGTATCAAACAATACCGAGTCGAAAAAAAGAAGTAGCAAACGCAGCGACCGTCGACAAGCTTCCAACGTCGAATCGCAGCGATGGTGCGATGCGTTGGCAAACTCTGCGGAAGCAAAAGATGCGTTGTCGTGTCGTCGTTTTTTTGGGGTTGCCCTCTCGATATCAGGAACAAGGATGCCGAAGAAAAGTACAGGGCGCAATAGAACGCGAATAGGGGAAATGAGCGTCGAAAAGGAACAACAGCGAACAAAACACGCAGAAAAAAAGGACTGGGTCAAGAAATGGTTGGAAACAAAGGACCGTCAAGAAGGAAAAGAAGAAAAAAAGGGGGAGAAGAAGGAGGGCGGGCGATGCTCGGCGAGGGCATCGAGGTTTGATGGATGGTGATGGGGAAGGAGGATGAAAAAGGCTGGCCGAGGAAGGAGTGCGGAAAAGGGAAGGAAAGACCGTCACTGAGTGGAGTGCGCCTGGCTTCTGCTGTCGTTCGCTACTGTCTCATTCATTAGGTTCTGGGCGCTGCCATTCGCTCCTTCCCACGCGTTGGATCCTTTTCGCTTTTTTTTCAGGCGCACGACACTCCCCACAAAAATTATTGGGCCCGTTGCGTCTTTTCTGACTAATACGAAAACATACGTTTATTGGTCAGCCAGTGAATGTGCACGTGCACGACATTGCAGGAGCTTCCCCGGAGCGATGAGTCCGTGGTAGCGACAACTTTACATTGCATCAAAGCCTATCCAGCGTCAACAATACAGAAGCGCAATGAACAAAGCAGATGCGTTGGAACCAGAGAACCATTGCTATGCTGCAAGCTAGGACATCGCTTCGGCCGTCCATTATGCAAGTCAACTTGCATGGCATCGTGCATCATATGCAGTGTCGGATGCATGCAAGGACAGACACCGAAAGAAACTATGCTACTCAAGCCCTGGCTGGATGTTCCAGGCCACACATGCAATACAACCCGAAAATGGGACAGGAAAATGGAAAAGAAAGCCACAAAAGTGCGCCGTCGCCATGCTCGTGTCGTTTGTGAATTGTTCTGTAGACCTGCCGCGCCCCTTTGCCCGCTTCATTCGTCGCGGAACATCCATCGGCCGCCTCCAGACCGCATCGCCTCCCGATACCGCTCCTGGACCGTGATCCGCTCGACCTTGTCCGCCTCGGCTCGGTTGTGCTCCTCGTCCTGGGTGGTGGGGAAGTCGGTGTCCCAGAACCCGGGCGGCGACGCCCTCCGGTGGAAGCGGTGCCGGTGCTTGCCGTACTTGTCAGCAAGCTCTTTTGTGCGCGCCTCGAGCCACAGCGCCTTCTTCTCCTCGGGCGACATCTGGCCCAGCATGTAGGCGCCGTCGCCCAGGTGCCGCTCCATCAAGACAAGGCACTCGGAGCGTCGGAGATGGGCGGGGCCGGCGGCGTCCAGCTCGGACGTCGCCATGCTGCGAAAGGCCTTGCCGCAGCACTGCGGGTCGGTGCAGCCCGACAGGCCGGCACGGTCTGCCCGGCCGCGCACCACTTCGTTGTACGCAAACGTCTCGCCGTTGTTGAAGGCTGGGTTGATTTTGAAGTCGTCCAGCTTGAGGCGGTCGACGGGCCGGCCGCGCAGGGGCGACGACACCTTCTTGGCCGTGCTCTCGGCCTTGGCGGCCAGCAGCGCCGCTGTCAATGGGTTTGTGGTGGGTGTAGCGAGCCCCGCGGCCGCGGGCGTGCCAGCATGTCGTGCAGGAGCCGCGCTGGGCGTTCTCGGCAGAGACACGTTGTCGTCATCGCGAAGATGCGGCAGCTTCCGCGTCGGCGGTGGCCGTCCAAAGAGACCAGCAGTCGGACTGTCTGTGCCGCCATGAGTTCGCGGGATAGCGGTTGCTCGTGGAAGCGACGACGAAACAGGACTCGGCTCGGATGGCCGCGAATTAAGCAGCGAGCGGAGTCGAGTCTGTCTTGTCGTGCTCGGTGGCTCCATGGCCGTGCGCTTTGAAGTGACAGAGGGCGAGTCGTAGGCCTGATTGTCTTCAGCCAGCGATTCGATACCTCGCTTCAGAGACGTAAGGCCCTTCACCGGGTCCTTGGGCCCACGGCGGACGTTGCCAGAAATCGGCGCCAGCGGCGTAGATGGCGTGCACGGCAAAGGTCGCGCGGGAGGTGGTGGCTGCGGAACCAGACACGCTGCTACGGTAGCGGGCTTGGAGTCTTCAGTGTCCCTGGAGACTTGGGCGCCTGGCTCATCTGCGGGCTTTTCTTGGGACGCAGCTGGACTCGACTCGTCGCTGTTGTCTCTTTCCAAGAGCAGTTGTTGCTGGTAAAAGAGATGCCTTTTCCGTGGTGTTTGCACTGTGAGCTGCCCCTCGTCGAGGTCGATGCTCTCTTGTGACTCCCGGTAGTTCGCTAAACCCAGTGCCCGAGGCGTGTTGTCGGAGCTTTCTCGCTTCACCGCCGGCAGGATCTGCGGTGTTTGGCGGTCGTTCGATCGGTCGTTCGCGCCCTTCTTGAGCTTCTTAGTCACTCGTTCCCAGATGATCTCAGGCCCGTCGGAGGACGGCTCGTTCTTAATCGTCACATGGCCAGCAACGTCGTCTGAGCTGGTCGCACGCGGCGTGGGAAGCGCGGTCAGGTCGGGAAGGTCGGGCTGCGCCGCGTCTGACGACGGCTCGCTTTGTGTGGAGTCCGGTACAGTCTCGTTGTTCGCACCATCCGCACGGGTCCCTTTAGGGACTTTTTGTGGCGGCAGTTCCGGCTCAGCGCCGTCATCGTCCGCCGTCGGGTGGCCCAAGAAAGAATATGTTTCCGATGAGGTGAAACTAGCGCTCAGGGTCGGCTTGGTGACTTCGGCCTGTGGTTGCGGTTGCGGCTGTGGCTGTGGCTGTGTTTTCTCTACCATATCGAGTGCTGCTGGCGTGGATGTACGGTCCTCGAGCGGTACGGCCGTCTGTCGGGCCGCGGCCAGTTTCTTCTCCAGCTTCTTGATTTTCACCTCGAGGCTGTCGGCATATTCCACCCATCGGAGCGTTTCGGCCTTGCGCTTCCGAACCAACGCCACCACTTCTTCGAGCTGCGACTTGGCCACCGCATGTCGCATATTCGACTTTTCTAGGGCCTCCTGAAGCTCTTGCACGAGCTCGGACATGCTCTCCTGTGAATTGACGTCGCCTGCTGTGACCGGCCCACTCTGGTGCGCGGCATTCCGTGCGGCCTCGGACCGCTGAAGAGAATCTGTCAGCGTCGCAACCTGACTCCGCAGCTGGCTCATCTCGGATTCCATCTGCCCCTGCGATGCCTGCGAGTCTGCTCGCAGTTTGTTGTACTTTTGCCGCCATTCTTCGTCGCGCCTCTGAAAGTCTGGACGCCGGCCATCGATGGCCGTTGTCAGCACGCCATTCGCTTCTTCATGTGCAGTGCGCCCCCATCGTCTCTCCCCAACTCACCTGCTGTCACTTTCTCGTTCATTCCATCCAACGCGCGCTCAATTGCCTGAAGCAAGGCTGGCCGCCCTTGACGGACGGCGTCAGACATGACCGCGAGCTGTCGAATGCGGCTGCCGTTGCGGTGCTGCGTCAGATCAAAGTCATCCTTTTCGACCGAGCATACCACTTCATTAGGCGTTTGGTCCTCCTTTGTCGTGGCCCAGGAGCGTCGTCGTCGAATTGTGACGGCGAAAGTCCCTACTGCTCGTCGTTGTCATTGGTAGACGCGTGGGGCACAACGCGCCGACCGCGTTCTCCACACTATATTCTTGACGCGCCAAGGCACGTGATAGCACTTTGCCCCAAGTTTTCAGTGGCCTTTCAGGGCAATACTCTATCGCATAATTATGGAGAACCGCCCCTGCCAATCGCTCCCAGCACTTGGATGGCACTGTTTCGGCTGATCCACCCCTAAAACCATACCCGTAGCCTTTTTGCCTCTCACGGCCGCACCAGCTGCACGTAAAACCACGCCGTTTAAGCTGAAACCCTACAGTAGCACATCAGGGCTATCCAGCACAATTTGGCGGATTTTGGCACATTCTGTAATACCATTTACAGGAAGTCAGAATGCTAGGTAAAATATGCATTGTAGCCTTGCCTAGAAGAGACACAAAAGGAACAAAGAAAGGAAAGGGACCAAGCCAACAGCCTGACGGCTCGCGGTCGTTTCTGAACGACATGATAGTCTTTCTTCTTATCGTATGCCAAAACGCATAATTTCTGGCCCGTTATAATATCACACCTTGCCCTGTGAGCTGTTCATGTTTCCCATCTTCCTTCTTTCTGCCAGCGTCGGCGTGGCTCGGTGAACAAATGCCAAGAAGCCGCCCGCTGGCTCACCTCTCGGCGTTGGGCGTCGAAGGCATATCAACGGTGTAATCTTCCCAGGTGAAGACGGTGTGGCGGCCCGTGAAAGGCGAGCCAAGCATCAGGCGACACAGAAAGTGCCACTCTCACAGCTGCCCTCCGTGATCGTCGTCTTCGTGTAGGATACTCGCCCTCCTCTTTCAACCCCGTGGGATCATTTGTGACAAGGCGGCGGCAATCAACGTTGCCTTTTGAATTTTCCCATGTATGCAAAACGGGCGTTCTCTTGAAGCTCACTTTCGCTCAAGTCCCATGTACGGACGTCTGTGTCTTGCCATGATCCGTACATTCACGGACTGGCGCCTGCACTTGTATGGACACGGCACAACTGGAGACATATCTCCACGGTCGGTGTCGTCCAGTGGTCGAGTGAAAAGATAAAAAGTTGGACACTACCAGATTCCGTCCCGGCTGCATCGCGAGACTGGAATGACCAACGGCAGGTCGAAATGCCATGTCCTTCATCTTGGTGACTTCGGGAGCTGGAAGGCCCGCGAGCGGATCGGTCAGAGACAGCCGTTATCTCGTGGCACGAACGATTCCGTGGTAGGAACCAGATCAGATCCAGATGCAAAGAGATGGCATGATCTGTCGATAGTCACGATCGGACGCGCAAGGCAATGGCGCTCTGTAGGCTTAGGCTGATCGCAGCCGGACGGGGTCGCCGTGTGTGTAGCCAAGGGAGGCACAAGAGCAGATGTCGGATGCACGATAGAGCCATGGATTCTCAAAGTATAAAAACCAGACGAAGATGGGACGAGGATTTGCTGCACGACCGGCCGGGCGCAAAGTCAGAACATGACAGATTGGCAGACGTAACAAGACGCGGCAAGATCTGGCCAAGAGCAGCATTGTCCGAACCCATCTCAAGTTGCCAGGCAAAGCACGCCGCAGGTCAGACAATCAAACCGAAGCGAGTTCGCAGGGAGAACGACGAGTGCTCGCGCCAAAACGAGAGCCAAAGGGAAAAGAGCTCGTCCACCAAGTCGTACAAGGCACATGACACAGTGCCGAACGTAGAAAGCTTCCAGAACCCAAAGGGTAGGGTGCACATTTTGCCAAGCCGGACCTTACAAGCTCGGAAGGCTTCCAGAAGGCACATCAGACCGAGCATGCACGCCAACCATGGCAAACACACGGACCCCACCGAAGATCAGGCTGCGCTGGGACACGTTCGACGGGGAGAGCGGGATGGCACTCGTCCACTGGGCCAACAAAACCAAGCCTAGAAAGTAACGGACATGGCGAAATGGATATTTGGCGAGACTTCAACAAAGAAGCTTGAGAGGAATGGGAAGCTTGGAAAGATCCTCGTGACCGAGCACAAGCTCTCCTACATCTTGGCCGGTCGCTAAAATGCAAGTCTCTCAGCGCGTCGTTCGACAACAGGCGGTTCGTGGGATCGTCAGCATGGAACTGGCGGCATAATTCGAGGCGGCTCTTTTGGCTTCTTCCGCATGCCTCTTTCCCGAGTTTGACTGCGCGTGGCGAGATTCACGGGTCAAACGACAAGGCTGGGGGGAAGGCATTCATCGCCGACTCCGTCCTTTTCTAGAATGCAGTTTCCAAAGCATTGGCAACAGCAACGGTGCCACCTGTGGCTGATTCGCAAAACCACGCTCAAAAACCGTTGGACCACCAACTGTCGTCCAAGGCTTGCCAATTTCAACAGCGGCAGCCAACAGGAGCACCGTGAGTGCAACGCATCCGACCTTTACCTCTTCTGGGCCACTGCCATTTGATCATATACTTGTATGCTGCACAGCGTTGCGAGTGCCATGCTCCGACCGCCGTCTCCGTGGATATACGGGCGAGGCTGCCTCCGACATGCATGAGAGCAGCTATCCCGGTCAATATCAACATATTCTGGCCATCCTTCCAGATTCGTTTGTGGTTGACCGCTCAAGGCTGTTCGTCGCCTTACTTCGTCTGGCCCTTGTATCCTGCATATCGCCGGCGTGTCGTTTTAGATTCCGTTCGAAGGATTTGTTTGCTTGGCGGGAGGTAATGCCGGAGCAATACGAGCCGTAACCAGGGGTGGGAAGCCGTTTTGGGGGGGGGGGGGGGGGGGGGGGTGTTCTGTTAACCAAAGACAAACAGTAAGAAGGGTCGGAAACAAGAACGGATCAAAAGCGATAAGCACCCATCTCTTCCCAACAAGAAAGCACCTCCAGGGCCAATTGGCGCATATTGCTAAACGGCCGTTACACGACAGACAAAACACTGTAGCACCCCATCCAGAGTACAAGGCAATATGCCGCTCTCAACACCGCCGTATCGCCAACGTGCGCTGCATGCTGCCCCAACGCACGATATCCCACGCGGTCAGACAGACAAACCCGTGGTTCTCGATGCTGCTGCGTCCACATAAGGACCGTCCTTGTGTGGTTGTGGGCCGGGGAAAGGCGCATCCATTCGTCGCCTACCGCCGGACCAGCAAAACGACAGTCAGGTAAACAGATAGACAGACAGACGGGACAAATGACAAATTTGCAAAGGCAGATTCGCAGGTCTGAGCATCTCCGGTTGGGTTGGTGACGCGAGACGTTGAAGACGGACCCTGGCAAGCTGTCGCTGAAAAGACGAACACGACGATCCGCCAGGTGCTGGCCGAGCTGGGGGGATTGTGATCTGAGATGGCAGATGGCAAAATGCGAAGGCCGACACACCCCCGTCGGTTTGATCCAGACGATGGAAGGCCGCTTCAGTGCAGCCTGAACAGGGCGGACGAGGATCAAAATGAAAGACATGAAGTAGCCATGGAAGGGGGTCGTGGAAGGGAGTCATGGAAGGGGTCGTGGAAGGGGTCGTGGAAGGGGTCGTGGAAGGCGAATAAGAGCGATCATGAGTATCGTGAGGGACTCAGAGTCGCAGCTTTGCCTGGCCGGGTGGCATCGACAGGGACCAGGGGTCTGCTCAGGGCAGAGAGCATCTCGCCATGGTCCGTCACTCGCGTCCTCACCCATAAAGAAACGACCAGAATTGTCTGTCAGTCGCCTCTCGCCACAAATCGTCACAAATTGCCGTCTCGTCATCTCCTCCTCGCGACGTTGCGCAAGTCGAAAAAAGTTCTCAGCTCGGCACTGTCCTCGCTTGGCCTTGTTAGTTGGTTGCATGCGTCATCCGCGCGCTCGAGCCATATCCCACCGCCCACCACATTGCCCACACACCCCTTCCGAACTCACAGATGCATCTCGCTGTCGTCTGCACAGGTTCCCACGAAGATCTCGTCTGTGGTTCCCCTGCAGTGCCATTCCACACCCTCTCGCCCGTTTCGTCCGACCCATCCCACGCCTGTTCCGTACCGTTGGTCTTTGCGTTTCCTTTTTTCCACTCCATTTCACCCTTGCCGTCTCTGAGGATATTTCTGTAGGGAACACATGCATTTCTTTGATGTCGTTGTCGTTCTCGCATATTCTGACACGCACGTCCTGGCTCGCTCTTGCTTTGCACATTCACCTCTTGCCTGTGACGTCCGCTTTCACTTTCCACGCCGTCCTTGTGGATCCTCGTGTCCATCGTACCTTCCCTACATAAACTCCTCGAGCAAGTCGTCCATGTCTCCTTCGTGCCTTCCCGTCCCATTCGTTTTCTTCGCCTCCAGCTCGATTCATATCTTCGCGTGCCTTCCCCATACGTTTTTCGTTCCTGCCTTTCGCTACAGTCGCTACTTCTCTCCTGCCAACATAGCCCTAAACGTTTTCAGACAGCAAAACGACACTAACGCCAAAAAAAATAAATACTAAAAACGAGAAGAAAAAAAATCTTACCAAACCATAAAATCTCAACCGTTGCCCCTCCTTCTACAAATCCACTTCCCACTTTCGAGCCTCTTCGCCTCAAACTTGTCCTCAACCAAAACAAACACACACGCAAACCGTCTTTCGTGAGTACCCTCCATTGTCCCATTTCCTACGCATCACGACATTACCCTCTGTGAAGCTGTCTTGCGTCTGTATGCTCCTCCGCTGTACCTCCCCCCAACGCTACTTTGCCCCCTCTCCCCTCACCGCGATCGAGATCTTTTGGACCTCTTCGCCGCGTCAGATCCCACGAAAGTGTCACCGAATACGCGTTTCTCCTCCTCGCCTTTGTCTATTGTCTACCGGGACCTGAATCTTCAGGCCTCGAGCCTCTTTTGGAACACCAATTGGCCTTGCGGTCTCGCTTGCTTGTCGCCGAATTACAGCTAACAAATGCACTTGCAGACATCCGATCCTCCACGACTTGCTCTACTTTTCCTCCCACGGTTTCAGTTTCTTCCTCCCACCAACAATCAAAATGGATTTCCAGGGTCAGCAGGGCGGCCAGCAGAGCGGCGGCAGAGCTTGCTTCAGCTGTAAGTTTGTGATTGTTTCTGCTCTTTTGCATTGATTTCTTTATCGGCACCGCGCGAGATTCCAACCAGGAAAATATCGTTATCGAAAAACGAAAAAATCTGAACTACACTAAAAGCGGACTTTCCCCCCTCAAAGCGGGGCGGGGGCCAGCCATGCATTGGCATCACTGCCGTTCCTGCACCATTGCAGCTCATGTTGTCGTCACTTGACACACATCTGGCGTGCGACATCGACTTTGTTTAATACACATCTACCCCATACTCCATGCCCAGATGCCAGATCTGAGGGATCGTGCTAGTTTCGGGTATTCCCGAACAAGACGCAGTCGTCTGCACCCCAAGCTACTTTAAGAGGCCGAAGATTGTCATTCGAGCAACCTTGATGGCCTCTTTGACGGGCCACACGCAATTCCTATTGGCGGCCTCCACCCCCTCTCACCCATCTTCACCAGGCCCCATTCTCAATGTTGTGAACATGTATGGGCAGGCCCAAGGAGCCGGTGCCTTGCCCAGATCTTCATATTTCCATTTTCCCGCGTTTTCTGTCTTGATTTGGTACATGTGTGGAGTAACAAGGCTGACCATTCACCCGTCTAGGCGGCGCTACCACCCATCAGGTATGACAAAATAAAGCTCTCGGGCCGCGATGCATGTCTCGAGGATTTTTCGAGGCCCGGGGATCGGCTTCGGCCTTCCAGCCGTTGCAGCGGATCTCACGATTCCTCGCCTCCTTTTGCGAATGATATACTAACTCCTTTCATCAGGCCCGTGACTGCCCCAACCGTGGCGCTGCTAAGTGGTATGTTACCTGTTCTGACAGCCAGTACTGCCATCCTTCAGACGACATTAGCTAACGTTCTTTGTCCAGCTACAACTGTGGCAACGAGGGTCACATGAGTAAGCTTTGAACCCGTGATGGCGTACAGCATTTGTGGCTGTTTATACATGCGCACTCGAATCTCGAAAACTAACTATGCTTGATAGGCCGTGACTGCCCGGAAGGTCCTAAGGATACCAAGACGTGCTACCGGTGCGGCCAGGCTGGCCACATCTCCCGTGACTGCCCCAGCTCGGGTGGTGCCCCTGGTGGTGGCCAGTCGTCGGGCGCCGAGTGCTACAAGTGCGGTGAAGTCGGCCACATTGCTCGCAACTGCCCCAAGAGCTCTTACAACAACTCGTACGGCGGCAGCTCGGGCGGCTACGGCTCGTACGGTGGTGCTGCCAAGACCTGCTACTCTTGCGGCGGTGTCGGTCACATGTCGCGTAAGTACTACGGAGTCTTCCATGCACGCACACACTTAGAAGCGTACAAGTATAGTCCTACGGAACACTTTTGCTAACAGCATTTGACAGGCGATTGCGTTAACGGCAGCAAGTGCTACAATTGCGGCGAGACCGGCCACTTCTCGCGCGACTGCCCCAAGGCCTCGACCTCGGGCGAGAAGATCTGCTACAAGTGCCAGCAGCCCGGCCACATCCAGGCCGACTGCCCCAACAACTAAGGAGGCCATGCCAGCAGTAGCCTTGCCTTAGCGGCAGCATGCTCATCGTAGGCATACCTCACCTCGGCCACGAAAAGAACGGACATACCCACAATCCCTGTACACCAGAGAGCGAAGCAGCAGCCTTCTTTTGAATTGCGCTTAGTCACGAGATCGATGGAGAGAGGTTGGCAAGATACATTTTCCCTTTTTCCTTGTGGAAGCACCCTTTGTCCGCTCACGCGCAAAGGTTCACAAAACGGGTCGGGCATGGTATGAACATGGGCAACTGGATACACAAAAGCGGACGGGATCTCTGTGATTCAAAGGGATTTATTCTTTGATTTTTCTGTGTTTTTTCGACGTCTTCCTGCTGTTCTTCGGGATGCTTCTCATATTCTCCTTGTGTCGTTATTTCATTTTCGTCGTTTTTACAAGTTTCATTTTGTCACTTCCAAGTGTCTTTTCTCTCGTCTTCCACTTTGCCCCCCCTGTCCAACAGCCGAAATTGTCGTCTTTTTCACTCGCATTTCGCATATCGCATGTCGCATGTCGCATTCTTCTGTTGTCTTTCACGTTTTCCCATGTTCTGCACGAGAAATTTGAACGTAACGAACTTTGTACTGATTTTTGCGCAAAAGACGCTGGATGATGGAAACGTTTGCAAAGGGATTTCTCTACCAACGGAGTCAAAACGGTCGGACCACACGTCAATGATGTGGTCGTCCTGTGAGGAGGCCACCAAAAAAATTGCAGTTAACTATCAAACTCTTCCGTGCCGTGAAAAGTGAAAAGAGAAAAGTGTGACGTGAAAAGTGTATAGTGCAAATCGTCCCAAAGAGGCAACTGGCGGTTCACTCTCGGCTCGGTGATGTTTGATCCGTTCGGTGGCTAATACGGCAATCACGGAAGCAGGGGTGTTCTAGAAGACCCAAGGTTCGTGTGGCGTTCCGACGTCTGTGGGTAATCCCATATTGTCGTCCAGCCTTCTTTCCTTCTGGTCTTCTCCCCCGTCTGCCTCTCGGGCCTTCCCAATTGGGGTGTGGTTGACGAGGGTCGCAGCAAGGCAGGAAGGAGAGGGGCAGAGAGATCAGACGAACCGCTGCAGCTGCTCACCCCGTTTTCCACCCCTTTTGATGCGTGTGACCGTTTTTCTCCTGCATACGACCCTCACTCGTTCTCTCCGCTCCGTGTCCTGTCCCTTTTTGTGCTGCTGCGCATCAGACAGCGCTGTCGCAAATCCCCAGCATGGCCCACGTTAGATCCTCCATGTTGTCAACATCCGGATTATAATGCTCTTTTTTATTGAAAGGGTTTCCTCTGCAGGAGTCTTTTTTTTTTTTTGGCTTTGGCTTTGGCGGGTGTAAAAGGTTTTATTTTCCGTGAGGCCTGGCACGTGTTGTTGAATAAATGTGTATTGTGAGGACGAATCAATGAAATAGAACAGAATCCTTATAGGCATAGAGTATTAATTAAAAATTTTTTTTCATTTCATTTTTTTTTTTAAAAAAAATATTATATGTTTTTAAAATCAATCCAAACACTGAAAATTCTACTCGATTCACTTAACAATTAAATCACAAGTAAATCAATGTAAATTTGAGAAAAAAAGAAAAACCCATTTCGACTCGTCCAAACTATTTCATTACGCAAATGCTATTCAAATGCTATTCAAATGCCCTCGTATCTAAACACGTCCACCATCACCATCACCATCACCCTTTACAACACGACAAGCTCCTTATAGCACGGCCTTGGGCATGAACTTCATGGCTTGCCGCACACCCAGGTCGCCCAGGACCTCCTCGGCGCCGCCCAGGATGGCGTCGAACTTGTAGGTGCGGTTGAAGTTCTCAATGACGCGGCCCATGCCGGTCTGGGTGAGACCGCGGCCGCCCCAGATCTGGACCGCCTCGTCGGCGATCTCGTGGGCCATGCGGGTGCTGCTCATCTTGAGCAGGCCGATGGGGCCGCCCATGTGCTTGGCCTGCTGGTCAAAGGGCAGCTTGCACATCTGGTAGGTGATGGTCTCGAGCCACGACTGGTGGCTCTCGACGAGGGCAATCATTTTGGCGAGCCTGTCCGGTTAGCCATGCACGCGTATGGATGGTGCCACGTATGGTGCCATGTATAGTGTCATGTATGGTGATGTGGGACTCACTTTAGACGAATGACGGGCTGGTCAATGAGACGCTTGCCGAAGACGAGGCGCTGGTGCGACCACTTGAGGCACTCCTCGACGACGAGGCGGCTGTAGCGGTTGACGGCGCAGGCCATGCCCCAGCGCTCGTGGTTGAAGTTGGCCAGGATGACGTAGATGCCCTTGTTCTCTTGGCCCATGAGGTTGCCGGCGGGCACCTTGACATTGTCAAAGGTGATGTAGGTGGTGCCGGCTGCGGCCGAGTAGCTCGTCTTGATGGCCTTGGTCTCGACGCCCTCGCCGCGCTCCACCAGCAGCACGCTCATGCCCTTGTCCGTCTGGCAGCCCACGACAAAGTAGTCGCAGAACACGCCGTTGGTGATCCACTTCTTGGTGCCGTTGACAATGTAGTGCTTGCCGTCGGCCGTCTTGACCGCCGTCGTGCGCAGCCGCGCCACGTCCGAGCCCGCAAACGCCTCCGTAATCGCCAGGCAAATCTTCTTGCGGCCCGTCAGGCACTCCTCCATGACCCGCTTCTGCAGCGCCGCGTCGTTGGAGTAGTGCAGCACCACCGTCAGGCCAATCGTCAGCCCGGCCATGTTGCCGTCTTGGAACCCGCGCGACGCCGGCCGCACAAACTCCTGGGCCGCAATCATGTCGTGGAAGTAGTCAAACTCGCTTCCGTCCATGACGCCGTCGGGGTTCGCCTCGCTCTTGAGCAGCCGCACGCCGTGCAGGTGCTTGCCCGGCCCCAGGCGCATGTGCAGGATGCCCGCGGCCGCCATCTTGTCAATCAGCGGCTGGCCCAGGTGCTCGCCCGTGCGCTCCTTCTCAATGGCCTCGGGCTTGACGTGCGTGTCGACAAACTGGCGCAGCGCGCGCTGCAGCCGGCGGTGCGAGTCGTTAAAGTACGGCGTCTTGAACACGGGCGACAGCCACAGCGGCTCGGCATAGGGCACAAGCGACAGGTCGCCCGGCTTGGGCCGCACGATGCTGGGCGTCTCGCCCTTGATCGTGCCGACGGCCAGGTCGTCAATGTACTTCTCGAGCGCCTCCTGGCGGTGCAGGTTGTAAAAGTCCGACGTGGCGTCCTTGCCGGCGACCTGGCGCAGCACGAACTCGCCGCCGGGGTGCGCGTCGAGGAAGTCGGCCACATCGTAGACGACGGCGTCGATGATGAAGAGCACAGGGGCATCGTCGCCGCCCTCGGCCGTCAGCTTCTTGGCCGACGCGGCGACCTCGTCCCGTGTAAACGTCTTGTCCGGAATAGGCATTTTGTGCATGTGATGGAATCTGTGGAAGAATCGGGGGTGTCGTGACGCAGCGGATTGTGTTGGTTCGGCAAGAAGACGAAGTAGGGATGTGGGAGCGAAAAAGAAAAGAAGAGGACAAAAAGGAAAACACAAAGAAGGAACAGAAACAAGACAAGTTACTCAAAGGGCAAGCGACGTTCGTGGTCATCAATCGTGCCTTCCCCTCAAAGACGCCCACTGGTGGCCTACCCCGACGCCAGCCGGACCTTCTGTAATCAGAGTCGCCAGTTATGCGAGTCAGCACACCTACAACGAGTTGTGCCTCGGCTCTCAGCAGTGGGACGCCCCAGAAACGGAACTGGTGTCTGGGCTCCCCAGACCCGCTGACCGATAGCCACATTAGACGCCGTATGATTGGCCGAACGGCACAGCCTGCTCCACATTCGCGTGCCAGTAAACTCGCCTAGCTGTTCCGAATGTGGGAGTCGTCCAGGAACGGTTCACTTTGGCATTCATATGAGGCTCTTATTGAATATGGAGTGCTTTTACCACCACCAATACCTCAGTACACTTTTTATCACCAGAGATGCATAGACGCGGAACTCGAATGTTGCAGAAATATAACATGATTCGGTGAACAAACATGCTGGAAACAAACAATTCATGACGCAAAACGATATTTTATACACATATTATGCTGTGAAAACAAAACCGACAAAGTAGACCACAATCCAAAACGAACCTCCGACAAGAATGGGAATCACGAGAAATGGAAAACAAGACACGCCACATGCCCACCGACCGCACCCGCTTAGTTTGCGGCGCCAGGACGGCGGCGCTTGAAAAAGGCGAGCGCCTTGGCCTTGGGATCAAAGGCGACCGGCAGACTGGGCATGCCGCCGTGGGCGGCGCAGGTCTGCGGCATCAACTGGCCCTGCGACTCAAAGAAGAACTTGGACACCTCAAACTCGTGGAACGCGCCGGGCGTCGCGCACACGCGCTTGACCGTCGACGAGCGCAGCTGCGGCCAGCACTTGTTGCACCAGTAGAAGCTGGGCGGCGTCTTCTTGGCCGTCGAGACACGCACAATCTTGCTGCACAGCTTGTTGGAGCAGCAGACGAGCGTGTCGGGCTCGTTGTTCTTGCCGGAGCGCTTGCTGGCATTGGGGCCGGAGTTGCTGCTGTTGCTGCTGTTGCTGGTCGCGGCGGCGCCGTGGACGGCCGTGGCGTGGTGGTAGGGAATCGCTGGCCAGTCGGTGCGGTAGTCAAAGGCGTTGCTGATAAACATCTCCGACTTGGACCGGAGGCCCAGCGTCTCGCACACGCTGTTGCACGTGTGCGTCGAGAAGAAGAGCTTGAAGCCGTCCACGCCCAGGTTCGTGTCCGTCAGCACGAACCGGTGCGGGTCCCGCGTGTGGATGGCCGGGTCTGTCAGCACGTTGTCGACGCCCTGCAGGTCCGCCACGAGCAGCTCACCCCGCGACCGCTCAAAGGTAAAGTGCGAAAAGGCCTGCGCCGCCTTGCTGATCTCGGACCCGCTGTCGTCGTTGACGCCGCCGCAGTTGTTGTTGTACTTGACATAGCGGCCGTTGTCCAGCATCGGCTCGAGCGACAGGCACTCCTGTGTCTCTTCGTCACGGGCCGTGCTGCTGCCCCTGGACACGACGCCGTCCGCCGTCATCGGCTGCAGGCACGTCACCACAATAAAGTCGAGCGCGTGCGCCTCGCTGGTCACCAGGCTGTTGAACTCGAGCGCAAACGCCTTGCACAGCGCCTGCATGCGCATGTCCTCGGCGAGATCGGCCAGCCGCTTGCCGTTGGCCTTGAACGTCTTGACGACCAGCGGGTTGGTGGATTCTCGCGTCCGCGCATACGACGCGAAGCGCAGGGCGCCTTGGGCAAACGGCTTCGTGCGCCGGAGGATGACCAGCTCGTTTGTGCTGATGCGGATGTTGTCGTCGCTCAGCATCATGCGGTCAAGAATCGATGTAGCAGCTCCAGGCGCGGCAGCAGCAGCAGTGGCTTCGCTCGCTTGGCCTGCCGAGGCAGTCGTTGGCGGCGCAATGTCAATCACATCCGGTGAAAAGGCCTTGACGTGCATGGTATGGTCCAGCCAGCCCGGTACGTTCCACTGCGGCTCGCTCGTGTCAAATTCAAAGGGGTTTGGCTTGTTTGGCTCGACCGGGTCCTTCCCCTCTTCGTCCTCTTCGTCGGCCTCGACAATCGTCTCGGCCAGCGTACTGGCATCGGTCGCATCGCGGGCCCCACGAACGTCGCGCCCATTCAGCCACTCGCGGCAATCTTCGAAAACATCCACCTCGTCGTCCTCGGCCAGATCGCTGAGCGGTGCCTTCTGGTGTGCCAGCTTGGAATTCGTGATGCTCGGCCGATTGCGTCTGCCGCTGGCCGACAGGCTGGATGACAGACGCACGGCAGTCCGCGATGAGGATGCCGTGACGCCATTGACGACCAGGTGGCGGAGCGAGCTGTAGCTGCTGCCGAGCTGCACCTCTGCAAAGTAGAGGCCGCCCTCGTCCTGCATCTTCTTCTCCGCGTACTCCTTGTCCGACGACGCCCGCTGCATCTGCGCCCGGTTGCGGGCCGTCTGGCTCTTCAACCACCGGCGGGATTCGAGGGCATGTTTGTTCTCGCGATGAAGATTGCAGGCCGTCGTGTGTTGGCCGTAGACCATCATGAACGAAAAGAGCATGCGGTCCGTGATGAACCTGATTCGAAAGAACACGTAGTTGAGCTTGCGATTGATCATCTCCTTGAGGACCAGCTGGTACTGCAGGCCATGCGGCTCCTTGCCGACCATATGGAAGTGGTCCTTTTCGCGGCCCATGTCGTGCAGGTTGGAGCCGTGGGCGGGCGCGTCGGCAATGTGCATGATGCACCGTGTCTGGTGCTTCCACGACGCTTTGAGTGCCTGGTCGAGGCCACCCAGGACGTCTTCCGCGGTGTCGCCGCCACCATAGGCCGTTAGCTTGTCGAGGAACTTGAAGACCTTGTGGACGTCCGCGGTGAAATCCAGAAACTGAAAGTGTTTCTTTTCTCCGTGGTCGCGGTACGCGACGACGGCCACGCGCACGTCGGCTTCATTGAAGAATGTCCGGTTGATGTCGTTGACAATTTCCTTGACTTGGATCTTGGCGGCCTCGATGTAGGGCATCATGGAGCCTGTGGCGTCAATGAGAAACAGCAGGTCGGTCGAGCACGAGGCCTTGAAGATGCCCGTCGACACGCGGGGCCCGGCGCGGGTGCTAGCCTGCGCGGCGTCGCTTTGGAGCTGCAGGACTCGCTTTTCAGCCTCGGCCGCGGACGGCCCCATCCGGTTCTGAACTTCGAGGCGCCGGGCAAACTGCTCCATCTGGCTGGCGTTTCGCTCGGCTGCTGTCCAGGGCCCTGAAAAGGTCTCCCGCAGGTTGCTGATGGAGCTGCGGAAAAAGCCCCGCTGAGAGGACTGGTTGGCAACCGGGCTGGTGTACGGGTTGGAATAGGCGTTGTCACGGGAGGCTGCATTTTGCTGGGCATCCCGCTGTTTGAGAATGGCCTTTTCGTCCGGATACTCGGTGGCCCCTGGTGCTTGTTCGCTGTGCGTGTCGATATCTGCACCGCTGTTGGCCGAATCAGTCGCCTCATATGGCGGAGGCAGCGCTAGGTCAGACGAGCGCCGGGGGCGCTGTGTTGGAGCGGACATTATGTTATGTGGTGTGATGGGAAAGCAAGCCCGTGTCCAGCTGACTTGGTTCCGGTTTCAGTGAGTGTAAATTTGTCGATGCCTTTTTGTGGAAGAATCACGATAAAAGAAACAACAAATGGCCTGAGAATCTTCAAGCAGGCAAAGACGAGTTCAACTTTGCGAGAGCAGGAGAGACGCAAATATTTAATGCCTCCCCGATGCCTCTCCTTATCCAAGCGCATGTGCCAACTGGCAATGCAGCCGAATGAGTCCTTCGATTCTTGGCAAGGCTGCCTTGACGCCGATTACTGGACGGACGGTTATGGCTGTCTCCAGACCACTGCGCGTCGAGGGAGTGGAGTCAGGCGAACGAGCACCGCAGCACGCAGCTACCTATCAGCGAGTAACATCGCTGGGACCGCTAGTTGAATTCCGTCAAGTGCACGACGGATTCCGTACAAGGGAATCCTTTGCTGTTTGTTGGTTGTATCTCGCGTCGTAGCATTTTTGGTGGTGTAATGGCAGCAGGCGGGTCGGACGGGGAAGTGTTGAGGCGGAGCCATGGTGCGAGGAGAAAACATGCACCAGCCATGCGAGAGGCAGACATTGGGCAGCGATTAGACTGGCTCACTGGGATCGTGACCGAGAGATTGAGACTGAGACTGAGGCTCGGTCGAAGAGAACAAGGCGAACTGGACGGGCGATCTGCGTTTAGGGGTTTGTTTGGGACAGCGGGATGGCTCCTGCCTTGCAAGTGACGCTGTTGGGTTGGGGTTCGAGGGAAGGCACGACTGCGCCCCGTCCGGAGAACTGCACTAGTGAGTCACAGTGGGAAAGATCAAGAGATCCGACAGCCAGAACAGCGGCACCATCAACATCACTCCACGCGCAAACGTCCGTCGTGTCCTTTGAACAAGTGCTCATGGTGCCGTGCGTAAGCCTCGTGCAAGCATTGGCCAACGTCTTCTTGCATCTCAACGCTTCAAACCGTGTCAACGTCTCGGCAAGTTAAGATTGCTACATCTCCTATGGCTATGGCTGCAGCTGCGGCTGCTTCTCCGCTTCTCCGCTTCTCAGCTGTGCAATCGATACAGCTTGCCCACCGGGAAGCGACAAAGGTTACCGAGTTGGTAGCCTTGGCGTAATAGCATATCTACGTCGTAGAGCATATGTGCTCTCCCTGAGACAAGATGCTAAGGCCGAACAAGCTCCACTATTCGGGCAGGTACGCCTACCAGACACGGAGAACGTCGTACGGGCAATAAGGCGCATCGTCGGACCTTCAGTCAAGCTGCAAGATTTGTACTGCTTTCGACATTGCTCTCTACAGAGTATATCATGGCGTGGCGTCCTTGGTGTACTGTAACAATGACCACGATGTAGCTGCTGTGAGGCGTTTGGCCTGAGTAGTCATGTCTCTGGAAGGAGCTATGGCGCGAACACTGGGCTCACTCCGGAATGCTCTTTCCTCCCGCTCGTTCTTTCCGCCTTTGACCATCACAGCCCATCTTTCCCCGAGACTTTAGTGCCCATCCCCGCTCCAAGCTCTCCCCAAATCCCCACCAACCGCGCTGCTGGATCGACCCACAATAGACGCGACAGCTGCTGCGTTTCTCCACTGTGCCTTCCAAAAGCTGTTGCTTGTTTGCCAATCTGACCTTCACGTGCATTTTGGTCCCATACGTCGCCCATCCCTCTTCAAACGCCTCGTATAACGCCATCGCCCTGCACACACATCCTCTCGCACCCTCTCCCCCATCGTTCGACAGCGTTTCGACTCCTCCAACCACCCATTTCTAATCTTTGCGGTTTTGCACATCGCCACAATGGTCAACATTTCAGAAGGCACCTTTACGGTGAACGGCCAGGAGCTGTACACCAAGACGTGGCTGGTAAGTCGCCGCCGGCCTTTGGTCTGCTTCTGGACTGAACATCGAGCTGACCTCCCCCTTTCTCGTACAGCCTGACGGCCCCGTCCGTGCCAAGCTCATCGCCATCCACGGCTTCAGCGACCACATCAACAACTACCGCGAATTCTTCCCCACCCTCGCCGAACGCGGCATCGCCGTCTACGGTTTCGACCAGCGCGGCTGGGGCCGCAGCGTCCAGAAACCCGCCGACAAGGGCCGCTCGGGGCCCACGGCCACGGTCTTGGCCGACATTGTCGCCTTCATCAAGCCGCACCTCGGCGACGAGACGCCCGTCTTTGTGGCCGGCCACTCCATGGGCGGCAACGAGGTCGCCACGCTCATGGCGGCGCCCGCCGGCTCGGCGCACGAGGCGGAGGTCGTGTCCAAGGTCCGCGGCTGGCTGCTCGAGGCGCCCTTTTTCGGGTTCCCCGCCGGCGAGGAGCCCAGCGCCCTGAAGATTTCCGTGGGCCGCCTCGCGAGCCGCCTGCTGCCCAACTTCCAGATCAAGAACAAGATCCCCGTCGCGTACCTCAGCCGCGACAAGGACATCCGGGCCGCACTCGAGGCCGATCCGCTGTGCCACGACACGGGCACCCTCGAGGGCTTGGCGGCCCTGCTGGACCGTGTGACGGAGATTGCCCAGGGCCGCGTGAAGCCGGGCCCCAGCGTCAAGAGCATCTGGGTGGGCCACGGCGACGCCGACAAGTGCACCAGCTTCGTCGCCAGCAAGAAGTGGTTCGACACGTCGGCAACGGCCGTCCCGGACAAGACCTTCCGCAGCTACGAGAAGTGGGTGCACCAGCTGCACGGCGAGCCCCTGGCGGACCGCCAGCTGTTTTACCGCGAGGTCGGCGACTGGATTCTGGAGCGCGCCGGCGGTGCCAAGGAAGACGCGGCTGGTGCTGCTGCTGACGCCCTTGTCTCTGCTCCTGCTGCCGATACCGACGGCGCTCCTGCTGTGCAAGATGCCCCTGCTACGGAGGCAGCTGCTGCTACTGCTGCGGCCGAGTCAAAGCTGTAAGATTGTAGTTGTTATGCGAAGGACACCTGGATTGTGTGCTTTATTAGGATGTTCTTATTTCCGTTGGATAGTGTTTTGAAATATACCCTCCATACATGCATTATTGCCGTACGAATCGCCGACAAAGTGGGCGACAATAAATGAGGCCACGAGAGAGGGAAGAAAGAAATATATGCCATACACATGCAATAGTCCTACCATCGTACAGTACAATGGTGCCTCGCACCGTCCCCGACCCATTGATGTCCTCCCTATCATGCCATTATCCAATTTTGCTTCCAAAGTCTCTTCCCCGCTCCTCTCAAAAAGTGCCAAAACAAAAGAAATACAGCAGCAAAACAAAGGGAAACAAACCTCTCATGTATCCAGTACATCCAATTCCTCTTCCGAGGGCAGCGCTGCCGCCACTTCCTGCTCGGGGTAGCTCTCGTCCTTTTCGAAAACGATGCCGGGGCCGAGATACGAGGGCTCGGCAATCTTTGTGTCCGAGGTATTGGGCGGTATGGTAACGTCGTCGCCGCCCGTGCCGGCGCCTGCTGCACCGCTGTTGCTACTGCTTTGGTCGTAAATGCTGCGCACTGAGCTGGTCTCGAGACCGCCGGGCTTGATCGGTTTCGGGCTGACCACGGCGGGCGGCGCCTGGGCGACATAGGTTGGGGACTCGATGTTCTCGGATCCAAAAGGAAGCGGCCGCAGCGGGATGGTACGGGGTGCATCGCTAGCCTCACCCCGGTCGGCATCGCCGGCGTTGCCCAGCTTCTGGAATAGTATTTCTGACTGCTGTTTGGCCAGCTTCTGCAGCTGCGTGGCCGGATCCTTGTTGTTCCCAAGATTGTTAGTACGTTTCAGGTCATCACTACGATCTTGGTCTTTTAGATCGCTATGATCGCCAAGACCAGCAATACGATAGCGTCGCAGATGTTCGCAGAGGCAGTCTGCCGGCGTCCACACTACGCCATGCACACATACCCAGTCGGCCTGCTTCGGCACACCATCGGCAGCCGGCAGCAGGTGCGTGCCGTCACCGCCTTCCGCATCGTCATCGTCTGTGCCAAAGCTGGGACCACCACTGCCCCAGTAACTGGATCGACGAATCGGCGCTGGTGTGACGGGTAGACTGGGTCGTTCTACTTCGCTGGGGAAGTCTGTGACTTTGGAGCCGCGCCTCCACGGCGCGGAGGCGGCGTCGTCAGCGCCACCGCCACCGCTCACGTCACCGACACTGGTTCCTGATCGCAGACCGCCACCGGGCGCTTGGCCACGGCTCCTCACTCGGCGGTGCTGCTTCTGGAAAGCGTCGACGTACCGCTCGATCTGGGGCACCCCGTCCCAAGCGTTGGTTCGCGTAAACGACGCCCAGGGGTCAGAGGGCGGCACGTCACGAGCGGTCGATGGCATGGTTGGTGTGGTGGGCTCCGTCTTCAAATCCATCGAGGGCGAACCTGTGGTCATAGATGGCTCAGCTCCTGGCTCCTGGAAGGAAGGGTGTGGATGGTCGCCCGACTGACCCGAATGCGTTTCGGCTCGGGTCGGTTCAGATAAGGGGGCTGGTGGCGGCGGTGGCTCGGCAAAGACACGGGTCGCTGGTGGTTGGTGCGTCTCCCATGGGAAGATGGCTGCCGGCCGCTCGTGCGCAGGGGCAGGGGCCGCCTTTGGCACTTCATACCACATGTCGCGCGGCGGACTCGCGTACCGCGGCGGCGGGATGAACGGCGTTGCGTCGCGGGACATTTCGTAGTGGGTCTGCGGGAAGTTCATTGCCTCCGGTTTAGCATTTGTCGGCGGTGGCTGCCTAAAAAAGAGAAGGACAGCATGTTAGCAAGACGTCTCATTTTGGGATCTCTATAATTCAGTACAGCGGCCAACATACCATTGAGCATCCCAACTGGGCTCCATTGGGGGTCGTTCTGGCTCATGCTTTTGCTCTTGTGCCGGAGGTTGAGACGTTCCCGGTTGTGGACCCGGAACCTGGTCTTCTCGAGTCTCAGTGCGCGTGTTCCCATCAGAAATCGCAAAAGAGACAACATGGGGCGGGTGGTGCGAGGTGTCTTGCTGAAACAAAAGAGAGGACGCTGGGGGAGGAGCAGGTTCGGAGCGATCATGCTCATGGGACTGGTTTTGATCATGATGACTGTGAAATTTGTCATGTTGATGTTCATGGTGGTGATGAGGATAATGAGGTTGCTGGTCAGGTGGTCCATGGTCATGTTCATTGTTTTGTGGTGGTGGTGCTGCTGGTGCTGGGGAATGTTGCAGGTGCTGATGCTCGCGGGACGCATAAAACGACTGGGACGGGGGAGGAGGCGGCAGAGTTTCTGAATGCTGACCGTATGTCGAGCGCCCGAGATCCAAGGAGGGCTCGCCGGGAGTTATTCTGTACGTAATGGTCGGGTGATATTCGCCTTTCACAAAGTACTGAACAATCTCTGGGGGTGGATTCTTCGCGGGAAGATTGGACCCCTTCGGAGGAGGGGACTGTCAGGGGAAGGTCATGTCAGTACGCCATATAATATGGAACGGGCGCCAAGCCCATAGAAGACCAACAAGGAGCTAACGTACAGCAGGGCGATAATGGCGATCGTAAACAGCCCACCACTGTCCGACCATCTCGTCGTAGACACCGCCACCGTGGGAAGCACCGCGGCCCCGGGTCCATGGTTTGTCGGAGCCGATGAAGTGGACCATGGTGACATTCGATTGGAAGTGGCGGTACGCCGGAAGGTACTGGTAGTGAGCAGACGGAGTGACGTTGTAGGTAAATGGCAGGCGGTGGTAGGAGTTCTTAAAATACATGTTCAGGAGGCCCTGGTCGGCGCCGTCAAAAGAGATGCCGCGCTGGGCCATGGCAGAGAGGGCGTAGTACTCGCCGACATTGGGTGTGAGGACCATGACGCCGGTGTTGAACAGATCGGGCCAGCCGATGTCTGGTGCTGCGGCAAAGGCGTGGGGGAGGTCAAAGAGCTCATCGGGGGCCCGGTACGCGACAACATCGGCGTCGATGTAGACGATCTTGCGGAACTGGGCTTGTTTCCAGAGGTTGATCTTGGTGAAGGCGGAGTGGAGATCGGGGCGGTTCATGAGGTGAAGTTTGCCGGCCGAGGCCTCGTTTTTGATACGCGGCACGGATATCACGTAGTCGTACACATTCTGCGCGTGTCAGTTGCCAAGAAAGCACAGCCGAGGAGTGGGAAGAGGAACAAGGACGAGGCTGGGAGCTGGGAGCTGGGAGCGCACTTTGAGCTGGGTAATGACCTCGGCGGACACGGAGTCGAGCGTGGCCAGGACGGCCAGCTTCTTGGACGTGCCGGCATCGCGGAGCGAGTGGGCCAGAACAAGGGCGCCTGGAGGGTGGACAGGGCTTTAGCACGTGCACCGAAGCAGACAAAAGAAGACGTGCAGCTGTAAACCGGGCCGAAAGGAGGTCTCGCGATCCGGAGCTCGGTCAGCTTCCGGAGCTTCGAGAGCTCAGTTCGGCCTCGCAACAATAAGCCCAGAATCTCAGTTGTCTCAACCAAAACATACCTGGCAAGTACGTGTCGCTCGTAAGAAGCTGCAATGGGGCGTCATCAGCATGTTAATCTCACGAGAAAACATAAATATTAAAAGGCGATGTCGCTGCGGTTTGCGGGGGAGAGACAGGTGACCACCGTCTGGGAAGCTGAGACAAAGATGCGTACCGTGGCGTAGATGTCCTCCCCACTCTGAAGAGCCATCGCGTTGGAAAAGCGATTGAGCGTCCTGAGGGGAGAAGTGAAGCGCGATAAGCAATCGAAAGCAAAATGGACGATGCAGAAAAGGACAACAAAAAATCACGCAGACGAGAAGGCAACAAGGCAAGAAGAGCGAAAGAAAGAGCGTCCGGAAGAAGGAGCCGCGACGCGGAGCTTTAAATGAGCTTGGGGGGTTGTTAGGGGTGGTGGTTGCCCGATAAGTGGGTCGCGAGGCGTGAGGAACGAGCAGTGGAAAGGGCGACTGGAGCTAAACAAGCGAGACACCAGGAACCGCGAGGCAAGAGCGATGGGCCAAAACACGACGGCAAGACGAGAAGCCGCCAAATGGCTGAGACTTGTACAGAAAACAGCAAAGAGAACAAGGGAAAGAAAACGGAGCAGTCAGGAGAGGAATGAAGAGAGGTCCGAGGGGCGGAGACACGCAGGCGATATTAGCCAGGAAAGAGGGGATGTCGACCGAGACAAAACACGAAGCAACACCAAATACACAAATGATGTACAAAAGTGGCGTCACCACATAGATAGAGCCGGCTGGAGGAAGGAGCTGGAGAATGGAGCCGGGAGGACAAGACGGAAAGAGCGTTGGGACGGCAGACGGGAAGGCAGGTACCAAGGCGAAGATGAGATGCCAGAGAGACAAAGGAAGAACGCCTGTTTGATGCAGCACAGCTTCGACACGGCGAGGATAGAATGCGGAGAGCATCGAGACAAGAGGAAGAAAATGAGGCACGTCGTGCTATGTGACCATGTGCATGTATGCATGTGTGCAGGCATGTAAGAGTGGAGGAGGCGACATAGCCGTTCTTTCTCTCGCTCGTTCTTGTTTCTTGTTTTCTTTTCCTTGTGTTTTTGCGAATGCCTCCTCTCCGTCTAGGCCAGTTTGGGAAAAGGAACCCTGTCTTTGCTGGTGGCCAGAGCTTTTGCTATATATTTCGTAATTAGTCCATGACTGGATTGTTTGGTGGAGCCAGCGGGCCAGACCAACGGGTCGGCGCATCGGGGGCTCCTTCCACTGATCTTTGAGAGAAGTTCGTGGCAACAACATCGCTGCTCTCAAACGGGAAGGAAGCAAGACGGCGGCTTTGACACCGCAAACTACATTGACATTCTGAGCTGCAGGACTCTCTTGTCACCTCTAGAATGCTTTGCAATTAAGAAGTTCCAGGTGGTGGTATTTGGACACAGTGCAGCTTTTAGTTGCCTCTCGGCCCTCTGCCGCATCCTCGCACCTCCCAAGCTCAGATATTGCCTTGGATTGATGAAGCTTGGGACAAGGCCATCCTTTTGCGTCGTATTTATCCCTCTATGTCTCGAGAAGGCGTATTGTCTAATCTTGGCAGATGCTGTCTCGTCTGCAAAGGCACCCGAGACCAACGGCGGAATGCGATTCAGAACCATATAAGACAGCCTCAAACCATGTCATTCATCTTACTTTGCACACCATACTCGTTTTACCTCGTCCGCTCCTTCCAGTTTCCTTGTCTTTGGCAGCCTTGTCCCTGGCTCCGGGACTTTCCTTTTCTGGCCAGACAAAGTCAATCATCGGGGTCTGCTACCGTAAAATAGGAAAGAGCCAATTCTGAAGACTACGTTGGATTATGAAAAGCAGCGTCGAGCGCGCTGCCAGCTGCCAGATCCCGCTGCCAACGCTAGCTGCCAAACTAGGAGACGCGCCCGCTGGAAGGTAGGGCAGCTAAACAGAGACTGCCACCATCTCCGACTATCTCCACTTTCTGCAGCACCACCCACCACTCAGGCTGTTGGCAGCAGAGCATGTTTTGCATGTCAAGCCAAAGAATGCTCCGCTGATCTGCGCCCATCGCCTCGTTTGCTGCGAGCTGCAGCTTTCCCCGCATAACGTCGGCTGCGGAGGCGAGCAGCTGCCCCCTCTCCATTGGCTGCCGTAAAACCTGCAATTGCTGGACATGAGTTTCCGCTGCAGCCGCCATCTAGCTGATGACGGCAGAGGACGCTGCAGAAAGACTGGTTTTCCGTCTGCAACGCAATGTGCGCGCGTGACATTGTGGCAGACATGGCCCTTCACTCTGCAAAGCAGGGAGGCAGGGTGCTTGTCCGCAATGCAGCTGTATGTTGTATTTTTGAAGCATTTTTATTTGAAGCTTTTCTGTTTCAAAGGCAGTGTCGTGTTCGTACGGTCGTGGTCAAAAATGCAAAAGGAAAATCATGCTGCGCACTGGGAGAGAGATCTAGAACAAAGAGGAGTATCACACAGAGAAATATCAAATAATCAACCCAACCCAACCCAACCAACCGAGACACGCCTCACCAAAGCATCTACAACGCCACTCTCCGACCTCCCTTCGGCCACACACTTTCCCGCCCCGCCTCCTCACAGGTCCTTCTTGTAGGCGTGCTCGGGCTTGTGCGTCGTCTCGTAGTCCACGTGCACATACGCGCGCTCCACGTCCGGCAGGCACTCCAACTTCGACTGCAGCGCCTCTGCGACATCGTGCGTCTCGCCGAGCGTCGCGTCCTGCGGCATCACCACGTCCACCTCGGCAATCAGGCGCGGGCCCGAGTGGTACACGCGCACCGTGTCAATCTGCTGCACGGCCGGCGAGTGCGTCACGCAGACGTAGGTGATGAGCTGCTGCGTCTCGACGGACGCGACGACGCCGACGAGCAGCAGGAACTCGGCAAAGGCCGTGCGCAGCCAGATGGTGGACACAATGACACCAATCAGCACGGCGCCCGCCGGGTCGATCCACCAGACGAGCTTGCTGCCGCCGACGCTCGTGAACAGACCAAAGCCGTTGATCAGCAGGTCGTTGCGGTGGTCCTGCCACAGAATGTTGACCTGGCTGTAGCGGTCCTTGATGGCCCAGGTGTAAAAGAACAGCACGAGCTTCGTGGCAAACGCAATGGCCACGGCGAGCACCGACGGCAGGTGGAACTTTTTGGTGTCGCCCTCGTCGGGGGAGCGGCCCTCGACGAGCTCGCGAATGGAAAAGGCAATCAGAATGAAGGAGACGGCCGTCATCAGGAAGCAGAACACGATATTGCCCACAGTCTCGAGGCGGGCCTTGCCGGACGGGAACCGCGCCGGGTCGACACGCTTGACGGCGCGGTTGGACACAATGAGGGTGACGTTGGAGAGCGGGTCGAAGATGGCATCGGCCATGGTCGTGAAGAGCGAGAGCGAGCCGGACGACACGGCGCCGTAGATTTGCAGCGCAGCCAGAATCAGGTTGGCCGCGAACGAGCCGTACACGGCGATGCGGTAGCGCAGTTGGTCATCGCCGTGCTCCTGGCGGGCCTCGGCCTGGTGCTCCTCGACGCTCTTGAGCATGTTCTCGATGGTGGCGTTCTGCGACTTGTAGAAGCCCTGTAGCTTGCGCTTCTGGAGCGCGCGGCGCGCAAACGACGGCATGCCGGGAAACCGAATGGACGGAAACGGGATCGGCAAACACCGTGCCAACAGCCCCTTGTTGCTCCTCTGCTGGCCGCCGGGGCCATTGGCGTGTCCCCCGCTGCTGCTGCTGCTGCTGCTGCTGCTGACGACACCCACGTCGGCTCTGGTGTTGCCACCGGGGCTGCTTCCACCGCTGCCGCCGTCGCCGCCGCTCCCTACACCGGCGGCATTCTTGGCATTCTTCCTCTGCGTAAGGGTCGACTGGATTTGTTCGAGTTCCTTGTCGGTCTTGTAGGCCGACGACAGGCCGTACGGGTCGTTCTCGGCGAGGACATGCGGCAGACGCCCGGCGCCACCAGGACCGACCGTCGTCTGGCCTTCGACATCGGTGACCCGGCCGGCTGTCTGGCTGCTCATCGCGCTCTGTTCGCTGGGGCTCCCCGGGTGGATCGCCTGGTGCCGCTCCACGGCAGCACCATCGTCCTCCTCGGGCTTGTAATCAACGCCTGTACTAGAGGCATTGTTTTGGCCGGTGCTGCGATCGGTGCGGTCGATGCGGTCCAGGGCGCCTGGTGTGCGCGACGATGAGCGGCTCGCCGGGGCCGAGTGCTCGAGCCGGAAGGGGTGAGGGTGTTTTGTGATGCTGGCGCTCAAGTCGGGCTCCATGGCTTGTTCGTGTACCTCGGCGCTGGGCCACAACTCAAACTAAAAGGCGAAGCGTTTTGGGTGTTGTTTGTGTGGAGCTTGGCGAGGTGCTCCTTTCGAATGGCAAGTCTATCAGAAGAGGCACGTCGCTGGCCTAACGGGACGATGTAGTTCGCATGCGAAAGAAGAACCGAAGGTGGAAGAGAAAGAAAAGAAAAGTGAAAATGGAGGAGGAGATGCAAAGTAGCTGTGCGGAGGAAAAGAGTCAATTTAGATGGAAATAAAATTGTGAGGGTGGATGTGAGACATTAAATTGGATGAATGCGGGATAGGGAAAGAGGAGAGGGTCTCGCGGAAACCGAAAAGAGGAAGGAGCTGCAGGTCTCAAGCGCAGGGCAGGATAAGATAATAAAAAATAAAAATAAAAATAAAATAAAAATAAAATAAAAATAAAATAAAAATAAAATAAAAATAAAATAGAAATAAAGAAAGAAAGAGAGAAGCCGGTGTTCAACACACAGACCACAGGCGGCAGAGTCAGCGACAAAGCGCCGCCCCTCGGCAGCACAACCTCGGACCCCGAAATCTTGCACAAATCGAGAACGAGGAAGAGGGGGGAGGCGGTGGAGGAAACACAAAACCCAGAAGATTAGATGCGTCTCCACACAAGCCAAGATTCGATGCAGCAGATAAGAATGGGGGGGGCGCACGCCTGGGAAAGTCGTTGCGTTCTTGGACGGGCGGCGATCGGTCGGGTCGCGTATTTTGTTCGATTTGAGGTGTTTCTTGTCTTTCTCTCTGCTTTCCTGTTTCTTCGTGCCGTCTTTGCCGTCTTTGCCGTAGATCCTCCTGTTGCTGCGTCTTGCTCGCATCAAACTGCCCCTGTTTGCGTGCCCGTTCGTAGCCCCGTGTTGGCTGCGCTGCTGGGTTTCCTAACTCGTCCGTTGGCACGATAAGGTCGCGTGCAATATCGAAAGGGGCGCGAAAGGGAACTGATAGGAACAGGGAATCGAGCACAAGAGCAAAATGACAAAATGTACATTTTGCAGATGGACAGTTCGATGGCTTGCAGTGTCGCAGCGCTCTTGCCTCCCGGGCAGTTTTAGGCGCACGTGTGTACATGCCCCACTGTGAGTTGAGGATACAACGTTGGGAAGGCGCGACTGTCAGACACCGTTCTCCGCTTGGCACGCTCCAACGTTTTTGTTGCACCAGGCTCTTCTGAGCAGTGGAATCGTGCAATGAGACAGCCGACTTCAATCCAACGACTCGTACAGAACAGTTCAAGGAAGCGTCTGAACACTGTCGTCGTAGTTGTCGCTGATCAAGCTGCCAAGCTGTTCCAGAGCGACAGCTTTCCTCCGTCTCCACTGCAGGAGCTGCTCTGGATTGCTAGGCTCCAAATTAGCCGTAAGGGTCCCACATCTGTCAGTGGGTGTGGCAGTTGCCCGATGGCGCCTGCCTCTTCTTAGAGGCGGCCTCCAGCGGAACGTGCGTTTGGCAGGTGTAAGAACTCTGGTACATGTAAGCAGACGCAAACGGGTCGAGAAAGCGCGGCCGGCAAAACTGCCCACATCCAAAAGTTTCAACCCGCAGGGAAGGGATGGACAGCAGATCAGGAAGGTACGAAGGTGACAACACAAATTCTACGAAAGACGGGAAGGAACTGCTCTCCGGCAGCGCAAAGGCAGGAGCGTTGGCCAGCACTGCTGTCGTTCCTGCCGTTTCACAACCGCTTGTGGATGAGCGCTCAAGCCCCTTTGTCGGACTTTCTCAATCGGGCTGATTACAACGTCTCCATCAGACTTGTCCATCAAACACCGAATCGCTGTATTTTGTGCGCAAAAACTGGTGTCAACGCGCACATCAACTCGTTACCTTTGCTACATTTGCTACATTTGCCGAACCTGTCACCATTCCAGAACGTCTCGAGCCGTTCTTGAGGAAAACGCGGTTCGCAACACGAAAACCCGCAGATCATTCTATGATGAAAGGTAACTTGAGGCGAGGCAAGCGATTTTGCGTTTTGTAATGCTCTACAGAGTATACGGAGTAATTGGATCTTATAACCAACCAGATATTGGTGTTCCTTTTTGTATTCTTTTATTTTATTTTTTCTTATTTTATGTAAAAAAAAAAACACTGGAAAAAGCGCGACAAATAAAAATAAAAACACAAAGGGGTAATATGCCTCTCTACCCTAACCTGATACGTCCAAAATCCTCCGTGTAGATTTCAGTCACCTTTTTTACTTTCTATTTCTTTTCTCCATGTCTAGTCACTTACGCGTTCTCGAACAGGAAGCTCGGGTTGCCCGGCGTGGCAGCCGCCGCCGCTTGCGGCAGGGGATCCAGCGTCTGGCCCTCGCCCTTGTGCACAACGCCAGACGTCGCGCCCGGCTTGACAGACACAACCACGACCGTCTCCAGCTTGTTGACCGTCTGCTTCAGGCCCGGGATCATGGTCTCCAGCGTGGACAGCTCGTCAAACGCGAGCTTGCGGTCAAACACGGCCGTCGCGTCCTCGCCGCCGTCGATGCGCTTCTTCAGCGCCTGGATGAACGGCATCGACTTCTTCAGCTCCGCCTTGTCGAGCTTGCCTGAGACGTTCTTGACGTCGATGCTGCCCGTCGCCTCCAGCACCTGCTTCACGACCTCAATGCACTTGTCCTGCCACTCGGGGAAGGCGTCGGCAACAAAGACGGTCAGCTTCTTGGCCTTCTTGGGGTCGAACGCAATGGCCTTGCCCTTGGCCAGCTTCTTCGTCTGCAGGCCCTCGGCGGCCGTGATGTTTGAGGTGGTCTAGTAGCAGCGTCAGTAGTCAGTATTACATGAGCTCATAGAGTCATACAGATTCAGTAGTCAGTATTACATGAGCTCATAGAGTCATACAGATTTGGTCATGGCATTCATGCTGGGGGGGGGGGGGGGGGGGGGGTAGGAACGTACGTTGCGGATGTAGTTGCGGGCCGCCGTCAGGCTTGGGCTGGGGTCCGGCACGGTCGGGTACAGCGCCGTCTGCACGCTGTCCTCGTGCTTCAGGACATCGCGCCACAGGTACTCGCAGACGTGCGGCGCAATGGGCGTCAGCAGCAGCGCCTGCAGCTCGACGTAGCGCTTTACCAGGTCGAGGTGCATGCCGTCGCCTGACGCCTTGGTGATGTCGCGGTACCAATCGCGCGAGGCGGTGAAGTCGTAGAAGCCGCTCTTCAGGGCCAGCTTGAAGAAGGTGTCCTGGTAGTGCTTCTTGGTCTCGATGACCAGCGTGTTCATCTCGTTGTCAAACATCTTGTCGAACAGACCCAGCTCGCCCGTGCGCAGCGTGGTGTCGGCGACCGTCTCCTGCGCCCACTTGCGCAGCTCGTACAGCCGCAGAATCGTGGCGTTGGCCACCGACTCCTCAAAGTTGGCGTCCTCAATACCGTCGCCGGCATCGGCCAGGGCGACGCGCGTGGCATCGGCGCCGAACTTCTCGGTGGACTCGCGCAGCGTCAAAAAGTTGCCCGTGCTCTTGCTCATCTTCTGGCCATTGATCAGCAGGTGGCCGTTGACGCGCATGCCGCGCGGCCAGTACTGCTTGGGGAACAGGGCGGCGTGGTGGTACAGGCAGAACGTCAGGTGGTTGTTGATCAGGTCCTTGCCCGAGATGCGCGCATCCAGCGGGTAAAAGTACTGGAACTCGCGGCGCATGCCCTCCAGGTCCTCCCTGGGGATGTCGCTCTCCACCGCGTCGGTGCGGCAGAAGACGTAGTCCCAGACCTCGTTGGTCATCTGCTGCGGCGTGATCGGCTTGGAGGCCTTGCCGGGCGTCTTGCCAAAGATGTCGCTGTGCAGGTACACGCAGACGGTGTAGTACGCCATGTAGACGGTGCTGTCGCTCAGACTCTCGACCAGCTGCGAGACGTCCCACGGCAGCTTGGTGCCCAGGCCGTACGAGCGCGAGCACGCCCAGTGGCCCAGCCAGTTCAGCGTCTGCTCAAACGCGTGCTTCGCCTCCGGGTAGAAGCAGTTGACGGTGCCGTCCTCCAGAGCGTCCAGCACCTGCTCGCACCACTCGCCGTCGCCGCCGTTTTCGGTCGTGCCGTAGTTCAGGTACCACTGGTCCAGGTACGCGGCAACGCATACGTCGGCGGAGCGGGAGATGACTTCGCCATCGGGCTCGGCGTAGTTGAAGGCCAGGCCGGCATCCAGCAGCTGCTTGCGGATCAGGGGTTTGGCGTCCTGTACGGGCGTGCCCTTGTGCGCGCCGACCAGCATGGTGCCCTGGTAGAAGCCCTCCTTGTATGCCTGCTCCTTGGCCTGCTCCAGCAGCTTCGTGTCCTTGGGCGAGTTGATCTTCAGCTTCTCGACCAAAAACTTGGCAATGAGGTCGGACGAGGGGGTCTGAATGACGGGCAGAATGTCCTTGTCCAGCCACTCCTTCTGGATGTGGTAGTACTCCGGCTTGCGCAGCAGATCCGTGACGGTGGCGTAGTCGTCGGGGCTGTCGGATGGCACGCACGTGACGACTCCGGTACCCTTGGTGGGCTTCAGGGTCTGCATGGGCAGGATGTACACCTTCTCGTAGACGGACAGCGGGGCGTTGACCAGGGTCCCGATGACGTCGGAGCCCATCAGCTGCACGACGGACTCGAACGCGCCCCACGGCAAGACGTTCTGGTACGCCATGTTGCGCGCAGCGCGCTCTGTGCACAGGTAGTACTCGAACTTGCCCTCCTTGCCCTCCTTGCCGGCGACGGGGGCCTTGAAGATGCCGTAGGCGACGCTGGGGCCGACGAAGCAGCAAATCTGGCCGTACATGGTTTCGGGGCGCAGGGTGGCGGGGACGAAGTAGACATCGGCGTCGGTGGGGATCTTGTCGCCGATGATCTGCTTGGCGGTCTCGGACCACGCCAGGGTCTTCATCTTGAGGGCGACGTACTCCTGGACGGTGATACCCTCACCGGAGCTGCGGTCGTGGTCCAGGCAGGGCTGGCCATCCTTGGGGCTGTAGACGGTGTAGCGCTTGCCGAACTTGATCTTGCCCAGCTCGCGCAGGCGGGTAATCTGCCAGCGGACAAACGCGTCGTAGTACAGGTTGGCGGGGGTGGTGACGAAGGAGCGGCGCCAGTCGACGCGGGCACCCATGCGGCGCAGGTCGGTCTCGCAGCGCTCAGGGAACACCTGCAGCCAGTGCTCGGGGTCGGTGAACTTGTGGATCTCCTTCAGGTCGAAGCCCAGGGACACCATGATCTGGGGAACGCCACTGTTAGCGGCCATTGTGGCCCGACGTACACGTACTTCCGAAAAGTACCCACCTCATACTGGTACTTGGTCTTGCCGCTCTTGGCGACAGCCTTGCTCTTGCTGCTGCTGAACTTGCTCATGTCCGTCTTCGCCTTGGCGTCTGCGGGAGCCGCGTCGGCAGCAGCAGCAGCAGCAGCAGCAGCAGCAGGGGCCTCAGCACCCGCCGCGGGGCGGATGGCCAGGCCCTGCTCCTCTTCGGCGCCGGGCGCACGCTCAAAGAACTGGCCGAACATCTCCACCTCTCTCGTCAGCTTGTCGGCGGCAGCCTTGATCGGCATGCCGGTGCAGTGGAAGCCCTGGGGCAGCAGGGCGCGGCGGCCCTCCATGCGGGCGAAGCCGGTCATGAACTCGACTTTGGAGAATGTGAAGCAGTGGCCGGCGTGCAGACTGCCGTTCATGTAGGGGTAGGCCATGGTCGTGAAGAGCTTGTCCTGCTCGGGCTCGGAGGGCAGGGGAGCATCCTGCTCAAAGTGCTTGGCCTTGGCCCACTCATCTTGGAACCGCAGCTCGTCCTAGAGCAGAGACAGAGGGTCAGACGTTGATTCGAAGCGCATATGGGTCGAGAGGAGCAGTGGACGGTGGACGGGTTTTCGACTTACGGCAATCAGAGTGTCACGTTTTTCCGTCTGTTTCGGAGTCAAGAGAGTCAGTCATATCAGCGTCCAGACACGTTCTTTGAGCGCAAGAGTGGTGCAGCAGCATACATTTTCCAGCTTCAGCGTACGGTCAGCCGCCAGGGGTTTGGCGTCCTGTCCGTCCATTTTGTCGGTCTGCGGGCAGATTTGAAAAAAAGTGGTGACGATGTGTTTATGTTGCAGAGAGAAGAAGGCTCAGGAAAAGGCAGGAGCGACGAAAAAAGGACGTCTAAAAAAATCCAGAAGGAGCACCTGTGAAACGGGCGCCAAAGGCTGAATTGGTGGCACTTTAGCCCGCTAACAGCAACAAAAATAGGAAACATGCCCCTCTCCTCTGCTGACTCGCAGCCGTGCCTTCCCCGCGGCGACGTTGGCCAGTATTTTATCGCCGCCTCTGACCGCCCTTTTTTTTCTGGGCAGGAACAAACCCATTTGAGTCACGCCAAAACGGAAAGTCCATTTGGGCGAGGCGCAAGAGAGACGACGTCTCTGATCACAAGGCGCTTTTCCCACAATGTAGCTGAAACAATGCCTGGCTCTGGAGGCGATCTCTTACTTTCTGTTTCGCATTGAAGGATTGCACTTTATGACAGGCTGCTTAAGACTCTTATCGGCGCTCTCGTGACTCAGAATCACATGCACTGTTTCCATAACGGGATACTCTTTGCAAAGCACAACTCTCGCCATTGAGACTCTTTACTGGGTATTTTGGAGTCATTGATGTAAAAGGACTCGTGATCTGAAGCCTGAGCCGTATTGCTGATGGCGGCTTGCTATGAGTCGAATTGGTCTGGCGACGGTACCAAGGAACGCACTTGAAGTTGCCGACGTATGATACCCCAAATAGCTGCAGCCAAGATCTGTATATTAAAAGTCGTATATTTAGTTGTACAGGACGCTGTGGAGTGACAGTCACCGATCCTCAAAAGAAATATAAATCAGTGCCTACACACAGCCCGCGGCATGGACCTAAGATAGTAGCTGCGCTGTACCACAACCACGGGGTGCAGGGTCGTCCTAGTTTGCCTTGTGTCCGGTCCTGCCACCATCTTCTCTTCATCCAACGCTGTTTTTACTTTCTGTTATGTACCTCTCCAAATGGCCTGCGCCCTTAGATCTTGCCAACCAGGAGGTTGCCAATCATTTGGACGGCCGTGACGTACGTCGTGCGCCACAGGGTCGGCAGGTCGAGGGTGCTGAAGAAGCCGTCGGCAAAGCCAAAGAACATCATGGGAGGGATCCAGCCACGGGCGTATTCGAGGGCGAAGCAGTTTTCGGGCATCTTGTACTGCTTGACGTCGCCACGACGCAGGTGGTGGACCTCGCCGGGACCGTAGACTTCGCGCTGGAACAGGCCGGGCACGTAGGCCCACTGTTCGCCGGTCAGGATGTGGAAGTAGTCGTCGGCGGTGTGGCGGCCGGTGTGGCCCTCGGTGCCCACGGTGGTGCCTGTTTGTTAGTCGTGGTCTATGCCGAGCAGCGGTAGAGGGCGGGGAGAGAAAACAAGGGAGAACACAAGGAACCCAAGGAGAACCCAAGGAGACAAGGAGACACAAGGAGACACAAGGAGACACAAGGAGACACAAGGAGACACAAGGAGACACAAGGAGACACAAGGAGACACAAGGAGACACAAGGAGACACAAGGAGACACAAGGAGACACAAGGAGACACAAGGAGACACAAGGAGACACAAGGAGACACAAGGAGACACAAGGAGACACAAGGAGACACAAGGAGACACAAGGAGACACAAGGAGAACAAAAGGAGAAAAACAAGATCGGGACCTACCAAAGACAATCAGGTACTCGGTGATGCTGGCGTGCAGGATGGTCATGCCGCCCATGGCACCGCCGGCGTTGTTGAGGATCCACTCGCCATTGTCGCTGACGTACGAGGACAGCTTCGCATGGCCCTTGAGCTCGCTGGTGATGAAGTTGACAATGGCGCCCGTGTCGTTGCCGTGGGCAGCCACGGCGCGCTGGGCCAGGTCGTGCAGGTGGACGGTGTCGAAGATGTAGAAGGAGTCGAGGTTCTTCTCGATCAGGAAGACGAGGGACGCCAGGACGGCGACAACAATGGCAAGGACCTTCATGGCGGCGGTGCTGGGGAGAGACGAAGAGGACGGTTGGTGAGATGGAAACGAGCGTGGAGAGCAGACAAAGACAAAGGAGCGACGAGGGAAAGAACGAAACGATATATAAAAACGAAGGGAAGGGACGAGCCACCAATTTTATCGAGCAGGTGTGGTTTGCGCCTGCCAATCCGCGCGAAGCTCCTGCGAAAAGATCTGGAAAGTGGTAAATGCCGTGGGAGAAGCGCATGCTTTGCCGACCCTGATTTTCCCCCTGGCAGGCCCACTTATTAGAGCCTCTCAGCAACGCCGCCCCACTTATCGCAGTTGCTGTTTTTGCCCAGCTACAATAAGTGTCCGGGACTCGTATTCGGACGCTGAGAGCTTGCCTTTTCTCAACCGAAATCAAGCACGACGAAAAACACACAACAGAGCACATGCACGACATACATAAAACGTCCGACGTTGCAGCCAAAGGCGGGGGCTGAACGCTGTAAGTCGACCTGGCCAGTCTGCAATTCAATTAGCGAAGTGCAGACATGGAATCAACGACCAACCGCAGAGAGAGGGGCGACAGCCGTCAGCATTGTTGCCGGCGGAATTTGTCCATTACTCTGCTGTTTGTGCGGCCGTTTCTGCCATGTGCGCTGAACTTGCAGCGTGGCTGTCGGACTGGTCCAAGACGCAGCACTTGGAATCAACTAACAGACAATGGACATACTGAGGCTTCGGCGGCCGGCCTCACCAACTTGCGCTGCAGCTGCCAAGCAACTGTCGTGGCTTGTGACGACGACATGTCGCATCAAGCAGCCCGCAGGCACTCGTTTCTACAGCGCAAGAGTGAAGCTGCGGCTGCTTCGGCGATAGTCAAATGCATGCCGTGCTGTCAGCTTGTCTCGGCACATTGCTTGGCGGTGGACGCCAGAAGGAGGTCGTCCCCGCAGCCGGTGCTGCTGCATCTGGCCAACTCGTACGAGACCAAGCTCTCGGAATCAAAGCGATCCGGACTCTGCTTAGAAAACAAGTGGGGCCAGACAACCTGCGAACCGCACGAACGCACGGGACAGAACCCGAAAACGAGCGGGCAACAGCACACAATTCTGTTGATGACAGGCATTAGGTATGCAGCTTCTGTTTATGGGGACCATTCGTCACCTCCTGGGTGATTCTGGGCATGCCTTTTGGCTCCTTTTCCTCCCAACACGGACGGCACGAAGATCTTTCGCAATGTCGCGAGCAGACATGTCCAGGTTGCCATACTTTCCGCCCAACAGCGGACCCTGGGCACCCTCGATGGCCATACATTACGCAATGTCCTGCTGCTTGGCCAGTTCCTGCGTTATCTCGGCGGACGGACGACAAGTATGTCCTGCCTCGTCGGCGTTGTACGTTGCAGCGAACGTAGGACGCAGTCCGAGTTGCAGTTATAACGTTGGCTTCTTGGGCCTTGTTCGTTGTCACCTAAGTTGTTGGTTTAACATTGGCGGAGCCGACCCGTTCTTGTTCGTGCTGTAGGCTGTGACAGGGTGGATGCCAACCGCTCCTTGCTCTGTGGGCGTCAGAGCAGTAGAGCTTTCTAGGCAACAATCTGGTTACCTTTGGAACTGTCACGCTGGATGTGCACGTCAACGATAGCCTTGCTGATGTGCTCAATTTCCGACTTCTTTCATCGAACACCTCGTCGACATCAAAGACGAGGTCTAGGTCTAGCTGAAGCCGCACAAGTGCCCTGTTGGACGACATGTACGCTGAAATCAAGACGCCCATGATATACGGCGTTGCCAGATGTCGCGCCACATTCTGCCGACGACGATGAAAGACAGACACAGTCGGCACCGCGTTCGAGCAACAGATCGGCAGTTGCGCGGAGCTGACAGCCGGTGCCCTCTGCATTCATACCGGCGCCATGGTCGAGTATACGACGGATGCACAGGCCACTCTTCGGCGCCGTTGGCGGCGCACCGGTAGGTACGGCAGCCTGGCGGATGAGACGGTAGCCCATGGCATCGTCGTTGACGCGGTGTCGGCGTCTCTGTCACCAAGCTTGCGGGTAACGATGTTGCGAACGTCGCTCATGTTTCCTTCTTCGACGGCGCCAGCAAGATCCAGGCGCGTCTTGGTCGAATCTCGGCGTGCCGGCGCAGGACCTTGTGGCTCTGCATCGAAGTCGCGCGTAGCCGCATCCTGCGACATTGCCGTGCCGGTCACCGTAGACGACCTCCATCGAGGACGAAGAACGCGGCAGTCAAGAGTTGAGCAGCAGCTGTTGCGTCAGAGTGATTTCTAGAGCATTCGGCATGTCCTTTACCGTCTATTCGAGGTGTCGGCAAGAGTCTGGAACCATCTTCTCAGCATTCTCTACTTCGTATACATCTCCAGCAAACGAAACCCACGCAGAGCCGCATATCCACGTTATTACTGAGCTTCCAACGCGCAATTCGGCCGGACAGACTTTGGCCAGGCTTCTGGCAGGGCTTTTGGTAAGCAAGGTGAGAGAAGGTGGCTGAGAGAAACAGCGCCACGTTTTCACGGTGTTGTGCATGTAACGTTCACAAGCCCGCACTAACAGGCCAAGAGACCCGATTTACAGGTCCTCGCGATGTTCGTATCAAAATAGACTGTAGAAAGCAGAAAAACTGGGAAGCTGGCGCCGCGCCAAGAAAATAAGGATAAGGTTTGGTGTGGTTTTGGAGCGAAACAAAGGCGAGACCCGCGCGGACGAGATGAAAACCACAGTTAACAAACAACGGGAGCCGCAAGTAGGATAAGTAGAAGATGGCGGGCGAACAGGCGGGAAATGAGGAGAAAAAGATGCAAAAGTTGAGAAAGGGTGGTGAGCGAAAAACGGAGACCAACGCAGACGCTACCCAATTTCAGCCCTCAGCCCCGCTAAAATAGCTAAAAGGCGCCTTTTTCGCCTACGCTTCAGGGCGCAGTCAGCCTTTAGGTGGGTCCCATGTGGACAAGGGGACAGCGGACTTAGATGCTTCCCCCGTGTTCTACTGAATGGTTTACGCGCATCTCGTCGAACGGGCACCTCTATTCGGTTCGCTTGTGATTTTGTTTCGTTTCATTCGCCATTTTTGGCTGTGCTGTTGTTTCGTTTCAACAGCCAGGGCTGCATCGCTCTTTCCAGAAAACGTCATCGTCGGCCAGGGCTCTTTCCTCATGGGCGCGCACGACAAACCAAGAAGGCACAGCCCAACAGCGCTTTCCCTCTCACGTATCCATGGCCACTAGCTTCCAGCCCAAGGTGTAACCGCGGTCGGTCTTTCCCACCCTCTCTCTTGCCTGTTCTGTCTTTGTTGCCAGTGTCAATCAATATTCCCCAGCGCACTAGGCCCTTTCCGTAGCCACTTCTGCGACGCGGCTTCAGGTCCCCTATTTCCACAACCCCCTTTCTCGTCGGTTCTGCCTCACAGCATGCCATGTGGGCAAGAAAACGCCGCGCATGAAGCACAACGCCTCGTTTCTGCCCACGACTGTGGAGGTGTCGGCTGTTGTTTCTGTTCTGTGCTGGTCAGTGTGATGCAACGCAGGACAATACTCGGCGCTGCAGCATTGCAAATTGCATCTCGCCATCGTCATTGTTGACGATGGGGTCATATCGAGATAGCTGTCACTGTCGACCATATGCCCTACCGTCGTTTGAATCCTCTGTAATAAACATTTGAGTCCGCCTGCCGCCGCTCCCACGAACCAGTCAACCGGGTGGTGTGGGCAGTCTGCAAGCATGCAACGGTCGTGGCAGGGTGGTGAGGCTGAGCGGAACTGGAAGCGGAGCGGGCTAGTTCTGCTTCGTACGGACAACAGGCGTATTACTCGTGTTCGTCGTGGTAATTACAACAGACAGACTGCCGCACCCTGGTCGGGTCAGTTCAGTTCCAGCAAGACTTGTCGGGCAGGCTTTCTCACCATTCATTTCCCCAGTTCCGCAATTCTTGGCCTGCGCTTTTCTTGGCCCCTTTCTCTTGGTGCTCGATTTTGTTTTCTGACTTGCTTCTTCCCGCACGGTTTTGCGGTTTTGGTTTTGATTCTTTTTGCGTCTGGTTGCATCCTGCTGCACAGCATCCCGTTGAATCTCATCGTGTACGTTCCGCGACACTCTCTTCGTCCCTTTTGTGCCGTGTGTGCGCATATATTGCCTTCACACCATGCACCCACGCTCTCTCCTATTTACCAAATAAATAGATTGAGCTTCGGCTGTATCCGCTCCGTCGTGCACAGAACCACATAACGAATTACCCGAACGCGCGCTCACAATAATATTCCAGGCCCGAGAAGACTACGACGAATCGGTTTATTTAGAGGAACAGCAGCTGTTAGGAGGATATGAAGCAGTTCTCACACGTCGCGACGGCCGTCGCCGCGGCCGCCTGCTTGGCCACCGCGGCCGAGGCTCGCCGCAGCGCCCTTTACGACCACCACAACGTTGAGCGCAACTGGCAGCCGCCTGTTGAGACGGCCATCGCCGCTGCCGTCCTCATTGCTGCCGGCGAGGGCTATGGCGATGCCGAGTCCAGCTTCCAGGCTGCGATGCACGACTATGTCGACGCCCCTGAGCCGCCTGCCACCACGCCCCCGCCGGCCTTGGATCCGCGCTTCGTCGCCAAGCGCCACACGACCGACAACACCTGCGCCTACCTCAGCGGCATCAGCAGCATCTCGCTCTACTGCGAAACGTATCAGGAGTGCGTCGCCAACTCAATCAATAAATTTGCCGGCTGCTGCCCGGACACCTCGACGGCCTGTCCCCTCCCAACGACGTGCTATCCCTCGTCCAAGCACTCGCTGTACACGACCAGCAACGGGTACACCCTGTGGTGGTATGTGTCTCTCGGCGCCCCGCTGTTGCTGACCTTTTTTGTTTATAGCAAAATGCTAACACCTTCCCTTATTCCCCCTCTCCAGTGGAGACTCCGCGTACCCCGAGTGTGTGACACACTACTATGCGGACTCGGTCTTCTCCGGCTACACTCTTCTTGGCTGTGGCAAGACCCAAGCTGTCGACAAGGTCTGGTTCCTGCCCACCTCGGCCTCTTCATCTTCATCTTTGTCTTCGTCGATGTCGTCCTCGTCTCCGTCGTCTTCGTCTTCGAGCAAGTCCACCAAGTCTCCGACGACGTCCAACGGCTCGCCCGCGTCGAACTCGGCCTCCTCGTCGTCCTCGCCCGACGGCAGCGGCAATGGTGGCGGTAACAACGGCAAGAAGTCCAACACCGGCGCCATTGCCGGCGGCGTCGTCGGTGGCGTCGCCGGTCTCGGCCTCATTGGCCTCGGTGCCTTCTTCTTGCTCCGCCGCAGCAACCAAAACAAAGTCAACAACAACGGCAACAACGCTGGCGGTGCGCCGCCGCCCATGGGCCAGCCACAGCAGGGACCGTACTATGGCGGCCCTGGCGGCGACCCTGCGGGCTATGCCGCCGGTGGTGCTGCCGCCGGTGTCGGTGCCGCCGCCTACCACGACCCCCAGCAGCAGCAGCAGTACAACAACCAGTACGCCGGCTACTCGCCGCAGCAGTCCCCGCCCCTGCAGCAGGACGCCAAGGCCTACGACCCGTATCTCTCCAACGGCCAGCAGCAGCCGTTCGACCCCAATGCGCCCTCCGCCGCCGGCAGCCCCCCGCTGGCCCAAGGGCCCCAGTCTGGTGCCTACAACGCGGCGGCCGTCGCCCCTGCCGGCGCTGGCCACATCAGCCCCAACGAGACCATTTCGCCCTACAGCGCGCCGCCGCCGCAGCCCGGCATGGGCTTCCACAGCGGACCTGTGCCGACGACGCTGGATGTGGCAGAGCTGCCGACGGAGCGGAACGACGGCGAGCTGCGGGAGCTGGCATAATGTGGGGGTGTAGTCGAACAGCGAGGGAGGTGTGGTCGCGGTCGACGAGAAGTCATCAGGGCCGTTTTTCTATTTCGTGTTCTTATTTTCTCTTCCCTTGTCTTCTCTTCCCTTGAATGGTTTCTTGGTTAATAAAGAATTTTGTCATGTTTCGAGGGTGTCCGCCCTCTCGAGTCGGCGGCGTTTTGCGCATCATCGCTATCTATTTTCTTTGTAGCTCGATCATCTGCATAGAACAGTCTGGTTGCATTAGTATTCGCGAGTGGTCTCGGAGGTGTTGGTTGAGAGATATTGGCACTTGGGAGTTGAAACGACTCGGTTTGCGTTCATAGTGTCTGCTGTATGCCCTGAGCTCAACAAATTTCATTACATAAGCCAAGTCGGCGCAGGGCTCCACTTCCATCTGGCAGGAGCTTCAGAAGGCCAGATTTCACACTTTTGTGCTTCGTTCCTTCCAGAGCTTCTGTGTCGCGCCTGCCAATGGCCCTTAGCCTCGCCCCCCTTTGCCCTGGAACCCCGAATTCCATGCTCTCCACATAGCTCCTTCCCTCGTGCGACGCACAACTCAACGCGCAGGAGCGACCGCACACGACTCAGATCGAATCCATCTTCGCATCGCAACCCCTTTCTTCTCTCCACCATTCTCTCCCTTTTGTTCTTCTTCGTCTTCTGTCTTCCTCCACCAGCCACCTGGACTTCAATTCGTCGTTGTCGACGTCCTTTTCCCAGCCTTCCGTTTCTTTCTTTTCGTCCGGTCTCGGTTCTCTTTCTTTCGGTATCCTTATTTAATTGGATTTTCGCACTCTACCGTTTTCTCTTCTTTTTCTTCTTCGTCTCCCCCCGTCGCTCTCATCGTCCAAAATGGTTTCCTTCAAGCTCTCTACCGTCGCGCTGTTCGCGCTGCAGGTTCTCGGTGCCGCTGCGGTGAGTTAGCTCTTTGCCAATTGGCATTCCCGGGCTCGTTGAAGCTTCTTCGGCGGCTTTCTGTGCGCGGCCCATCGGGCCTTTCTCGTCATTGAAGCTTCATTTGCTTCATTTTGCGCATTGCCGCATTATGCAGTTTTGCTAACAATGTTTTTTTTGTCAATCAGGCTGTCGAGGAACCCCTCGCCGGCAAGGCCGCTGCCGAGGTCAAGATTGACGTCGACACCAAGTTCCCCGAGGCCGACATCTTCGGCCTCAAGCTCATCAACGGCCGCGCCACCAAGGCCATCGTCGAGATCACCAACCAGGAGGACAGCCCCGTCCGCGTCTCTATCCTCGGCGGTGCCCTCGTCAACCCCCAGCCGCTCCCCGAGGGCGTCCCCCCCTCCGCCAACATTGTCGTCAACCTGACCACCGTCAGCTTCGAGAGCTCCAAGGACGCCGTCCTGCAGCCTGGCGAGAAGCGCGGCTACCCTTACAACTTTGTCCTCGACCTGCAGCCCCGTGAGCTGCGCCTCGACCTCATGGCCATTGTCACCAACGCCAAGGGCCAGCTGTTCCAGGTCATTGCCCACAGCGATACCGCCACCATTGTCGACCCCCCGATCAACATCTTTGACCCTCAGATGTGCGTGATTCCGTGGCGTTCTTCCGTCGTATTCTCTCTCTCTCTCTCTCTTCCCCGCTAACGTGTGCAGCATCTTCCTCTACGTCTTCCTGACTGGTGTGTTCGGTGCCACCCTGTACTTTGTCTACAAGACCTGGATCGAGGCTCTCTTCCCGCAGGCCAAGCGCTCCAGCGGCGGCCGCAAAGCCCGCAAGGTGGCTGCTGCTGCTGAGGCTGCCAGCGCCGACGCACTGTCCGGCAACGAGTCGACGGGCGCTGGTACCGGTGCCGAGGACTTTGACGCCAGCTGGATCCCCGCCCACCATATCAACCGCCCCGTCGCCAAGCGTGTCAAGAGCGGTGCCTCCAAGAAGAAGGCCACTGCCGAGTAAGATGGTCCGATAAGATACAAATGGTGTATAAAAGGATGTCTTTGGGGGATGCGTGTCTGGAGGGAACGATACGGCGGACTACAGAGACTATAGAGCACCAACTATTGAAGGTGGAATGTGCTGTACATGTCACAGATTGTCCATTCTCGATCTGTCTTGTCACTACATAAAAAGAACACTACGAACGGCTGAGGTGATCGTCTTCATTATTATGGTATTTTTCTTTTTTTCGGTTCGTTTACCTGGACTGGCGAATCCGGTGTACAAAAATATAAATCTATGGGCTGGAAAATAGGCCGACAAAATAAATAACAAAACTGGAAAGAATTAAGAAAATGATGAAAACGATAAAAGACGAGAATGACAAATCCCTTGCCTATAGATGCCTTTGCCTTTTCCTGGATTTGCGTCTGTGATTACCTGCCGTCCTAGGATCTGAAAATATAAACAATAAAACAATAACGTTTCGAAGCAAAACAATACCAAGACATAAAAATATTAAACAAACATTGTTCCGGCGGTCACAGTCTATAATTCGAACAGAAAACAACTGTTCCCTCACGGACTCACATACAATACGACTCCATGTATGACGACATATGCGAAGCAACTGCAGCTGCGGCCGTTCCAGCGACTGCGCTGGGATCGTCCGACGTCGCCGCAATCGTTTCTGCAACTTCTTTGCGCCGGCGCTTGTCTTCCAGCTCTGCCATGTTGCGCTTCCGCACCAGATCCATCAGTTTGCCGGCTGCCATTGCCGGGTACTTGCGCAACGGACCCTGCAGAACACAGTCTCTGCTGGGCTGGTTGCAGTACGCGAGGCTGTAGCAGTCGCCGTAAACGCCAACGGCCGGATTGCTGGGCGCTTGCTCGCGGTACAGCGTCGACTTGTACTGGTCGTCGCTCCAGAGCATGAGTAGATCGCCCCTAAGCATGGGTGAATAAGTTTCGGTGTTTTTCTTAAAGAAAATAACATAGAGATCCCCACACCCTCCCAGCCAGAACCTACACATTGCAGACGATGTCGCCGTCTTCTATTTCAATCTTGGTCCATTCGGCGTTGGCGCTCGTCGTATGGCGTGTCACGGTTTTGCGGCCTCGACAGATCTCGAGCCCACTCTGGCCCGGTCGCAGGAACCGCAGCGTCAAAAACGACCAGTCTGAGGCGGCATGTGTCGCACTGCTAGGACGGTCGATCTGGGTGTGTGCAGAGCCGTTGGACTGCGAGGAAGGGCTCTTCGTGGCCGTCGGTGTCGTCGGTGTCGTCGGTGTCGTCGGCGTTGTCTTCATAGTCGGCATTGTCGGCATGGTGGGTACCCGCGACGACAGCCGACGCGGCTGGTCCACGGCATAGTACCGTTGCGCACGCAGTACGGTCTGGATCCCCTGTCGTGACATGGCGTGGGCCTTGGCAAAGACGTGGTCGTCCTTTCCGTTGTCCTTGGTGTAGCCCAGACCGCGTGCTAGGCAGATCATGAGCCGCATGCTAAGGAGGTGGCAGGCGTGCATAAACGACTGGCTTTGGTGCCGAAACCCGTGCAGGTCCTTGTCGGATACCCACCGCCTTGCCATGCGCGACTCGTTGAGCTGCATGCAGTACATCTCCTTTTTCTTTTGGTACCGGCTGTCGGACTGGCCGCTCGCCTCTTTGGACAGCTGCACGTTGGCAGCAGCAGTCTCGCCGGCCGATGGCGGCACGAACGTCGTCTCTTGCTCCCAGCCTGCATTGCACGATGTCGCATAGGGTGTTTTGGCCTTGATCTCGTCGGGCAGTGCAAAGAAGCGCTCGACGGCTGAGAACTGTGCGTCGATGGCTGCTTGTGAAATGGCGTGGTTGATCAAGATGAAAAACCCGTGCTGTTTGGCGGCTGCGGCTATGTCAGCCGTGACGCTGTCGACACGGGCCTCAAAGTTGTGTAACGAAATACGAGGAACGGATTTGCTGCTGTATCGTACGTCTTCCAAGGTGGATGTTTCATCGTACTCAGCAGACGGCGAGCATGGAGGGGACGCCATTGTGACCGGTTATTGCGTGGGTAAGGTGAGATGATACAAAGGTAAAACTGATAGGCGCCGGTATTCAGTAGTTGGATGAAGTAGACTGTGCGGAGACACACACCTGATTGTATTCTGCAACGACACAGATCGATGGGAGCGCGGCGTGTCATATATGACAGTGGGATAGGCCACACACGATGAGGCCAAGACGATGCGAGAGAACAGCTCTTCGGTGGCTTCCTGTATCACAAGATGCTTGTGCTTGTTTCTCTTTATTTTGCTTCCCGTAGCCTCCCGCATGTGTCCTCACAAGCCATGCTGTCTCTACCCACTTTCGCACGTCCATGCAACCGAATGCGGTGACGATGACAACAAAAACGAGGCCAAATAAGGACAGAGACAAGTGGCACGATGTGTGCGTATTCCCCGTGCAACGCCAAAAGCAGGCTTCTTCGACATTGGAGGCCCCGTATCGTGACTTTGCCGCTGGGTAACGGCCGATGCTCGTTGGCTGGGGCGGCCGAGGCAGACTCTCGGACGTTGCTCGTCGGTTTGAGAAGACTTGCACGAGGGAGTCAACGGGGCTTCGTTAAAAAAGGTGAATGGATTGCGCAGCCGCGGCTGTTTGATGGTACAGCGCCGTGGGAGTGGCGGACAAGTTGTATGCAAGACTATGAATGAGCGTAGAGCAAAAGTGCAACAAGAGGAAAGGGACGTATTCGGCGAACAAATGCAACGATGCAGTTTGTTGCGCAAAAAGAGTCTCATGTTGCCATGCAACCCTTTCCGGCCGTTTGTTCACCGGGGATTCACATTCGCCCGTCTTTGGCCAGTTGGTAATGTTCGTCGTTCCGCTCTCGTTCAGCTTGCTGCTCCATTCAATGTATTTTTCGTTGCTTTGCCTGCTGTTCTTTGTTGTTGGTCAATGTTCCTCTGCCCTATCAATAAGCCATCTCGGAACGGGCCAGGCCGACAGTACCCGTCGCTTCTTTCCCCACTTTGGACAGGCGTCCACTCTTCACACCAGAGACCCAAATGCTCGGAAGTCAAAGAGATACGACATGGGTTCTGCCCGACATTTGCAACTGTCAAAATATGAAATGTAGAAATGCAGTCAAGCGGAGAAACGGAGAAACGGAGAAACGGAGAAACAAAGAAACAATGAAAATTAATATAAAAGAAAGATAGGCGTAAACATCGTTCTAAACATCCAATAAACATAGACGTGCCCAAGGTAACTATAACTTTTTTTTTTTTGCAAAACTGTCATAACCCGCGGCCAATGTTGGCTCACGAGAAGTGGATACCCTCGCTGTTCATCTGTGGTTTTGCTGATTAGAATGTGCTCACAGATAAGGGATGGTGACAAAAATAAAAATAAAAATCGGAATCGAACAGAGACATGCGGAGAGAGAAGGACGTACCGCATCCAGAAGCTTTAAAAAGTCTGTCTCATCACACTGCCTGGAGCGCCGGTCGGCCATTTCCAGTTGCTCTAGAACGCGCAGCACTTTTGTGCGCACGAGCTCGTCGACCTTGGTCCGCTTGCGCTTGCTTGGTGTCTTGGGCGGCGGTACGTACGGCTTCTCTTTGAAGAACGTCGGCAGGTCGCCATCGTTGTCGTCGACATCCATGCCGCCAAACTCGTCCTCCTCGTCGGCCCGGGCGTCGTTGTCGGCATCGTCATCAACGTCCATGTCGGCATCTTCGCCGTCATCGTCATCTGCAGCGGCGTCTTCCACCAGGCTGTCGTCCACAGCTATGCCGTTCATCGAAGCGTACACTCTGTAGTTACGGGCGAGCATGGCAAGGACTTCTTTGCTAACAAATGAGGCACGGAGCGTGCGGTTTTTGCGCGTGAAGGAGATCTAAGGCAAGGGGCGAGGCCAGGGGAGGACGCCTTTGTCAGTGTCTCGGTGGAACAAGCAGAATCAGACCGGCCGACAAGTGACCGACCACGAGCGGCAAAAAAAGAAAGAGGAGAAAAAAGAAAGATAAACTGAAAACGTACTCTCAGCATGCCATCCATTTCGGCGAAATTGAATTTCGGCTTCTCGGAGCCTGTTCTGGGCGTGATGCGCACCACGGCCGACTCGACCTGTGGAGGGGGTTTAAAGTTGGCCTGTTTTGGTTGAACATGTCAGTTGTCGTCGGCAAAGAACGAACAAACGAAACGTGCGTTGTGTGTAGCGTGTAGTCGCATCGAATGGCGTATAGTTTACGTACTTTGCCGACCTTGAGGACGTGAGTGATGCGGGCGAAAAACTGGGCGTTGACGCTGAGACGGCAGTAGAGTGTGTCACCCGGGCGTGCAACCAGGCGCTGAGCAAATTCCCTGTGAGGAGGCCATTAGACAACAAACAGGCCAACAAGATTTTCGCGCCATTTTCGTTTTTCTTTTCTTTCTTTTTCCTGTGTGTATGGCGGGCGGTATTTACTTCTGGAACATGAGAACGGCCGTTCGCGGTGGATTGGGCATCGAGAGGAGCTTGAAGCTGAGCAAGGGTTAGCCATTGTTGTATTATTCGCGAGGCGGCGGCAAAACGGAGAGAAACAGGATGCCTTCGTCCGTAGGAATAAAAATAGAAGAGGAGAAGAGATGAAGGGAAACAATACTGCGCTCAACGTACACAAGGGGCGAGCTGATCTGGTACGGCGTATTCGAGATGCAGACCTAGCGCCGGGGTCAGTGTGCCTGTCCAACCAAAATCAGATATCAGATGCCGGATGGGGTGAGCGTACGTACGTCGAACGGAGGGAACTCGGTCTTGATGGCATCGCCTAAAAGGACCTACGGGTGGCGTCAATACAGACGTGTCATACAGGGCGATTGGGACCCGTTTGCGGGCGCAATGAGAGACATACCTCCAGCTTCTTTTGTAAGGGCGTACCCTGCACACGTTTTGTGCTACGACCAAAGTCAGCAAACACAATTCCCAATCGTCGGTTTAAATTGATCTCTTGTGACTTACACTTCGGCCGCCATCCGAGGATCGAGCTCGACTGGAATCAGGTGTCAGCACTGCCTGCACAAAACGGCACAAAATTGCGCAGGATCGGGCATTCCTACTCGCTATGCATTTTCTCGCCTTTTCGAGAATTCTCGTCGTGATGTTGCCCGTACCAGGGCCGATTTCCAGGACCGTATCGGTTGGTTTCAACTGGTCTCGTTAGCATGGATGCTGGCGATGGTTTTGTTGGGTCACGTTTCGACCGCCACTCACCTCGGCCTTGTTGACACTGCAGCGCAAGGCTCTATGTCAGCGCCAGTGCTTTCCTGGACAGAAGATACCATATGTCGACTTACATTGCTGCACGGACATTTTAGCACATGATGTCACTGAATTACACGAGTCTCTCGAGACAAATTTCGGGAGCTTACCATCTGCCACGCCGGGGTTTTTGAGAATGTGCTGCCCCAGATTGTCAGTCTCTGGTGATTCAGCTGCCATAGCCTGGCTGTTCCTCCGCCCCGCGTGATTGTCGTACCTGTCCGACGTTCGTGTTGAACTTGAAGACGTTGTTCTTCTGTGCCGATCCCTTGCCAGTTGGCCGCGAATATGGGGACGCGGCGGAGGCGGCGCCGTTCTTCCGGGGCGTCTTGGCTTTCCCCATGGCGTATCGTGCTCGAGGCTTCGGATGTATGCTCGGTACTGTATGCTGTGTCGTTGCTCGTTGCTGGTTATGGTGACGGTGATGATCAGTCAAATGCGAATGGTTTGGCCGACGATTTTTTGGCGGTGATGAGGGGCAGTAATTATTTGGGCTGTCAATTGCAAAAAAGCTTATCTTATCGGAAGGTGTACCAAAACGGCAACTGCTACGGCATTCGCTCTGTCCGTAAAACAGCTAAGCCCCACCAGGCAACAAAGGTAAGGGGGACCTCATTGCTTCTTAACCTGTTTGAGCGAAACTCGGCCGGCCCTGTCCTTCCTGTTACGTGAAGTATCTCCTGGCGCAGCTTTGGGAAAGACGAGGTACAGATGCAGGGAAGGAGCATTGAGAGAGTGTGAGCAAATCGGCAAGACCGATCCTGATTTGCCAGTCGTGCTTGCAAGATATGAACCTGCGCCGTCGACAGTCGTAGTTTCGGAAATAGAGTCAACCAATCTGGAACGCCGACGACTAAGGCGGCTGTTGCAGTCCATCTCGAACAAGAACACTGGAGACTGTCGAGCGCTGAAGTAAAAACCGATGAGAGCACCCAAAATAATAAGATACCACAGCACACGGTCCGCTAAACTAAAAAACGCTAGCTGTTTCTCAACCATATGCAGCTTTGTCCCCTTGCCATTCAGAGGGAAGGAGCAATGACGAACCGTCTTATGTCCCTCTACGATGTCGGGAGGAAGGCGCCTGGGCGCCTATTGTACAGCAACTGGTTGCGGCAGCTCAACCGTCGCTCGTTCTTGCCTAATCCAACAAGTCTGCCTTCCTTCCACCATCTTCATTTTTTTGGTTCCCCCAGGCTATCCCGTAAAGGAAGGATGGCACTGGTCGAAGGGTAGCGAGGCTGATTGGGATCTTGACAACTTCATCTCTTCATCTTCCCGCGACGTCTGCCGCCCAATTCGAGGCAGCCAACGCCCGGAGTTTCGCTGAATCTGCGGCGTATTACCCAGGTCTGTCATCCAGCCCCGCCAGGTTCCAACGAGACTAAACCGCACGAGCCCAGCGAGCTTTGGATTGAGGCGGAGCATTCCCAAGCTGCAGCAGAAAAGCAAAACAAAAACAAAAAAGGCACAAAAGGCCCGCGGAAAAGAAGCTTTGTAAAAGAAACACAGCGCCGCACTGACTGCAGCGGCATTGCTCTCGTCCGCCTCATGCACGGCCGTACGAACAGACCATACGACGCAATTGACTGCTCTTCCGGCGCCGGTCGGGTCTGCCTCGCCAGGCTGCAACAAGTCGAACGCGACGCTTTCTCAGCCTTCTCCTGTCCGCTGGCGGTCCTCGCGCCTGGTCAAAGCCGTAGTACGTCAAGAGCGCGTGCTTCGTTTCTGCGGCGGGGCCTGTCAATCAATCAATCAATTAAAAAAAAGAGCTAAATCGCACCAGCTGCTTGGCTCGACACGCAGCCGGCGTCTAGTCTGCGTCCAGCCTATCCACATTGGCCGCCAGCCTCTGCAGCCAACGGTCGACGCTTCTCACGTTCTCGTGTCTGCCCAAGATTCCATTCATCTTCCACGTCAACTCACGCCAATTTGCTTCCGCTGCCTCGTGCCCGTTGTCCGCTCGTCGCCCCTACGCCGCAGCTTGCTTCAGACTCTCCGCCCTCAAAGCCCGTGGTCAACCGCCAGCTACGTCGATATCAACAGCCATTTGCTATTTTGTCGCCAAGAGAGGATGGGGTGCGGATTCTTGCTCCTACCCCCGTGATTCCGCCGATTCTCCGTTCTCTCCGACATCTTTTTATCCTCCCCTCTCCTCTCCACCCGCTGGCGGCATCTTCCCCCCCACGCCCGTCTGAGACATGTCGGTCCACATCCACCTCGTGGACCAGCCGGAGTACTACACCAATCTTGACATTATCCACGGCGAAGTCAAGTTCTTTCTGTCTAAGCCAGATGCCATTGGCGCCGTCGTCGTCAAGCTCGAGGGCGAATCGAGCACGTCGTTGACCGTCCCGCCCGTCGAGGACGAGGAGGGCTGGACGTACATGAACGAGCCCCTTCACGACCTAGACCCGAGCCGGAACCCCAGCGGCACGATTACACGGCCAGCGCCCGGCACTGTCGTGCAAGAAAACCACAAGATTCTCTACCAAGTTGCCCAGGTGCACCCGCTCAAGACAGATGAGCCGCTCACAAGCAACACCCTGCCGGCCGGCCAGCACACGTTCCCCTTCCGCTTCAAGGTGCCCTTTAACAATGCCTGTGCCGATCCAGTGGCATTGTCGCGCACGGGCGGCATGGTCGACGTCGACGGCAATGCCGAGAACCCGAATGGCGGCCCGCTTCGCTTTGGAGTCGGCAACAACGGCATCCGCATCATGGACGGCACCAAGCAGCTGATGTACACCCACGTCAAGCAGACGCTTCCCCCGAGCTTCGCCGGCTACTTGAGCACCACGGAAACCACCGAGATTCGGTACTTTGTCAAGGCCACTGTGCAGCGGCCGGGCATGTTTCGGGGCAACTGGCGCAACTCGGTCGGCTTCAAGTTTCTGCCCATTGAGCCCATTCGGCCACCGCCGTCGACGCGCGAGATGTTTGCGCGCCGGCCCTTTACCTTCCGTGACCGCGCCCCGCCGTCTGACGCGCCTCTCCTGCGCAACTCCAAGAAGAAGACCAGCTTCTTCCGCAACAACAGCAGCTCGACGCTCTCTTTGCCCGACAGCCAAGCAGGAGCGTCTGTGTCGCCCACATCTCCATCTTCGTCATTGTCCACGTCGCCAAACACGCTAAAGTTCCCTGTGAACGTCGCATGCCGCGACGGTGTTACGCCTTCGATTCAACTGATTGCTTTGCTTCCATTCCCCGCCATTCTGACCTGCAACGAACCCCTGCCGCTGCGCATTGTCGCCCGCAAGCTTGAGGCCAGCCGTGAACAGGTATACCTCACCTCGCTCGACATTCGCCTCCTCGGCAGGACGCGGGTCAAGGGCCAGGACGTTGAGCAGACCAAGACAGCCACCTGGATCATCATGACACGACTCGGCCTTACGATTCCCGTATGCGACCCGGACGCCCCTGTCGACAGCGAATTGGAGCTACCCGACGACATGTGGCGCCACAATGCCCTACCAAACACCGTGATGCCTGGCTTCGTGACATGCAACATCAGCCGCGATTACCAGCTCGAGGTCCGCGCAGGCCTGTGTTGGAGCGTGCTGCCCATAGACTCAGGTCCGCCGTTGGCATCCGAGTCGTTGACTGACCAGCCAAGCAGCGGCCAGCTTTCGAAAAAGGAGTTGAAAGAGCAGTTGAAAGAACAAAAGAAGGAGCAAAAGGCGGCCATGAAGGCCATGAAGGTCATGAAGCCTCGGCCCGCGCACTTGCTTCCTCAGACTATCATTTTGCCTCTCACATTCCACTCCGTGCAGGTGTACTCCGGGATCAAGCCAAACAAGATGCTCATCGACGCCGTCGAACGGCACCGCCAAAATGCGCTTATGCGGCAGCAACAAATGCGGCGGGAAGGCCGGCCTTCACTGCCCGACACACGGCTACACCAGCCGTTTCAGCACCAGCTTCACCAAAACCCATACCCAAATGTCGACCCAAGCCAACCGCCAACGCCTGTCCGACAGCTCTCCCGGGCGACCACATTCCCTGCAGAGAGTCCCTATAGCCGGTACCCATCACTTGCACACGTGGGCCAGCAACATACGCCCCTGCAGCAACTCCCTCGGCAACAATATATCCAGCAACCGTTCCAACACCCGCTACAACAACCACAGCATCCCCCTCCACCGCAGGAGGTAGATCGGCCCGTTTTCGAACTGAGCTCCGATCCGGTGCCGGCACCGGCACTGGCACCGACAGTGGCCCCGCGACCGAACGGCTCGGCGTACGTGGCCCCACAATCGCCATCGCCCTCCACCACCCCGTCTGTTCCACCGCCGTCCGTTCCAGGCGCCGTCGAAGTGTCAGGTCTACCCGTTATCCGCCGGCGGCCTGTTCCGCAGAATTTTGCCGCGCAGCAGAGGGAAGAGCAGCAGCAGCGGCAGAACCGGGAAAAGTTCCCGTCGGGCGAAGACCCTGCCTCGGCGCAGTCGCACGCCATCGGACGCATGCACGGCTCTGTCAGCTGGCATGGTCCCAACCAGCAATTCCACATGCGCCGTCGACAAACGTCGGTCGACCCGCTGTATCCACCGCAGTTGCGGCCCGGCGAAGAGCCTGCGTCCATGCTGCCGACGGCACGCTCGTCTTCGACCGGCTCGGCGCTCACGCCCACGAGCTCGGGCGGCGCCAGCGGCGGCATCGTGGCTCAGAACGGCGACGTGCTGGTGACGTACAATGGCATTGTCTCGTCCATGGCGCCGTCCGTAGCATCTGCCATCAACGCTTTTGCGTTTACCGACGGGGACACGGCCAGCATCTACCAGGAGCCGCCACCGTCGTACGACGAAGCGATGGCCGACACTGCGGCGGCCATGGGGCTCAACGACAATGACAGCGGCGGCGCTGCGATGCGGCCAGCGTTTAGTGGAGAGGCGAACGCCATTACGATGCCGTCCAGCTCGTGAACGAATAGGCATATAATTGGAGTGATGACAGACCGTGGATAGCGTAACAAGAGACACGGTGGAAGTAACGCGCATGTATGTGACGATACCAGGAATGTTGCACGATGCTTGCTATGGAGGGGGATATTCGTCTCGCATATAGGATATATATTAGCCTATATTGACATTTGCCAACCGTGTATTCACTTGCTAAAGCAAAAACAACGAGAGTTTAGGAGCATATGACCGTGGATTATCATTTGAGCTTGACTTCATTTGATTGGAACCTTCTTCCATCTTCGTTGTCCATTCAAGAAATGGGCTGATGCATATTATTGACAGATAATGACGCCAGACAAGTAAGCCAAAGGAAACATGGGTATATACATAAAAAAGCATCATGATAAAAACGCCAATTCCCATATGAAGCAAAACAGATCATAGTCGCAAAACGCTATGCTCCACATACCATGGAAACAATAGAAACAAATCATCAAAAACTATACAACCCGTAAATGAAAATGCGCCACATGCAGGTCAATCGTCGATTTCAATGATTTCAATTGGACGCGACGTCGGCACGGCCCGTTTCGCGGATACTGCCGCATTCGATTCTGCATCGGTTCGTGCAACCTTCCGCGGCGGTTGCCCGTTTTGCTGCTGCGTATTCGGTTTCCTCTTTGCAGCATTGGTAGTAGCCGTGCTGCTGGTAGCCGTGCTGCTGGTAGCCGTGCTGCTGGTAGCCGTGCTGCTGTTAGCCGTGTCGTTGGTAGTCGTGCTGTCGTTCGTCGTGCCGGTGGCAATCGTTCCGCTGTTGGGGTTGCTGCCGCTAGCTAAGCCGACCTTTTCGTCATCGCTGTCGCCCCCGTCATCGTCATCCTCCTCGTTGCCGCCAATTGCTGTCCACGTTCCATCGCCCATGACACGAATCGACTTGACTCTGTCGAGTGTTCCGAGTTCCTTGAGCTTAGCACGAACATCGACGAGAAAGCGGTCAATTCGCAGATTGGTAGGACGGGCATCGTTTGAACAAATGGGGCACCGCCATTTGTCCGGCATTGTCGGCTCCTGGGGTTTCGGGCATGTGCAGTCATAGGCGTGCTGACAAAACGGGTTCATCGGATACGATGTACATACAGGCCGCGTATTAAGCCAGTTGTGCAGGTCGAAGCACTCAATGTGCTGACACTGGGCGCCTCGAACAGGAATCTTGAAAATGCGGGCGCTGTAAGGGTCGGCTAGGTCCACGGAGACGCTGTTTTGCAGGATGGTGAACCCATCGTCGTCGTCCGACGTCGACCGAAGACGAGACTTAATTTTGTCGACTGTAACACTGGCATGCTGAACCCCATTTTTCATGATATAGTCGACCGAGCGGTTGCAATGTGCCGTCTCGACGGTCTCGATGCCAAAGAAGTAAGTTGGTGACGTAGACGACTTCGACGACTGTTCAGGAATAGCCACCTCGACCTTGTTAGCACCAAGCAGGATCAATTGCGTGATGTTAACGGGGAGATCCTTGCCGTTGTGTGACTGGCGACGAGCAAATACTGCTGTGCCGTTGATCTTCATAAAGATGTTCACCGGCCATTGCGTATTGCTCGTCACCCACTCGCTTTCCGTCATTGCTTGGACACCGCCTCGGGCAGTGCAGCAACGTACACGGTAGCTCAAGCTCCCGTCGAAATGGCTCTCAACCGGTAGCAAGGCGCCCTGAGGTGTGGACCTGAAAGAAAGTTGGGCGAAGTCTTCTTCCGTAATCGTGAACTCGAAGGTGTACATAATCTTCCGCATTGGCGTAGAGCAAGGTCCAAGTGCAAGGCGTTGCACGTATTGGTAGAATCTCGGGCTACCAGGCTTGGGTGGGAGCAACTTTTGCGACGTCCGATTGATCATCACTCGCGTTGGGCTCCTGCGATCCAATTGTGTCAAAGCCTGTTGAAAGGCTCGGAAATCATTCGGGTCAAGAGGGTACTCGCTTCGTGCGATCGTTGAGCCGGCTGGCGGAAAGATGGACCTATGCCCCTCTAGAGAAGTAGGCGCATGTTGATGTTGATGACGTCCGCCTACCAAGCTAGGCTGTTGTTGCGGCTGCTGCATCTGTTGTTGTTGTTCCTGCTGCTGCTGCTGCTGCGGTTGATGAGGCTGTGCCTGCGCTGGTATGTCAGAAGCTACTGGTTGACCCAGTGCAGGAGCCGACGGCACCGCGCCAGCAGGTTGCAGTGGGATAGGTGAAATAATGGGTTGGATAAGACTGTTTCTAGAAACAGAAGCTGTATTCTCGGCGTAGTACATAGCGTTGGCTGGAGGTTGTGCCGGCGGAAAGCGAGCTGCTTGTTGGGCAAGGCCCGGTGATTGCACGGGCGAAGGTACGGGCGAGCGGAGTGTGGTTGGGGGACGTGGCTGTTGCATGGGGGTATAGTTTCGCGGTACCTGTCCAGGTTGGCCTGCAAGTCCTATGCTGCCCTGTGTTGTTTGCGGCCAATGTTGTATCTGCGGCTGCGTAGGAGACAATAACGCTGCCGGAGAAACTGGCTGTTTCCGCTGGTGTCGTTGCAACTGCTGCATCTGTTGCATTTGTTGCATTTGTTGCATTTGTTGCATTTGCTGCACTTGCTGCACTTGCTGCATTTGTTGCATTTGTTGCATGTCTCGGATTTGTTGTGCTCGTTGTGCTGGTTGTACTTGTTGTGTCTGCTGAACTTGGTGCAGCTGTTGTTGTCCTGGCTGCCTTGGCTGTGCTGGCAATATTGTCCGCTGCCGTGATTGCATAACTTGCTGCCTTTGGCGTATTTGCTGCGAATCGGTTGGCGTCTCCATATGCGGTGCCTGTTGCGCATGCTGTTCCCTTTCCAGCTGCAACTGCTGCTGCCTATGCAGTTCGTCCAGTTGTTGTCTCTGCTGTAATTGAAACTGTTCCAACATGCGCCGCCTCTCCGCTGTGCTAAGAGATTGTACGGGCAGACCCTGTTGAGTTGGGCCTTGTTGAAGCGCATATTGCTGGGATGGAACTTGCCGAGGTGGAGCTTGCACTTGCTGCCACTGTATCTGTTGTGCGTGTTGTCCTTGTTGTCCTTGTTGTCCTTGTTGTCCTTGTTGTCCTTGTTGTCCTTGTTGTCCTTGTTGTCCTTGTTGTCCTTGTTGCCTTTGTTGTCCTTGTTGTCGCTGTTGTGTATACTGTGTCTGCTGTGGTTCTTGAGTTTGTTGAGCGACATGCATTTGTTGCATATGCTGAAGTTGCTGTGCCTGGGCTTGTACATTCGACCGAACTTGCGCCTGTACCCTCGACGAGACGTGCGGGGATTGAGCCATCTGGGGCGACTGCCCCTGGAGTATCTGTGGTGACGTCGGACCCTGCTGTGCGAGTCGAAGAGTAGGGAGCATTGACGTCTTGCTTGTTGCGCGCATTGTTTGGCCTTGCCTGTATGGTATAGGCTGCTGGGGCATCTGCACTGGAGACATTGGCTGTTGGGTCTGTTGAGGATGCGGACGGATAAACCTCTGTGGCTGGATATGTAGTTGGGGCTGCTGCTGTTGCTGTAGTTGTTCCTGTGGATGCTGTAGGCTAGCAGTTCGACCACGGTCTGCTAGCATTGGCTGTGCAGCATTGCCACCCAACGTCACGGATGCGCTTGCTCGACGCACATGAGCCATGTACGCGGCCCCAACTGGAAGGCGTGATTCGGCTAGGACTGGTGAGATTGCCGCAGCCTGCGAAGTATTCTGATCCACCACTCTTTGCTGAAGAGGCCGTTGGAAGGTCTGCTGTGCATACTGGGGCTGCTGAATCGATTGAAACTCCTGGGTCTGCGGAATACGAATTTGCTGAATTTGAGCCACCTGTCGCGGAGGTTGTTGAGCTGACTTTGTATTTGAGTGAGGGACTGACGGGCGCCTAGCCCCCTCTACCGGGGTGTTACGAAGAGCCTCACGATAGCATGCAATCGTACCCGCGTTGACCCGCTCCAGGTCCTCGGCAAAACGGGGCTCCGGAAGTGCGATGAAGGTGCTGAGAGCCGGTTGATGCTGTGTCAGGTCTTTCATAAAGATCTCATCAAAAGCAGTGTCACCAAGATCTCTGGCCGGTTGGAGATATTTGCGAGAAGCCGTAGACAAAAGATTTTGCAGAGTCGGGGATAGACAAAGGAGCCGTGACAGAAGCTCGTCCACCAAGAGAGGATAGCCGCGCATCGCAACACTGTTCGAAAGAGGACCCCAATACTGCGCCAGCCTCTCCAAAAAGGCGCACACCTGTACAATGGCTTGGGTGTAGTTACTTGTATTGCGAATCATGTCGTCAATGTTGCCTGGAAACTGAGAAAACCAGGCGAGGAGAGTAGGTCGGATCTTTCCATTGGTCTCGAGTATCTGCTGCAAGATACCGAAACTGTGGTCGATTAAGTGCGGCGGAAGGGCAGCCAGGCGGAAATGCGACTCGGCACTATCGACCAACCACAGACAGAGAAGCTGGTTTGCTGCGACAAAAAAGCCGTCTTCAATGCGGAGAGCACAGTTCAGATTCGACAACCTCTGTGCTTCAGAGAGTGTGAAGGGAGAGCCCTCGCGTTTGAGTTGCGTCATATGATTGCTCACCAGTTGCGCAAGAGCCACATAGCTGAATTCGGCATTGCCTGTCGTTGCACGAACCAAGGTTCGCGGAAAGTAAATGTTTTGTTGCGCCTCGAGCTTAGCTTGAGTTGATCCCGAGTTCGTCCCGCCTGCTGCCTTGGCTGTTGCTGCAGCTATTGCTGCAGCAATTTCTGTGGCCGTTGCTGGTTCCGGTGGTACCGTCGGTGGCAGTTGGTCAGCATTGCTTGGCTCCTCAGGTACAAGGTTTGCTTGGCCTGTAGAAACGGACGATACCATCGTTGTTACCAATGGTGCGCTGGCCGGTGACACACGCTGTGGACGGTCATCCACAAGGAGTGCTGCTACCTGCGGTGAATTTGCATCCGACTGCGCCTGGCTGGGAGCTGCGCCGTTTGTAGATATCCGTGGTTGCCTTGTTTCGCTCGGGGTGTCACTGTCCGCTGCATTCGTATCCGGTGCAGTAGACATCTGCTTCTCGACCCGTCGTCGTTGCCGCTCTTCCGATAGGGCCCTACGCAATGATGGGAAGTCGTGTATGTGAGTGACTTCCTCCGCCGTGGTCTCAGCTGGTGGGATGATTGCGTCAGGACTTGCGGCAGCTGGGCTGGCTTCGTCTGTCGGCGCGGGGGAGAGGAGACTGCAGTCGGATCTGTTTTGGGATAGGTCAGTTGTGGGCGTCCTCCAGTTTAAACCACATTCGTTCTTTCCAAGCTATTATCAACATACTGTGACAGATTTGTAGAAGTAGACATAGGTTTTGGGTCGGCAGGATTTAACGGCGGTAACGGGGGCGCAGGCGTCTCTGCCGGCGCTTGTGGTGGCGCTGCTGGCGCTGCTTCTGGCGCTGCTGCTCGCGGCGCTATTGACACTCCCGGAGCGGGCGCAACGGCTGGTACTGCTCGTGCCATGTCGGTGGTTAATGGTGGACCAGCAGTGGGTGCAGTCCGTTGCTTTGCGTTCGGCGTTAGCCATGACGGTCGCCGGGTACCGAGAAAGGCGTTTGCCGTAGTGTTGGTCGAGGCCATCTGGGCCTCGGCCCGGCTGGCGAGCAACGCACGCTTCTCGTCCGGAGACGATGTCGTGCGCGGCATGGCCTCACGGAATGGGGCTTGACTGGCGGAACGGCTTAATCGGAAAGATCTAGAAGAATCGGGGGTCGACAGTTAGATCTCAGGATCATGTCTCAGGCTCTGTCTTGCATTGCAGCACAGGTTGGGCAACGCACCATGGCAGAAACCGGCTCTTATCGATCGCTATTGTCGAGACCATACACACGACAGCACCCGGGGATCAAGAATCCAGACAAAGTCCAAACGAAACGGCGTAAGTGAATGCCCGGAAATTCACGGCGGTGGCGGCCACGGAGTGGGACGACGCAAGGCGATGAGAAAGTGCTGCGCCAAACGTGCGATTTTCGTCTATCTTGCGGCTTCTATGCTCGTGCCATGAGTCGCTCGGCGAAGGCAACGGGAAGACGACCAAAGAGATGGAAGGGATGGGAGAGAGGACAGCGAGAAGATTATGCAAAAGGCACAACGCAGGCAGCGCAGCGTGCTGCCGAGGGCGTTTTGGAGACAGAAGTGGTTGGAAATCCGCTTTGTCGATGGTCGCGCGCGCGTAGTTAGGCGGTAAGAAACGACAGCGACGGGGGCACACCGCTTTGGAGCTAGGGCGAGTGCATGGGGCTACTAGTCAATTGCAATGGGCCTTGTGCACATTGTGGCTCGCCGATCGGGGACAGCCTTGGAGGTGATGGGGATGTGAAGACACAAACAGAAATGAACAGGAAAACAGGAAATAGGAAAACAGGAAAACATGAGCAGAAAATCGTGACAGGAGTACGGACTATGGCAAGAGCGACCGTAAAGGGGAGGGGGGAAAGAGCGAACGACGACGATGGCCAGGTGGGAAGCCTTCGGCAGGCGTTAGGCGCACTTGCCTGTGCCCCCAACATAAGGCAACAGTGCAGTAGTTTCGTCGTACACATTGCAGGAAAGAACGATCGTCGAGCATCGGAGCCACTGAGAGCAGATGGTCAACGACTGGCTTTTGGTTCTGCACGTCTGTCTGCCTCTGAGCTTTAACTTTTCCAGATTCAATTCATCCGACGGCCAATTGTAGCGCCTGCTTGCATCTTACAGCGATAGCGCGACATTGTGCGCTGGCTTTCTCCGCAGTGCGAACGGGGATTGATCCATTCCAAGATTCCAGGCCTTGCACCCTTGACTGTTGACTTGCACGTTTCAGGAAAAGCTACGGGGGTCTCTTTTGACAAAATGGCACACGAGCAAAGAGGAGCAGTGACAGTGACGCGGAAGAAGGGCATTTTCTGCATCGGAGAGCCTTGTTTGCCGCCTGGGACGGCCTCACGCCTCTGATCCGACAACAGTATGAAGCTTGCACGCCATGTCGTAGAGCAGCCGTTGTCATGCAGTCACTGCAGAGATAAACAGCCCAGCGAACAGCGCGCCAACCCAGTGAGTCAACCTGTGCGACGGCTTCGGGGGAGGTGGTAATATTGAATCGTTTTGTTGACAGTTGCGGTGGGCCATCGTCTCTAATACGGAGATACTTATTGGCGCTAAGCCGAATTCGGCGACAGATAGAGTGGAGATTGGGGATTTCAGGAGGAGCCCCAACAGGCCAATCACAGTCGGTCAAGTGGGGCCACATCCAACCACTAAATGTTATCGATAACCGCCGAGCGATGAAGAAAAAAAATTTGGAGCTACGCCATTTTGCACTATAGGCAAATTCTCAGGAACCTGTGCCAGGACCAAACCAACGTGCAGCGACACCGACGACGTTGACGACTTTACCAACACGCGTCTCGTCTTTTATTTTGTACCGTTCGATCTCACGCGACCACACGGATACAGACACACAATGGCGGCCGAGGTCGTCCCATTGCAGACGCTGAAGCTGGCCCAAGGGCCGGCGGCCATGACGGCCGAGCAGCGCTACTGGAAGTCGTTCAAGAACCAGAAGTCGCACACGTCCACGGCCTCATGGGGCGTCACACACATTGGCTTCCCGGCCACGGCGGCGGTGTACGGCGGTGGGGCCACGACCGTTGCCAGCGCGACGACGACGGCGGCCACGAAGCAAAACGACCTGTTTGCCGTCACGGCCGGTCCCCGCGTCGACATATACAGCATCCGCAAGCGGGAGCTGATCAAGACGATTGGCCGGTTCGAGTCGGTGGCGCGCAGCGGCGAGATCCGGCCCGACGGACGCGTGCTGGTGGCGGGCGACGACTCGGGCAAGATGCAGGTGTTTGACGTGGCCGGCGGCTCGCGGCCTGTGATCCTCAAGACGTGGCACACGCACAAGCAGCCGACGTGGGTCACGCGCTGGTCGCCCACGGACCTCACGACCGTCATGAGCGCGAGCGACGACAAGACCGTGCGCCTCTGGAGCCTGCCGCTGGCGGACCCCGTGCGCACCTTTGTCGGCCACCAGGACTACGTGCGCGCCGGCGCCTTTATGCCCGGCGGCGGCGCCGCCAGCGCGGGCGCCGGCAGCAGCAGCAGCAACAACCACATGCTGGTGACGGGCTCGTACGATGCCACGGTGCGCCTCTGGGATGCGCGTGCGCCGGGCGGCGCCGTGCTGACGTTCAAGCACGCGGCGCCCGTCGAGGCCGTCCTGCCCATGCCCTCGGGCACGGCCATCCTGGCGGCGTCCGACAATGCCGTGTCGGTGCTCGACGTGGTGGCGGCGCGGCCGCTGACGCTGCTGACGGCGCACCAAAAGACGGTGACGTCGCTGTGCCTGGCGTCGCACGGCGAGCGCGTCGTGTCGGGCGGCCTGGACGGCCACGTCAAGGTGTTTGAGACGGGCTCGTGGAACGTGGTGGCCAGCGCCAAGTACCCGTCGCCCGTGCTCAGCGTGTCGGTGATCGCTGCGGGCGCCGGCGGCGACGACCGGCACCTGGCGGTCGGCATGGTGTCGGGCGTGCTGAGCATCCGCACGCGGTTGACGGGCCCGGCGGCCGAGCGCGAAAAGGACAAGAAGAAGGAGCGGGCCGCGCGCGACGCCGGCACCCTCGACAAGTACGACGCCGCCAAGGCCAAGCGCAAGCAGCAGGCCGAGGCGCACGCGCGCATCGACGCCGCGGGCGGCGACGCGGCTGATTTTGTCATTGACGGGTCCGGCATGGGCGGCGGCAGCGGCAGCGGCAACAACAACAACAAGCGCCGGCGCCGCGAGCCGCCATGGCAGCGTGACCTGCGGCACCAGCGGTTTGGCGCCGCCCTCGACGCCGTGCTGGACCCCAACTCACCCAACTATGGCCCGCTCAACACGCTGACGCTGCTGACGGCCCTGCGGCACCGGAGTGCCCTGCGGGTTGCGCTGGAGAACCGCGACGAGGTGACGGTACAGCCGATTCTGCAGTGGGTCTGCCGGCACATTGTGGACCCGCGGTTTACGCCCATGTGTACGGACGTTGGCATGCACCTCTTGGACCTCTATGCCGAGTACGTGGCTGCGTCGGCCGAGCTGGACGCCGGCTTCCAGCTGCTGTGGAAGCGCGTGCGTCGCGAGGTCGAGCAGGCGCAGCTGGCGTGCCAGACGAGCGGCATGGTGGAGAGCCTCATGATGAGCGCCATGGCATAGCGGCTTGCTGCTACGAGGTGTGTTGCGACGATGTGCCCACCTCTTCTTCGCTCTCTCCGTTCGGCCTGCTTTTCCCAATCTTGTCTCAATACGTACGCATTGGCACGAAAGCGTCTTTTACTGTACTACGATTTCCACAAAACGGCTTTCACTGGATAGGGCATTTGCCTTTAGCATGGCATGGGCGTTTGGGGTTTTGCTTTTTCCTGTCGTTTAATGATGCTTTATCTTGCAATAAAAAGTGTCGAGGTTTCAAATATGGACGAATACAATCTCATTCACCAGGGCAGTTTCGTGACGGCGTGAACGCGGACATGGTAAATACCACTTTGTCGTGCTCAGCTACAACACTTGCCCCAGACGGTTAAATGTGATCCCGATGGAGCCTCGCTTTGACGAAATGGCTGCCTCAATGACTCTTCCTCTCACACGACTGGGACGGCCCCACGTGTATGTATGTCGAAGAGGCTTGCAGGCTGCTTCGGAGGACGCGGACGCAGGCGTTATCAGAATCTGCTGAGTCAAAAGCGGCGGGCCACCTGCATGACGCACGTAATGCGTGCAGGATGTGATAAGCACAGAGATGCCATTGCATGGTCTCATCGAGTTTCTGCCATCAAACTTGCAGCCCAGACAGAGCTGTGCCATGTCGACGGGTGCCAAAGTCCCCGAAGACCGTGAGCTTCGTCGAGAACGCAGCGCGAGAAGCCGATTCGCTTCCGTCGACGCAGATACGACTAACAAACCTCACAAACCAGTCGCCGGAGAGCCACCCTTCCTGCGCCGTACATTGTATTGTTCTGCGTTTCCACCCTGCTGCACATGTCATGTCCCGAGTCACGGCGCAGATTCGACGAGGAAACATCTCAAAGGAACTCCACAAGGACACCACCAATGAGACCCAGACGAGGCCAAGAAGGGGAGAAACGGCGGCGGACGCGAGCGCCGCGAGGCGGCGTGGTGGGCTGCACGGCCAATCTGATCGACAAATAGGCTTGGTGCGTCTCCTTAGCCTGGATCACGCAAGCCGCCGTTCCTGGCATTGGTGGCGATGGTGCTAGACGCCCTGCAGAAGACGATATAAGATCGGTGCATATTTTGGTGAGCAGATTAGGGATTTCTGCACGGGGAGGAAGTAGAGTCGGGACAATGGCAGCTGCCATTTGTCTACCGATTACTGACTCCTTCCGTTTGGTCTTTGATCTAGCCATTCGTTATGGCTGGGCTGGTCCTTCCGCACGGAGACATCTCACGTACTTCCTGCCGTTTTGTCCCACCGTTTGCCCCTCCGCGCCCACCCGTTCCTTCTTATTAATCGCTGCGACCGTTGCGATAGCGATTTCTCCGTCCCGCCGCTCCTTGCTACAATCGTGGCAAAGGAAGGGGCGCATCATGCTAAAATTGGAAAGAATGGACAAACACGCCCTACGGCCATCCCAGCCAAGAACTTCGTCCTCGGAAAACGTGCGCTTGCCAACGGAGTTAACACCGTGGGTAGCTCCTGCCCTCGCGTCGTCGTTCTTGCTCCGCGGGTATTCATCCGTGTTCTTGTTGTCGCCAAGTACCTGCCGCGGGTAGAATCTTTCTCCCATCCGAGCCGAGCTTCAGCGCTCTTTTGCGCTGTTTGAGAGGCGCCAATAGTCCCTTGCACGGCAAACAAGTCGAAAAATAGCTTTAGATTAAAACCAAAAAAAATCATAGTGAACCAAATATCAGAAAAGGGCCCTGCAAAGTGCAGATCCCCAGTGTCTTCTGGGCCAGACCCTTCCATTTCTGCCAGTCGTTCCGGCAGTATGTCGTTCCTTCCCTTTTCTTGTAGCGGTTGTTGACGCCCCTTCCACATTTGCATGTGCCCGCGCAATGCCATACAGGAAGGTAATCGACCCTGGCGCAGCTCGACACCCGTCGTTCCTGCCTCAAGATAGCAACGCTCTTTCCTTTTCGTTTCATTTTTGCTCCATCCTGCCCTCGCCTCTTGCTTACTCTCTGCTGTTCTGCCAATGCGCCTTCCTCTTCATCTTCCTCCTTTCTGCCTCCCCCGTACCTCCCCTTCTCGGCAATTATGCGAGTGAGCGTCCTTAGGCCAGACCTGCGGGATAAACAGCTTCAGTGCATTCCGAGCTCTCCCACTTGAGCTTCCTTTTCTTCCTTTTCCTCACTTCTCCCCGCCGGCTCGAGTTTTCGACCGCCCGTGCAGCCACTGTCAGCTAAACGAGAAAACGGTGGCCCCATTTAGGACTTCTGCCTCCGTCTTTGTTTCTGCTCCGCCCTTAGCGACAAACGGCCTCGAGCTAACGTTCCGTTACGTTCCTTGCGCCATCCAGCTTTCTTCACCGGCTTCCTTTATCTCTTCGTTCTGTTCTTCTACAGCTCTCTCTCTCGTCCTCTCCTACCTCCTCTTCGTCTTCATTCTGCTTCATTCCCTTCTTGGGCCTCATGCTCCAGTGTGCACTGTCGCTTGTCCCATAATATAGCGCAAGAGACCGCGCCACCATTGGAGACGGCCGTTCGTCCCGCAAATTCATCTCAAGAAAACAACATCTCCGGGAAACGGTGTACTTTGTTAGACCTTATTCACACAAGATGGGCGCTTTTTCGATCTAGTCCGCTGCTTCCCATAACCTTCTTTCCTTTCCTCCTTTCCTGCAATCCCCTTTTCCTTCCATTGCATGCCGCCGGCTGCGCCGTGCGACCTCTTTTCGGCCTCCATTCTCGGTTTCCTTCGGCTGTGTCTGCTCTGCTGCTCCGGGTTTCCTTATCTTTCACCAGACAACCCTCTGCCCCCCTGCCACACATAACACAGCCGTGCTGTCGCAATGGGCGAGCGAGTCGAGCGCTGCAGCGGGCCGGTCCAGACGAGCGCCGTCTACTTGCTCGGGACCTCTGCCTTCCCGGCAGTTCCACCGCCCTCGCCGCCCTCCCCTGTGACGCCGGGGAACGAGGAAGACCTTTGCAGCCCGATTGAGGACCTGTCGCTCGATGCTGTCGACAGCGTTACCATCACATCCCCTGTCGCGGTTGCGGCCTCAGCATCTGCTGCCCCACCAGCATTGGCCGCCGGGCCGTCTTCGTCCCCCAACAATACGACGGCCGCGGGCGTGCACGACGACACCGCTCTCTCATCACCGCCGGCCACAGCGCCAGCCTCGGCAACAGACTCGCCCGAGTTGTCTCCTTGTGTCCTGTCGCCAAATGTCTCCTCCACCTGCCTGAGCGTCACTACGGCTGCGACCTCGCCGGTAGCCTCTTCGTCCGCCTCTGCTTCTGTGTCCGGCAAGGCACCAGCATCGTCGGCCACTGCACGCCTGGCCGGCGCCGTGCATGTCCTTTCCACAGAGGCAACCGCCCTGCAGTCTGTTGCCCAGCTGTACGCCACATCACCGGCGGCGCAGGACGGCTTCCACCAGGCTGTTGAGGCCATTGTGCGCACGCAGACCTCGCAGCCACCAGGGAAGTTGGTGGTCGTCGGCGTCGGCAAGTCGGGCCACATTGGCAAGAAGCTGGTGGCCACATTCAACAGTCTAGCTGTGCCGGCCTCCTTCTTGCATCCGACCGAGGCGTTGCATGGCGACCTCGGCCACATCCGGCCACACGACGCCCTTCTGTTCATCACCTACTCGGGTAAGACACAGGAGCTCGTCACCCTCCTTCCGCACATCGATCCCGCCCTGCCGCTAATCATCTTGACGTCCCACGTCACCGCCGAGACCTGCGAGCTGGTCCGCCACCGCAACACCCTGCAGTCCGGTGCCAGAGCCAGCGGCGGCATCCCCGGCAGTGGCTCTCCTGCTGCGGCCGCCATCCTGCTGCCGGCGCCCATTCCTGTCGAGGAGAAGGTGTCCTTTGGCGTGGCCGCGCCCACCGCCAGCACGACCACGGCATTGGCCGTCGGCGATGCGTTGGCGATTGTCACGAGCACGGAGCTGCACCCGTCGACAGAGTCTGTGTTTCGCCGCAACCACCCTGGCGGTGCCATAGGTGCCGCCTTTCAGCATCCGGATGCCGCCGCCAACTCTCACCTACAGCAGCAGCAGCAAAAACAACAACAAAACGACACCATCCGCAACCTGGCCGTACCGTGGCGGGACATTCCCATTGTGCACTCCCAGCCCGACTGCGCCGACGTGCTGCGCGCCGGCTACAGCTCGGCCAATGGCTGGGTGCGTGTGGTGACGACGGCCGGCACGAACAGCGACGACAGCAACCTCGAGAGCATTGCCCCGCCGAGCCGCATCCGGGCCCTGCGGTCCGCCGACCTGGCCCGCCCTGTGCACGAGGTGCCCGGTCTTGTCATTGGCCGGCCTGATTTTGTTGCTGTGGCCGCTGACACAAAGGTGCGCAAAGCTGCGGAGTGGCTGCGGGCCGTTGCCGACGCGAGTGCCAGCGAGGAAGGCGTGGCGGCGGCCGATGCTGTCGTCGCCGTCATTGACAACGGTGAAGTCGCTGGCGTCCTGGAGCTCCAGGACCTGCTCAAAGCGTATGGCGATGTGCGTGCATGATTTGTTTGTGCTGGACAAGAGGTTGCGCCAGGTCAACGGCACTGGCGAGCCTTTTCTGTTTTTTTTTTTCTTTCCTTTTTTTCATTTTGTTTTTTGTTGTTGTTGATTGACTTGTTCTTGTTTTGTTAATGATGTTGCATCTTGTTGGTTTCATGGGAGGCAATGCTCTTCTCTTCCCGTTACGATTTACTGGTCATGTGCGTATTTGGATTTGGAATCATACTTTCGCCTTGCCCACATCAAGCGAAGATCCCGGAGATAAGTCCCGGGAACGGGTGGCTTTTTGCTTTTATACACATCTCATCACCGCATTTACAGTCTCTCGTAGACCTTGATTTGGGCGTTTACAGGACTTGCTCTTTGGTTATTATTTATGTTTATATGTCACGGGAACATAGACGTACAGCCAACACACAATGGCATCTCATAGTCAATTTCCGGTCCGTCATACGGAGCGTTTTACAGTTATCCATCATTACTTCGATGTTGCCGCCTCGTAATTGAAATAAGTCAATTCCCATTGCTCCATGTACTCCCATGATGAAGGACTGCATGAGCTGAACCAAATGGCTGGCATAAATAAAACAAAATAAAACAGCATCGTTTACCATGGTAACGCTATGAATTGTCGCTAGAGATGATTGACTCAGAATCGGTCACACGTTCTGTTGACAGTGTCTGTACGCCGGTTACTTTGTCTCTATCCAACTTCTAGTCGGAATCCGAGTCAGAATCAGACGCAGACGCCGGTGAGCTGCTGCTTGACGAAGACGATGATGTTTGTGCACCATTCGCCATGGATAAAGGCACCATCTCGTCGGACGAGTCGTCGGATGTGTCACTCGGCGAATCGGCGCCGCCTCCAACCTTTGCACCGTCGCCATCGTCGCCCGAGTCGGAATCCGAGTCCGTGTCTGAGTCCGAGTCCGAGTCGTCCGAGCTGGAGTCAACAGCCGTGCGCTGCTTTCGGCTCCGTTTCGGCTTCTGCGCCGAGCCATCGTTGAGCTTCACACGCTTGTCGTCGCCGCCGGATGTCGTTGCTGAAGACGACGACAGGTACGAGGCGCTCGGGACATCCGAGGTAGAGCCAGACTGCGCCGCCTTGGGTATTGACGCTGCTGCTGCTGCTGCTGCGGTCGCCGCCTCGCCGTCCTCCTCACTGCTCAGCTCATTCGCAACGTTCTCAGCCCGAATACGCCGCACCAGCCGCTTCTGCAGCACCGGGTCGGCAAACCGAAGGACATAGTCCACCTCGCTGAGACGCCGGAGCCGCTTGCCGTTGCCATTGACGGCGCCACTGGCGGCCTGGTCCCGGAAGCCGGCCACAATCTTGGCATACTCGGCTTCGGCCGCCGCTTCGGCCTCCGTCTTTGCCTTTTTCGGCGTCGCCTCTCCTGTCGCCGCTGTCGTTGTCGCTTTTGTTGACGTGCTAGTGCTGGTGCGTGGCGCATCTATTGTGTTGTCTGCCACGTCGTCCATCTTGCAAATGCTGGTCGCCTCGTCGCGAAGCCGTGTCCGGACGGCGCCTTGCAGCGAGCGGATGTAGTCGTAAAAGATGTCAATGTGCGATGTCGGAATGCCCGCGTTGTTGCTGCCGCCCGCAAAAACGTACTTGATCAGCAGCGTCTGGTGGTTCTTGTTGAACTTCCACGCGTCCCGTGCCGTCTTCCACTGCTGCAGGTACTCGAGTTCGCGGTCGAGGTTGGACGGCTCCTTGTTGGCCGGATTGGGCGCGGCCTTCTTCTTTTTGGCCTTCTTGGCCTTCTTGGCTTTCTTGAGTGCAGCCTCGCCGTTCGTCTTGTTGGCGGTGCCGCCCTCGGCGAATGAGACGGACTTTTGGCGTTTGGCGGCGGACGACGCGAGGGCCGACGCAGGCGGCTCTTTCCGCTTGCTGGGTGTGTTGGTCTGGGAGTAGGAGGAGGGCGATGATTGGTATGGCGGGCGTGTGGAGCCAGAGAAGGACGAAGGAGGAGGCGGTGGTGGTGGTACGGCAGTCGTGGCAGCGGGCGAGGCAGGATTGCCGTCCGACCCTTTGAGCTTGAGGCCCAACCGTTTCCAGGCCGGCACGCGCTGGGCTGGCGCAGTCGTTGGGTACGGCATGGCAGAGGTGGGGGTTGTATGCAACGTTGGAAGTATGCGAAGGCAGCGCCTTTTTAACAAAATACAAAGTAGAGCAGGGGACGTCTGACGGTCTGGAGAAGGAAAATGCAAAAAGTGCAGACAGAACCCAAGAAATGAGAGAATATGATTATCGTCAACAGGCGTCGTTTCCTGACGGCAGTCGGTCGGCAGTGTGCGGCGTTGTGCGTTCCACAAGGAAGCAATTGGCTCATAAACAATGAAAGGCAGATATACAATGTATATGCAATTCCAAAGTGTCGTCGCCTTAAGCTCCGTCGCCCTTCTGCTTGTTCGCCGCTCTCGTCGTTGCGTCTGGCATCAATGTAAATAGTACAGAGGCAGGAAGGAGAAAAACTAGGATCTTTTTAGCGGGTCCCTTATCGATAAGACGATTGGGCGGGAACTTTGCAGATCAGTCCACCGCCGTGACTTTTCACGTGATTCGGAATATTCAATTCTCCGGTTCCCTGCAAGCTCCCTCTGGAACTGGACGCACGGGCCAAGCATGCTTCCTGCCCCGTTCTAGCAGCACTTGCCTCTAGGCAAGCTCCTTGCCAACGCGTCGCAGCATTGAGTGTCGTCTGGCGGCAGGAGCAAGCGGGAAAACGAAGCTCTCCCTATCCAGCTCAGCCTCTCAGCAGCCTAGCCACCTCTATCGTCATCTACACATCCGCCACCACCATTGCATCGCCAAAGTAGCAAGCACACGATTTTTCTTTGCACCTTTCCTGTTTTTGTCCATCAATCTATCCATCTGACGAGCACATCCCATTCGAATTCGGTTTGCCGTTTCTGTGCGGCCTCCGTCCTCGTCTCCGCGAATCCCCGTACGAAGAAGAGAGGAAGCTCTTGAGGTCGCCTCAATCCGCGTGTCACCATGTCTGGTATGGCTGGACCTTCAGTCTCGATCTCGCATTGCGCTTGTCCCGTGACGTGCTTCATTGGAGGGCACACAAACGCAGGTGCAGCTAGCTAACAGGACCACAGGCAGCGCGGGCTTCGATCGGCACATTACCATCTTCTCCGAGCAGGGGCGACTCTACCAAGTCGGTACGACAGCGATCTCTTTCCGTCCTGCCGTCGATGGCGAGCCACCCACCATACTGACCTGTCTGTGTCTCTAGAATATGCATTCAAGGCCATCACGGCCGCCAACATCATGGCGGTGGGCGTGCGCGGCAAGGACTGCGCAGTAATTCTGTCGCAGAAGAAGGTCCCGGACAAGCTCATCGATCCGGCGTCCGTGTCCCACATCTTCCAGATCTCGCCGTCCGTCGGCTGCGTCATGACGGGCTCCATAGCCGACGCCCGCGCGTTTGCGCAGCGTGCGCAGGGCGAGGCGGCCGAGTACCGGTACAAGTACGGCTACGAGATGCCCTGCGACGTGCTGGCCAAGCGCCTGGCCAACATCAGCCAGGTGTACACGCAGCGTGCGTACATGCGGCCGTACGGGGTGGCGGCGACGCTGATCTCGCTCGACGCGGAGGTGGGGCCGCAGCTGTTCAAGTGCGACCCGGCAGGCTACTACACGGGCTACAAGGGCACGGCGGCAGGGCCCAAGCAGCAGGAGGCGCTGAACCACCTGGAGAAGAAGCTCAAGAACAAGGACCACGCCGAGGGCACATGGGAGGACGTCGTGGAGCTGGCCATCACGACGCTGAGCACGGTCCTGAGCATGGACTTTAAGAAGACGGAGATTGAGATTGGCATCGTGGGCGGCCCGCATGCCAACGGCGCCGAGGGCACGTACCCGGGCTTCCGGACGCTGACGGAGGAGGAGATTGACGAGCGGTTACAGGCGATTGCAGAGAAGGACTAAAGCGCGAGCGCCTTGTTTCCGAAGTGTGTGGCGGCAGCGGCGGCAATAAAGACGAGCGAGTCGACGTCGGTTGGCGTGCGCACGCCAGAGTGTATGGTGTGTGCGTCCGCGTGTGGGACCGGCGATCCGACAGGAAGGCATGGAAATGCGCGAATAACAAGACCATTAGCATCGCAAATGTACAACACAGATTTCTAAGCGAACAGCAAAAACGCTCCGCACGAACAAGTCGGCCAATGCCCGCACCCTGTCTTTCACAAACGACTCGACATCTGGCAGAGCTTGGCAGGACAGGAACGGCAAAAGAAAATGGAAGGTTCGATTCCAAAAATATGGGTGATTGGTCGGCTTCATCCCGGCCAACCATTCCATCGGACATGCCGCGATCGTCGCAAGGGACTGGATCCGATCCTGCATCCATCCTTTTGTAGTTGACTAGTCTTTTATGTGGCATTATCCTGGCATTTGCTCGTCTTGGATGGTATGCATATCGAGCCCCTTCTCCGGTCGCATCACCTCCCGCCGTGGCCCTCTCCATCCCTAAAAATCATCGCACACTGCTGCCAAGCGGTTCTTTGGACCAAGAACTAGCCATGCTGTATGTTGTAGGTCCAACAAAAAAAGTAAAATAAAATAAAACGACAGAAAAAAGAAGAAGCCAACTCAGAAAAAGCAAATCTACTTTGTGCTTTCGGCTCGCTTTCGTCCTTCGGTTGTTATGCTTCCGTGCAGTAGCCTGAGATCATTTACTGCAGCAGAAGAAGCAGGACCATCCAACCAGAGGTCAACATGGTGCCTCGACGTTGATGTGGAGGCCATCCAGGGGTCGGTTGTGCATGTGGCGCTAGGCCACGGAGAGGCTGGCACCCGGGAGGGAGGGCGTGGGATGGGCACCAGGAGAAGCCCACATCGAAGAAGCCAAGGAAGGAAAGAAAAACAGAGAGAAGGAAAAACGAGGTTCTTACGTGCAGGGCCCCATCAGACCCATCCATCCCATCCATCCCGTCCACCGTTCAGCCGGCTCTGTCTGTCGGGACGAGCTGAAAGACTGTTTCACGCGGAACCAGCGAGTCCACAAAAATGGATATACGGGGGGTTAAGGGAATGTAAGGTCCGGGCATGCATGTCCTCTGTTTCCTAATCCGTCCTGCTTCAAGACGTCATGTTCAATTGCGGATGTATATGTTTCGTTATCATTTGTTGTTTGCTGGCGATGTTTACCAGAAAGCAGCATGTTGATTTGCATGTGAGCAAAATATTGTAGCCCGAAATTATAATAACAAAACCTTAAACATAAGCACATAATAACTTCCCAGTTACTGTTTTCTTTGTCAATAGTTTTCTCTCTTTTTTAAAAAATAAAAAAAAGATAAAAATTAATTAATTAACGTAGAAAGGAAAGAAACTGTTCAACTTCCCACAACCACGAAAAGATGTTCTTTAGTGTGCCGTAACTTGGCTTACCCCCCCTGGTTGGACTATGTTGTATCCTCTCTCCTCTAACAGCCTTAAGTTGCCTCCCCAGGGCTTCGCCCCCGAATCTGTTGAGTTGGCCGTTTGAAACAGAACGTTGTGTAATTGTGGTTTGTGCTCGTCCCTTGTTTCCTTTTGTAGGGATTGACATTAAAAAGCATAACTGGGTTCGAGAACGTGATATTATTCGCCCTGTAGGGCGACCACTGAGACGACTGCATACAGTGTACTGCAGTGTACTAACAGCGGTTGGCAACGGGGAGGCGAAAACAAGGCAGGAGTTAGGGGAGGGGGGGTGAAGAACAACTGAGGTGGTAGTGGGGAGGGTGTCTGTGTTGTCAGTCGCCCCTTCCTCGCCGAAATTGTGAAGCATTCGGCTTGTTTCCCCATACTTTTCTACTCTGCACCATACACACAAATGTATGCAAAGCACGGATTAGGAGAATTGGAAGAGTTTATGAGACGGCAAAAATACGTAGAAAATACGTCATAATAATGTGGGGGACGAAACGAAACGGACGCCGTGCATCACGGGCCCAATCCAACGTGACGCATTATCAGATATGTCCTATTTCGGAATCGCACAAGGCAGACCAACTTGCCATGCAAGCGCAGGAACGCCTTCAAGCTGAGGAAGGCACGAGCAAAGGCATGAGGCAGGAAAGAACCATTTCGGGACACACTGAAAGCTTTGGAAGGATGGTAGCAGGTACGACCGACCGCCACCAACATCCGGAAGGGACGAACTGCAGCTCAAAGAACGAGAACCAAAAAGAGGGAAACAAGGGGGCCCCACAACCTTGCATGGCCCTCCACTGGCTCTTTCTCGTCCGTCGAGCTGGGATCACCCGTGATAGGCTAGGACGGCCCGGTGCAACGTACTGCGCCCATTTGCTCTTGCCGTTTTGGGCGAGTTCAGCGCTGTCTGGTTGTCAACTCGGGCTGGAGAGAGCCTGCTCTTATTTCTCCGGTAGGCATTGTCGGTGGGTTTGGACGCATTTGACGTGCTTTTCTGGTATTGTTTCGCGACGATTTTCGTAGTTGCACCACTTTGTTTGCAGTCCTTCCGCATCATGTCTTCTTGTTGCATCTTTGTTATTGTTCCTCGTACTACCGCTGCCAAGAAATATGATCGTCATCCAAAGATGCTCGGAGGGAGCCAAACAGGGCCAGGAAAAGAAAAGAGATATTTTCTTTAGCCGCATCGTCGTTCTTTTGATAATACATTGCAACGGGCCTGACAACAAGGGCATCGGCAGTTGTCGTCTGAAGGGCCATGCATATCGAGTCTTCGAGTGCATATCAGAGACCTCCACCGAAAGGTGAGGATGCGGTTTTTGCTGGCGTTTTAGCGTTTTGAGTGGAAATGCGCGGCCCCTCTTCAGCTCTGTGCTAGTAGGCCCGATCACCATCTGCTCTGTCATTGGAGCCCTCCTCTGGTGCGCCATTGGTCAAGTCAACACGGCCGGGCTTTTTTTGAAGCACGGACTTGTAGGTTACAAGTTTCTTGTACTCGTGAACTCTCTGTTTTGATTTTACTTCTCTCATCCGAAGAGAACCCACAACGGCAAAGTGTGATCTGGCACAAGAAGACAATGTCGAGTTTAACAATTATAAAAATTGATTTTAATTGGTTTGTCATTTTGTCAGTATCGCTGACTGTGGCTTTTGTTCTTGCGACTTGCAAGCTTCAATGTTACCTTTGCGTTTGACGGGTTTTTACTAACCTCGTTTGATTTTTTTTGATATGTTTTATCTATTTTCCCTCACGGTTTCCTTATTTCTCGGCTCTTTCCATAGTCTAAACCAAGGTTCGTCGTCAACATTTAGTGGGTGCAAGTGCCAGCTGCTGCTCCTTCTTCCTTCCCCAGGAGATTTATTTTGTCTTGCAAAGACAACTAATCCCAAGTAAAACAAACAATTGACCTGATATGCAGGATATAGTTGACGCATGACATTAGGAGGGGTGCAGAAGGGACTCACATAAAACAACAGGATTAAAGACAGAGAAAAAAAATATCCAAAAATACAATATCATCCTCTCACATCCCCGTGGTATTGGATACAAGCAACCCGTTTTATCCCCTTGGGCTGCTGCCCCTCGTTGCATAGCTTATATCGACCAGCCAAGAGCTAAGGGCGCAAAGCAACCCCTTCCAAAAAGAGGAGGACCTTCTTGAACCGAACTCGTATATCCGTCTACATCCTTTGTCTCTTTCCTCCTCTATTCTGTTTCCATTTTTATTCCTGACCCCCTGCCCCTCCCGCCTCTTATCCCTTCCTACCTTTTACACAATAGCACCTGCTTATTCTCTCCCAGTCCTCTAATTTCATTGGCTTCGTTATTGTAGCTGCAAGGTCGCCATGTCTCAGACACGTCCGGCCTCGTTCCATCTATTCACCCAAATATACAAGTGTGCTTTGGATTTCTTTCTTTATTTTATTTGCCACCGCCGCAATTTTAAAAGCTCGGATTCTTGTGTGAGAGAATATCCTGCTTGGGGACAAACATCATGTTAGGGACGAGGTACACAAAGAAGGACATGCCCATGCCGTGGTATGATATGCCGGTGCTTAACGAGGCCGTACAACGTGGAGACGGGGAAGAGGAACGAAGCTGGAAGAGGAAATCTAGAAGAGAACACATGGAAAATGGAGGGACGTGTACATAAACGTGGTGTGTATTTACACGACTCACAGACCACGGTCAACCGACCTCTCGAAATCCGATTGATCGCCAGGTCGGTCTCGTGCGAACGCTTCCTCTCCTCTAACGTTTATTGGATTGGTGACAATTGGCCGACTTGGCCACTGGGGTTAAACTAGAGCCTTTGCTACGTGTTTTCCAGGAAACGGCTTGGGGTCGGGGAGCTAAATTCAGGATTGTATATAGAGGCTTTCCTGCCAGAAGAGCTTTCATTTGGCGTGTTGGACGGACATACATCGTCTAGATTTCTCTTTATGGCTGACTTTGGTTTCTGGGTGACTTTCCTCCTTTTGCTTCTCATTCTCTGTTGATTACTTATTTTCTTGTTTACCTGTCATTTATCTGTTTCTTATTTTCTTTCTTTTTCACGTATCTCTCCACCAAAGTCGTCTCAAGCTCCAAAGCCAACCTATTACGGAGAGCTCTGAGGAGCTCCCCAGCTCTGACATTAACACGCCTCCCTCTCCACCGCACACCCCTTCTCGACTTTTTTACCCCTGCTCGGCTCCTTTTCGTTATTCTTATTATATCTCCATTTTCTGTTTTCCTTTTTCTTCCATTTTTCGTCTACTTTACTTCTTGTATCTATCCACACCTTCGTCCGAAGCCTTGTTTGGCTGCCAAGATACCTTCCCGCACCGGTGGCTTCCTCCGTCTCCCGCCTGAGCTTCATCAAAACAGGAATAGGGGCATGTACGTCGTCCATCACGCACGCCTATCCCTACCTTCTCCTTTCACCCTCGTCCTATCACGGTCCATTGCAAGCTCCTTGCTCGTTTTTCCACTCTCTTTCCTAGTGCCCGCTCGCGGCGTTCCTCAACAAGGGCAACAAGGCAATAAAAAGAAGAAAAAGAAAACCCAAGACAAGAGCAGCCGGTTGAGCCATCCAGCCTTACGCGCGCGTTCTTCTGTCTTCTATTTTCTGTCTGGTGTTTTCGGTCTTTCTAGGAATCCTGTTTCGGAAGACGACTTTGCGCTAGACAGGAGAGCCACGCTCACTCGGACGCCTTTTTTTCACGCACTCCGAAGCAGGCATTCAGAAACAACTGTGAAAAGAACCGACCAAAAAACGGTCCAAGAATAAGACCAAAAATCAGACCAAAACATCTGCATAACTACAGATGGGCAGGGCTGTCATCACATGTCTCGACCAACCAGAGCCCTTCATCACCATAATCAAACAGCTGCAAATTTTGATTCTTGGGCCCTCGCCATTTTTTGATTTGCTTTATTTCCCGCCCTTCCGTCTCCAGATTGCGTCTGCCTTGCCCACGTCCTTCTGGCATACCATCTACCAAGTCTGTCGTACCCAGAAGTGCACAATCCTCCTAAAATAACGAGTCGCTGGTCGGCTTTGTCTGCACCCCTTTCTTCGTTTCTTTTTCGTACCACACCCCTTTCCATACACCCCCTTCTTGCAACACGCTCGACATCCGTCGTGGCGCCCCCACCTGTCTCCATTTGCCTCCTCCACTTCAACGGCTGCCTCACCTATTTGATATCAATCTCTCAACAGACGTCTTCTCCAGGATCACTGCATCTTGCTACACCTTGGCGAAGAAGCGAAGAACCGGCCTCATCCAAGATAAAAGAACAACAGCCCCCTTCCTCTTGCCACCCGCACCTCTTCTATCCGTTTCCCATCTCCCCTTTCGACATCGGCAGCATCAGACAGCCTCCAACGGCCTCACGTATCCCGTCGCGATCCTCGACATCACACGACACGTGCGCACCTACACATTGTCCCGTCACAATGGACGGCCGTGAGTCCCGCCTTTCCTTCTTTCTCGCAGTATCTCTCCCTCCCCGAGACACAGCCCTAATACTGTTTGCTTTTGTGCAATCGCTCCAGTCAACGAGTACCGCCGCGCCCGCGTCGCCGAGCTCCTGGCCGACTTCACCAACCTCCAGTTTTTTATTGCTGCTGCGCCCGTCGACCCGCCCAGCCAGGAAGACTACTACACCGAGGGCTGGCGCGCCCTCCGCCAGTGCGCCGTCGACGGCCAGCACATTCTGAACACGGGCGCCGACACCCACGTCCCGACCACCAAGGGCGGCCACGAAGAGCAGTCGAAAGCCGAGCTCCAGCAAGTCCACCTCGACGCCCTCGCCCGCCGCCACCAGGGCCAAAAGATCTATCTGCGCCAAGCCGCTGCCCAGCGCTGGGTTGAGTGGCGCAACACCATCCTGCAGGGCCAAAAGCCGTCCGCCGAGCACCAGGACCAGCTGCGGGCCTGTGACGAGCAACTCTGGCTTGTAGGTGTCTTATTTTGGCTGTCCTCGCTTCGCTCGCTGGTGTACAGACCCGATCGTCCGCTGACAGACTAGGAACTGGCTCAAATCACCGACGAGGTGGTCTACGCCGAGCTTCAAAACTCCGACATCCAGATGGGCCGATGGGTCAGCGAGGACCCGAGCCTGCGAGCCGTCCAGCGCTGGGTCCGCTCTCGGCGGTGAAGACAGCGGCGTTGACGACGACATGGACGACGGTGGCACCAATCACCGATCACAACAATCAAAACCACTTAATATCACGACAGGCACTGGCTTGCTGTCTACGACCGTTTGACACGACTATTTCCTACAAAAGCGAACCGGACGAAACAAATATACAGGACACGACTTTTTCTTCTTTTCTTCTGCTCGTCTTCCTTATTCCTTATGTCTACTTCCTCCCTCTCTTCTTTTCACGGCTGCTTGCTTTTGAAAAGAGAGCTTGTTGATCTGTTTTGAGAGATACCATTTTTTGTACAGTGCCTTTACGCGTTTTGCTGGTCCTATATTTTGTTTCATATTTTTTTATACTTGCTTCGATCTTATTGGGTGGAAAGGGATACACCACTTGGCATACATCGGTCCACATTCTGCATACATCTTCATCTGCCTGGAGCAGATACTTGGTGCGGAGGTCGACCACGGAAACGGAATACACAATCATAGGGGCAAATATAAGAAAAGGAACATCACCAATAGAGACTACCAAAAACACCGAGAACGCCTCGCAACATGCAAACGAGACTACAGAGCAAAAGGGACAGCATGGCACGGGCAACATAATAACAAAGATCTCACGAATATAGTCGCAGTATAACGCATCAACACCACCGACGACGGGACGATATGTTGGGCCTTGTATACAGGACTGGCGGCCTCCTTTCGAATAGACACATTTGCGACATTTTCACGTCGTCTTACTATGAACACACAAGGCGATACCACACAGCGACAGAGCCATGCCGATGCACGTATCTTGATTGGCGAGGGGACAAACGTGTTAGTGGAACAAAGGCTGAATGCACGAGACAGGGGACAACGGAAAAGGCCGCTCGATCGGGGACGTACCACGGCTGATCACTTTGCTCTCAACCCACCACTCGCCAATGACGGTGAACAGGAAGGCCAAGGTATTGACGATAGGGACGGTCAAGCTTAGTTCTGTTGGGGAGCACACAAAAAAGAGGGCCAAGGCGGACGCAGCGCGCCATTGGCGAGGATTGGAAACGTGTTAGTTCTCCATAAAAAGAGGGACGTCAGGAAAAGGAAAAGGAAAACAAGAAAAAGAAAAAGAAAAAGGCGCCATGTTGCAAAACGAGTGCAGATCAGGTATCAGGTACGCATCACAAGGTAAGAGCAGGTTAGAGGTGTGGATGGTGTGTGGGGATGGACAGGGCTGGACGAATATAGACTGCATAGCGTGTTCGCCCAACCCAATGTTGCACCTGGACGACGCATGCAGGTGACGCTTGCAAAGGAGGACAAAAGGGGAGCAGACCACCAAACACCAATCAACAATGACGAGAGCAGAAGACAACAAGTCCGAAAGCATCTGACCCTTGACTAGGACGACGAAGAAAAGGAGACGTGCAGACGCCACGACGAAAGGTTACACAAGACGCTAACAGGTTGGATAGCATGTCGAAAAAGGAAAGGAAACAGGTGGACCGTGACCTCCGGAATACGCCGCGCCGTGACAAGACGAGGCTAACGGCAAAGGGTGAAGCGGGAAAGCACAGTAATACAGGACGAGAACGGGGCGCAAACAACCCAAAACAGAACGGTCGAAACGTATCTTACCCGCTTGGCCGATCAGCAGGAAAAACCACACGCTGCCAGTCAGGTTGAGCAGCAGCGGCACCGCGTAGCGCGGGTTGCGCAGCAGGTCGACCACCGCAAACACGGCCCCGTACACGCGCCGCTTCACCGTGCTGGCCTGGATGTCGGCACGCTCCAGCAGCGGGTGCGGTGGCGGCTTGTGGTCGCGCGCCGCTCTGCGAATAAAAGGCGTCGTGAAGCCCCAAGCAATGCCGACGAGCAGGAAGCCAAGCACGTAGTTGATGGCCGCTGGATGGGGCGTGTCCTCGGGGGGTGCAGCCGTGTCTGGACCCATGATTGGGATTAGCGTAGCGGTAGGGAGAGAGGATGTGGGCGGATGCGTTTGCGTTGGGAACGTGTCCAAAAGGGGTGTGTGGTGGGAGTTGAGTTTCAATGCGGTTGAAGATGTTTGCCTCGATTTAGGGGACAGCCACGACCTGCGGGAAAGAACGAGGCTGGATTAGGCGGCGCGCTAGCCTTGTTTGCAACGGGGGTTTGGGAAGGTGGGACCAACCAGAATGGCGATTGCCGTCTGGGATCCTTCCTCTCTTTGCACTTTCCACTTCTGGACCAAAACGACATCATCTCGACAAATCTATCTTACAATTGTTCCTTCCGAATTATTTTGCTTCGTGGCCCCTTTCCCCTTTCCCCTTTCCCCTTTCTCCGTACCTGCATCGAGGACGCTGCCCCATTTGCTGCATAGTGCCGGGACCCTCCCGAGGCTGAGAGCAAGGCTTTCTCGACCGCTGTGGTATGGGCTGCGTCCTGATTGGCTCCCCACACGCAGCCTTTCAGCTGGGACTGCCGCTCCGTGCCTGCGCAAACGAAAATAGGGCACGAACCACGGAGCCACCGCTCGGGGCGATCGTTCGATCATTCGGAGCATTTGCATCGCTTGCAACTACGTTCTCCTTTTTATTTTATTCAGCTGCCATGGCCACCCTCAATCGGCCCACGAGTGCCGGCCCTCGTCCGTGGGACGGGGTATGTCGGGGAGCAGGCCAATGAGCGAAGGCATTTTCCATGTGGAGCTAACAAACAGATCTGCTGCAGAAACATGGAACGAACAGTGGGAGCTTGAGCACGGGCAACGAGCAACAGCCGTTGGACACACCACGGGATGGGGGCCGTGAGCGAACAAGGCTCTTGTCTTCGTCTCGGCTCTGTGGTGGCTGATTGGTGTGGAAAAGACACGCTTTCCTCTGAACGTCACCATCGTCATGGACGCCCAGAAAAGTCCAAGGCTGGGAGGCCGCCCATTCAGGATTCTGCTCAGTATGACCGGGATCTGGATCGTTGAGCAGATAAACACCGCTCTGGTCTTTAGTCGTTCGTCTCTCGTTAGATTCTCGATTTCAAACTTTTCTTCCCTTTCGTCCTTTTCTTCCCCTGCATCCTTTTCTTTCCCTTGATATTCCCAACTGGCCACTGTGCCTGGCTTCCACTTACAAGCATGTCTCGGCTCAAGGCAACACCGCACACCACTACGTACAGTTCAAACTCAATTGGTAAGCCCCTTGCTAATATTTTAGAATAGAAATAGGCACTCGCCAAAATTCCCCGGCAGGGATTCCAATCCAACAACAGTCGTCATCTACGATTTCCCCACGCGGTCGCTGTCTACGAAAGCAAAAACCAAGTTAAAAATAGCAGCTTTCAAAAGTCGGATCCAGGCCGGAGACGGAAGACGGACGGATACACAGTCTCGCCGGCCTGCAGACAGTCCCTCTCCTCCCTGTCGCTGTTGACGAACTAGCTTACGCGTGCTGACATTATTGCTCTGACCCGTTGAGGCAGTTCAGGAGCGCCGGGTTTGCGATGAAGCCAAAGTCAATGCCATGGCACAATAGTAAGCTTGATCGAAGAACGCATAGATTTTCGTGTGTCTCCTTTATTCTCTGTCTCCTTTATTCCTCTTTTCGTCTACCAAGCCTTGTGGTGACGACAAAATACGACACACACCAAATACGACACTTTGTGCCCGCCAAAGTCGACTTTGCCGGGGGAGAACGCAAAAAGTTATAAATACAAATTAAAAGTAGAAAGAATCCGGCTGCCTGGACACAGTGAGACCCCGCAGGCTGTATTCGTAGGGTGTGGTCCCTTTTTGCTGTAGCTCCACGCCCCCAGCAACGCCGCTAAAGAGTGTAAAAATATCGAAAATAATACTGGAGATCACAGTCAACAACCAACCAGGATCGAGCAATCACAACATACATCGAACCGCCATCGGCGCACTCTGAGCGCTTTGTCCCTACGGAACGCGTACTGTCAACAACGACAGCAGCATTGACTCTGCAACATCGCTCTATTGAATTCAATTGGTGCTGTCCTAACGACGAGAAAAGGCTCACATATTGTTGGCTCCCGGTTCGCTCCAAACCAAGGGACACTTGAAACAAGGTGGCCAGCCGTTATTCGTGGATGGCCGCGGCCCGCACATCGGCTCTTACTTCTGTACAGTCTCGCGCTTGGGGCTCTGGGACGGCCTATGGCCCGGTAACGGTTCTCCGTTTGGCAGCATATAATTCTCTACGGAGAAGGCAATATTCTGCAATTTCTCAAGGAGTGGGATTTCCGCTCACGAACTCCTTGCCTCCTGCTCACGTATGGTATTATTCTATCCGAAGACTGCTTTACATCATAGACCCCTGTAAACAGTTAACAATTGTATCGAAACATCCCAGTTATGGTGTATGTATATTTTGTATGGTGGTACGTCGTCATACAATGCACAAAAAATTTACAGTGCATATGTCAAAAATAACGGTTGCTGTCGATTCACGCTGATCCCCTGTCGCTCCTTCTATGGGAACCCCTGGTTCGCTGTTGCCAGCCTCTGCTTTTTATTGTTGACAATAGCTCACTGGTTTGCCCCCTCCCCTTCTCGGGCGCGCCTGCCCCACCAGCCTCTCGAAGACGAGCACGGCACTGACAATCCTAGTCGCGAGGTACCTTCCCTGCAGATCTGGCCGCATGCGGTACCTTCCCTCTTGCCCAACCACAAAAGATTAAGTCGCACCTGATAGGCAGGCCGGCGCGCATGCATGGCAAGAGCTACCCACGGTCCCGCGCTAACTCGTCCAAGGCAGGATGGACAGGCAGCGCCTCCCCGAGGATGTCAACAAAGACTCATTTGCTTTGCGTCTCGACTATTTTGGTTTCCTTTCTATTCTGTAGCCTTCCAACCATTTCATCTTCGTCTTCATTCCGTTCCTTGTCGGCGAGCCTCTCTTTTCTCTCCGAGGACTGCTTGGAGGTTTTTCCCCCTCGGGATTCGTTCTTTTTTGTCACCTTTCTTATTGTCGTCTTTCTCTATCCGATTTTATTATACGCGATTGACGCCATTCTCTCCAATGGTTTATTTTGACTCGACATTTACGACTTCAACCAGACCACTTCAGATCACACCCAGCTCGACCTACTGCGACCACATGTTGTCGGCTCCCTAATCCAAACAACCGCGTGAACGAGCGGCTTGCTGCACCTTGACGACAAACAGACACGCCGGCCTGCGGCCCTCGCGAAGCCGCTTCTGCCTCCGTATGCGTCCGCCCGCCAGCAAGTAAACAAACCCGAATCCCCTCCACCTCCCCGCGTCTCGCAATGTCGTCCAAGTCAAAGTCCAATCCGCTCAACGGGGCACACACTGCCGGCATCTTCTCCGACCTCAGCGTCGACGGCCCCGTCATTGGCACCCTCGTGCTGGTCGTCGACCGTGCCAAGAACTTGCCAAACCGCAAGACCATTGGCAAGCAGGATCCGTACTGCGCGGCCCGCCTCGGCAAGGAGGCCAAGAAGACCAACACAGATATTCGTGGCGGCCAGACCCCGAGATGGTACGTTGGCTCCCGCTTCCAGCATCCCCATTCTGTGGCATTTGCCATTTGCCATTTGCCTATGGCCATGCCGCTCTTGCTGACACGCTGCACAGGGACCAGGAGCTGCGCTTCACCGTCCACGACTCTCCAGACTACTACCAGCTAAAACTGTCCGTCTTCAGCGACGACAAGAAGACCGAGCTGATTGGCGAGAACTGGGTCGACCTGCGGGACATTCTCGTCGCCGGCGGCGGCCAGAGCGACAAGTGGCAGTCTCTCAATTGCCGTGGCAAGTACGCTGGCGAAATCCGCATTGAGATCACCTACTACGACAGCAGACCCAAGCCCAAGCCAGCTGCCCCAGCTGCCGTCTCTGCACCTACGACGACAGCAGCGTCCAACACGGGGAGTGCCCGGGGACGGCCGACGGCGGATAACAGCGGACCAAACACAATGGGCCCGCGGGCGCCCATTGGCCCCAAACGGCGCCCTCTGCCGTCTGACCCAGTCACTGGCCAGCCGCCAGTCCAGCCGCCAGTCCAGCCACAGCCAGCAGCACAGTCGGCGCCTTCCCCTGGTCCCCCGGCACCAACACCGCAAGCGGCCCCTGCTGCTGCGCCGGCTGCAGTGCCATCGCCCGGCTTTGTTCAGCAGCAACAACTGCCCCAGCATATGCAGACACCACCGCGTCAGAGCTACACACCGAACCAGTCTCCGCTGCCCTCTGCCAACAACTACAGCTACAACAGCAGTGCCAACTCGCCAGCGCCGGTTACACCAGCAGGCCAGTACCAAGACTACCATGACCGGGATCCATACTTGGCGGGAGACGGCACTCGTTACGAAAGCACCCCCCCTGCTGTGCAACAACAGCAGCACCACGGGCACCAAAGCCAGCAATCCCACCACAGCGTCCACAGCCCCCACAGCCACTCACATGACAGGTCTCAGTACGGGAGTCGCGACTTCACCCCGGACAATGCCCACCAGCATCAGCAGCACCCATCGTACGACCAACAACAACAAGATTCTGGCGAGTACCATTTCGACGGCGCTCCTGCACACTCCATACCGCTCGCCATGCCGCCTTCGTTCCAAGACCCCAACTACGCGCAACCGGCCGACGACCGCCCACCGCCGCCGCCAGCTCACCGCAGTAGGAACAACAGCAGCGGAGCGCCGGGTACGGACAGCTCGTTCCGCACCAGCTTCAACTCCTCAACACAAAAAGATGGCATGCCCGCCATGCGTCGTGAAGTGCTGAGGAACGAGGCCCACCGGCACTCCGTCTCCACGGTGGCCTACCCAGGCCGTCCCACATACCGGCCAGCGGACGCGAGCCCCGTGTCGCCGGGTCCCCTGCCCGACCAGACATACCAGCCACCGGCTCCGCGCAACCTCTCTCATAGAGCCTCTTACGACGGACAATACGGGAGTGAGTTTGACAACACTCACGAGTCATCTTCTTTCCGTAAGAGCGGCAGCCGGCCCGCCCTTCCTCCAATTCCGCAGCAGCAACAGCCGGAGCCACCGCACCAAGAGCAATCCAACTACGATTATGGGTCGCAAGGATTCGAGAATGCGCCGAGCCCTGCACCTCTGAATCTGGGCTCGCATCGAGCCAGCTTTTCGGCGTCTCCGGCTCCTCTTTACTCTTCGTCCGCACAGTCACAGCATCGCCAGAGCGATGCAGGCCAGTACGTACACAGATCGCCGTCTCCCATGACTCCGCACGATTACGGTCGGAGAAGCCCAAGCCCGCTTCCCACGCATCCGGTCTTGTCGTCGTATGATTCATACGATGGCCAGGACGACCCGTACCAGAGCAATCACAACGAGCCGGATGCTACACATCACAGGGACAATCCGGACGCATATATGCTTCCTGCTGTCCCTGCGTCTCTTGTTCCTGGTGTACCTTCTTCGCTTGCCCTCGAACTTCGGTCCCGTATCCATAGTGAAGACCGCCGTGAGCCGCAGCTTCCGCAGCCGCCCCCGCAACAGCGGCGCTACACATCTGCCATGGATGCGCCTCCACAAGCAACACCTCCCCGTGGCCGCCAAATGCTCGAAGACCCATCGCCGGCCAGTCTCGACTACGACTATAACAAAGGGTCTCAGGTCCAGACGTACAGTACTCCGCAGCGCTCGCAATTCTCCCAGTCGTACAGCACACCGCCACAGCCCCGGTATGACCGTAGCCCGGGTCCGTATTCTTCAGGCGTTCCGTCGCCAGCTGTTGTTGCCAACGCTCAGGGCGCATCGCCGAAACCGCAACACACCATCAAGCGCAAGTCGGTCAGCCCGGCACCTCCTGCTGCCTCGCCCGAGGGTGAGCGTCGTTTGTCCGGCATTCCGTTCGGTCCTGACTCGTACGACTCCCTGAACCCGGCCCTGGCAGCATCCAAGGACCTGGCCCGGCCGGACTACAATGAAGCCAACGGCAAGATTATCGCACACGACGGCCGCGAGATCGACCCGTCCGATCATCTTCCTGTAGAATCATGGGCGCCGGAGCCCGAACCAAAGCCGAGCAATCCTGCGTCTGCCACAGCTTCCCCGGCCGACTACTCGACGCCGACGTCGGGGAGAAAGCAGCTACGCATTGCCGGCCGGCCGCAGTCCTCAATGGGCAGCTCAGGCGTGACATTCAGCTCAGCCGACGATCCCGGAACCACATACACACCGACAGCACGCAACCGTCTCCAGAAGAAGGCCAATCGCCAAAGTGTCGCCGCGATTTCGGTGAGTAGCGGCACGTTGTCTTCAGGCTCACCCCAGGGGTCTACTCCGCTCGCACCGCTCACCTATCCCCGCCAGCAGCAAGACAGTTTCACGCCACCACGGTCACTGGGACGCGCGAGCACGTTCGACTATCCCAGCGAGAACCACGCACCGTCGACGTATGGCAGCAGCCCAGGCCGCACTAGCTTTGGAAGCCCGGCGCCGCCTATTCCGGCCAAGGTCCCCGTCGGTAGCAGCCAGTACAATGGGGCATCCCATACCGGGAGCTTCAGAGGCAACAGCAGCTACGGTTATGATGACAGTGGAGACCGAAGCCCGGTGATGAGCGGCGCTTTGATGCCCACCGGACCCGCAACCAGAGCGCTGCCGTGGAATGACAACAGTACAAGTGGCGGCATGCATGGCGGCCCTGGGGAGATGGCTCTTTTGGAGGAGATGAGTCGAATCGATATTGGGACGGGCCGTGCTCGTCGTCACCAAGGTCGTTGAAGTCTCCGAACAGAAACTTTGAGAGTCGAGATGGGGAAGAAAGGGTGTGCATTTGTTTCAAAAGCCAATGCTTTCCTATGTATTGCTAAGCCACGATATGCGCATAGTGGCCGCCGACGTGGGCGGTGGTATCGATGGCGCTTGATTTCTTTCTTCTGTTATGTTTCGCATATAATTGGGATCTGGGGTGGGCCGGCTTCTTGTGTTTTTTTGTTTTTTTTCACCTTTGAGATACTGGGACTCTCTAATCTTGTACCTGTTTTACGTTTGCTCTATATTTTCCCGCATTTTGCCAGCAATCGATTGGTGCTGCTGAACACAATATACGAAAGTACAGCTCATCATAAATACCCCGAGATATGCTGGCACAGTGAAGGAAGCAGGAAAAGGAAGCAGGAACCAAACAATATCTTTTATATACAAAACGGCGGCTCGTATGCAAAGGTCATGTACTACTTTTCGTAGAGATCCAGGTACGTCGAGCGGAGGCGCATCTGCAGGTGCTCGTCCGCCGTCATGATCGTGCTGTCGGGCGCCGCAATGGCCTTGCCCTTGCCCTTCGCCTCGGCCACGGCCTCGGCTACGCGCTTGCTAGGGACTGCCGACAGCGGGCTCGCGCCCGCGGGGTGGCAGAAGAAGGCAATCGAGTACCGCGGCTCCTTGGTGCTCTCGCCGGGGGTCACGTTGGCGCTATCGACACCGGGCGGCGGGAAAATCACACGGTGCACGGTGCTCCGCAGCAGCCCCCCCGTCCAGTAGGACAGCAGGTCGCCAATATTCACGAGGATGGGAGGCGCGGCGTCGGTCTCGACGCCCGTGCCCGAGGGCAGCACGGGCACGGGGACCCAGCTGCCGTCGCGCGTGTTGATTTCCAGACCCGCCTGGCCGGCCAGCCGGAAGAGCAGCGTCATGGAACCGTAGTCGGAGTGCGCGCCCGCACGGACGCCGTCGGTGTCCTCGTCGGTGTCCTGACGCGCCGGGTAGTACAGCAGCCGCAGCGTGTTGCCCGACGGGCCGGCCGCCTTGCGGTGAGCGGCGGTGAAGAAATCGGGCGGGTTGACCTCGAGGCCGATGCCCAGCAGGTCGTTGAGCTTCAGACAGAGGCGGTAGCAGAGGTCGAAAAAGGCGTCAATCTGCGGCTCGTCCGAAGCGAGCGACGGGGGCAGCGGCTGCTGGGCCTTGCCGTCGACAAACTCGCCAAAGTTGAAGGCCCTGTGTCGGAGGAAGGCAAAAACACGCCTGTGTTAGCATGAAAAACGCTGCGGCCATGCAGTGGCGCATGTGCACCGCGAAATTCAGGATTCCCTTACTCTTTCGTGTCGCCGACCTGTATGAGCAGTAGCAGTTAGCAGACGAACACACGTGCTCAGGCACCAGTTATACGATGGACGCACCCGCTGTGTCTTGGGGTCGAGCGTCTCGACGTGCATGCCCGTCCAGCCGCGGTTGTTGGTCTGGATCTTGCAGGGCTCCTTCTCCTCGGCCGGCAGCTGGAACAGCTTGCGAGACTAGGAGAGTGGTTAGCGATGACGAACGGCAATGGGCCGGGCAGCCAATGCGCGACTGCACGGCTGGGACTGGAGAACGCACAATGTCAAAAGCGCCGTTGATGGCCGACGCTGGAATGTCCAGCCCCGTGTTGCGAATGTACACAAAGCCGTGCTCGACGGCAGCCTCGACGAGAGCACGGGCCACGGCGTCGCGGGCAGCACCGCCCTCGTCGGCACCGGTGAGGTCAATGACCGGAATCGGGGCAGCAGACATGGCGACGATTGTGGTTGTTGGGCTTTAATGCAGATAGAATTGGACGGGCTCTTTCTGAAGGTGGAAGTTGTCAGGCTGTCGAGTTGTGGCGGGGCGCTCCTCCCCCGGGCGATCTCTTTCCTCTTATACGTCAAGTTACAGTTGTACAGGGCCCAACGGCGTCGAGGCGCTCTTGCCCCAGACGTTTCTGTAGTAGCGGCAATGCAATGGATACAAGATAACACTCTTCACAAGTACAATGGATAGACTGCGGCCGCTCTCACAGCTCATCCGCTGGGGAGCCCGGAGCTGCCCGTCCTGGAGCTTAGCATGCCCAAGTTCCCCTCGATGGACCCTTAGCATGTTCTGCCATTCCGAATGAGGTAAAAAGGTGAAGTAAGTCAAGAGAAGCGCCGCCAGACAAGACTATCAAAATTAGGCAAAACGAGTCGCATTGGATCCGATGAGAATGCTCGGCAGGCCCTCAAAGCCAAGCCGCTTAGTCGCCGGCTTCTCGCCCGCTGGATACTGATATACTTACTCTGCTTTGCCTACTTTGTGCGCACTTGCCCCAGTTCTTACACATCAAGTCGACTGGGGCGCTGCTTCCCGTTTGGGCAACTTAAAACGACCAGTCAGAACCGTATTACTACATATCGCATATTGGCATACACACTGAGCCCTCTGTTATCGAGGCAGATCACGTGCAGCTAAGCTGGAGCGCAACGGGTGGAGTCCTTTGGATTCGCTCTGGACTCGGGACGTGTTCTCGCCAGAATTACGCGGTGTCTCGTACGAGGACCAGTGTGCGCTGAGGCGATCTACAGGTGATGGTTCGTCGCTCCTGCCGCTTGTCTCGTCGCCCATTTCCGGCACGAGCACAGGTGAAAAAAAAAGGAAAAAAAGAAGAAAAAAAAAATCAGGGCAACAGATCACCAGCCAATTCAGAGCTGGCCGTTTGCACTTTTTCTTTGGCCTGTCACTCGCTTCGCTCTCCCAACAATTCTATCCAGACCCCTTCACTGGCACTCGTTTCCTGGATCGTCAGCCCCGTCACTCGGCATCGTGATGACCTGCTCACCCAGCTCCTGCCTGGCGAGCTAATTTGCAGCCCCTTCCTTCCCTTTTCGACACCCATTTCTAGCAGCCAGTCGCCCTTTCCTTTTCCTTTTTCCTCTCCTTTTCTCAACACCACGTCGCTCCTTCTCTCCTTCCTTCAAAGCGCACCTACGCGATAAATAAATCTATTACGAAACGCAGAACGCCCCACAGCGCCATCATCCTTTTGTTTTCGACAACACAACTCCATCATCCATCGTCCCTGGCCACAACTTCATCACCGCGGCGATTTGGGTGGCATCCCCCATCAACCCACAGCCTCCCTGCATCTCCACGGCAGGCGCCATCAGCTCACAATGGCCTCTCCAAGCTCGGCCATGAGCACGACGGAAGTTGAGCCCCAAACGTCGCCTGCACCCAACGACAAGTCCTTTGCCGCAAACGCGGCGAATCTGACCGAAGACGACGCCAGCGACCGTGAAAATGGCACCCCGCGGAACACGTCACGGAACACGAGCCGCATGATTGACACACCCGACATATCAGAACGCCGCGGTGGTGCTGGCAGTGGGCGCGGTCGGGGCCGGGGCGGTCGTGACTCCTCGGCTGCCGGTGGTGCCAATGGCGCTGGGGGGCCCGGCGTGTTCAAGGACCCCAGCGCCATTGGCAAGATCCGGCATCTCAAGAAGGAGGATGGCGAGCCGCTGTGGCGTGTCGACATCCAGTACGACTTTCTGCGGGCCGTCTTCGCCGACGAGCACTGCGTTTTTACAAACAGCTACGAGCCCGACACGATGCCCAAGCAGTGCTTCGCGGACCTGTACATTGACACAATGGCCCGAAGCAGCAAGACCAGCAAGATTTTGCACGACAAGCTGCTGACGGACCGCGAAGCGGCCAAAAACATGGCCATGGTGTGTCTGCTGGTCAACATCGGCCGCATGAACACCACGTTGAATTGTGAGTCGTCCCTCTCTCTTTCCACACACACACTCTCTCTCTCTGAACGGTGCATGTCCTTTTCGCATTCTAACACCTGCTCAGTTTTCCCCGAGATGCGTGCGCAACTACGCACCTACCATGCGATTCCCTCTCTCCAGATCCACGAGAAGCCGCAGGACTACAAGCAATTGCAGGACGCGCCGCGCCTCAAGTCCATCCTCAAGGGCGGCACAGAAGACCGCGCCGAGCCGAGGTCGCTGGACCTCCTCAAGGACATGGACGTCCCGCGTACCAACCCGGTCAACCTTTTGTTCCTGATCTGCAACAATGCCTCTAAAGTAGCCGAGCTGCACTTCCCGCCGGGCCGCGAGTTCCACGATTTGATCATGAAGACCAACCTCACGAGCGCGTCGCGCGCGCGCGCGTTCCTCTGGGTCGTGTGGTTCTACCTCGAGTCCGACTTCACCGAGGAGGGCTGCGAAGAGAACCCGTTCGGTCCGGGCGTCGACTATGGCGTCGATGTCGCCAACCAGGGCGTCCCCGTCATGGAGGAGATGACGCCTGAGCAGGAGAAGCAAGAGAACATTGACACCATGGTCGAGATCGCCTTTGGCACAAGCAAGAAGCAGCTGCGCTCCCTTATTCTGCAAGACGAGCACTTTATTGACATGGCGTCGCAAAAGCGCAGCTCGCGCCCCTCGCGCCCGTCTGCGGCTGCTACGGCCGCGGCGGCGGCCAGGGACGCGGCGGCCGTCAAGGAATCAGCCGCTGAGCTCGCTGGCACGGACAATGAGCGGTCCCTACCGCCGGCTATCCTGCCGCGCATTCGCCCTTCCAAGCATGAGAGCGACGTCGAGAGCATGCGGTCCACGCCGCCGCCACGCTCGCTGATCCGCTCGTTTGGCGGCGGTGCCGCCGCAGGTTCTGCGCGTCGTGGCGGGCCGCACAAGTTTTCGTTGGGGGATGGGGGCGGGGGGCCGTCGCCGGTGCGTCAGCCTCCGCTGATACAGCAGCTTCACCAGCAGCAGCAGATGCAGCAGACGCGCCGCAAGCGCAAGTCGGCGAAGCCTGACGGCCGCAGCAGCCGGCACCGCCGCGACGACGACGACGATGACGGCGACGATGACGACGTCCGCGCCAACACATCGCTGGCGCCCAGCCGCAAGCCGCGCCCTCCGACGGCGCACCAGATTGCCGTGGAGAACAACCGCAAGCAGCGGATTGAGTACCTGCTGTCGCGCGGCATGCACCGCAAGCACCACCGGTCGCGCAAGACGCGGCGGACCGAGGGCGCGATTGTGCGGGCGCTGCGGCGCCTGGACGAGGTCGAGGACCCGTTTGAGAACAGCGAGGACGAATCCAACCTGGCGTTCAACCGTGAGCTGTTTACGTTTACAATGGGCGCGCCGCAGAGCATGGCGACGGGCACCGCGTTCCGCGAGCGCGGCTTCCACGGCCTGGTGCAGATCAAGACCGAGCCGGAGGACTTTGGCGAGGAAGTGTCGGCGTATGCCTCGGCGATGCGGCGCGCCTGCCGTCGGCTCAACCGCTGGGAGACGGACGGGATGGCCAAGAACATGGTGGTGCCGACAATCAAGCGGCCGCGCGTCAACGTGCCGGCGGTCGAGGACGAGTACCGGGACCCCAACGAGACGGAGGAGGAGCAAGACCTGGACCAGCCGGGCGGCGATGCCGACGCGTCCATGTCCATGTCGTTTGTCGAGACGACACCCGTTCCGGCAGCCAAGAAGCGGCGCGCGGCCGACGCAACGGGCCAGGTTCCGGCCGTGGCAGCCCTGAGCCGTGCGCGCGGCGGCCGCGTCTCGTCGGGCCGTGTTCCTAGCAACACACCGGCCGCCATTTCGGCGCGGCGGCGGCGCGCGGCCAAGGCAGCCGCGCTTCTGGCCAGTAGCGGCGGCGGCGACGTGGCGACGCGCGATGCCGGCGGCCGGAACGGCAGTGCGGGCATTGGCGCGGACGACGCCGGTGGCGAGGATACGACGGTCCTGGCCAGCGGCGCAGAGGGCGAGGGTGACGCCGACAACGATGTGGACGCTGCCGAAGGTGCCGACGGTGCTGACGGAGCCGACGACACAGAGGACGTGGCGTCGGTGTCGGCCGCGCCGGTCAACAAGACACGCGTGACGATCAAGAAGAAGACGTCCGGCGCGCCGGCCCGCGGCAGCAGTCGCGCGGCCAAGGTGAAGCGCGAGGACGAGGGAGGCGACGAGGCGGCCAATGGGGCCGGTGGCGGCGAGGACGACGAAGACGAGCTCAACGACGTGGATAAGGCGCTGCTCGGCATGGGCTCGGACTCGGAGTAGGCCTTTGCACAGACGATGCTGCATGAGGAAGAGAGCTGTTCCCTGAGTCTTGGTTCTTTTGGTTTGTAGACTTTGTACGAGAAAGACGGACGGAGTAGGATGTTCTTTTCACGGGTGTCTATTGTTCTTTTGTCTGGCTGGGGACAACTTTGTCTATTTTTTTTATTTTTTTATTTTATTTTTGTCACTCGTCGACTTGGGACAGCAACATTGGGGGTTATACAGACGATGTCGCTGGAGACTTTGAATCTGTTTCAGTATTGCGCTGCTTTCACTTTCACGTGGCGATGGATACGGGTTCTTACGAACAGGGTGCACGGTGTTTTGTTATTGTTGATGCTTGCATTTATTAATCGGTACATCCTAGCCTCATGTATATCGATGCGTTACTGTCGCCACTGTGATGTCTGAAATGTGGCTTGATGTCCTGTTTTATTAATAAATACACATTTTACAATTAGAGACTGCGCACCTGCCTTTCTTTACACCACCTGTGCTTCGCAAAAGGCAAATCATCGGTAACAGGCGTCGATGTCCGCCGATAACGGTGCCACTTCTTTACTCCTTCAGTATGTCTACGACGTAATGCTTTTTTCTCCTTCCGGAAGTGGCGTTCGCTCCACAGATGGGGAGGAGGGCAGCAAAACGGAAAACAAAACAGGAAACAAGGCTGGTCGATTCCATGCATTTATTTTATTTTATTTTATTTTATTACTTATTTTATTACTTATTTTATTTATTTATTTGGAGAGTCAGTCGCGCACACCAAGAGCCTGGTTTATGGTTCCGATAGCATGTCGGAAGGATTCCCTCAGGTGCCCTCGTGCCCTCCCATTGGCCCCCTCCCTCTGCTCCACATTTCTCGGACACCTTGTAGACGTGCTTTTCACCCCTGTAGGGCTAGTTGCAGTGGTCAAGTCATATTTCCTGCAGCATCCTTACAGGCTCCAATGAGCCGAGTGTGAGAGACGAATTCAGTCCCCAAGACGATCCAATTCCACAGCGGTATCTCTGTGGTCTTCAGCAGTGGCCATTCAGTTGTTTGACACTGGACAAATGTGTTTCTATAGTGAGCCTTCCCCTTGCTTTGGCCTGTATGATTGTATGGCACTGTTTGTCCGCCGTTTTGGGCCGTTCGTTTTCGTATTGTTTGCTTTCTTCGCTTTGTATTTTGTATTACCAATCAAGAGCGAAACCAAGCATTTTCGTCGTGCTGTTGGCGTTTTGGCGCACTTGTAGGACACAAGTCTAAATAAAAACCGGGGGTAATGCGAGTCCAACCGAAATGGACAAAACGTCGCCAATACTGCCCAATCCCTGCGGGAAGTCGGTGCAGATAACGTCCGACATTGCATTCTGTAGTGCGGAGCAATACTCCATACTCCGCAGGTGGTTCCTGGATCGCATTCTCTGGTGAGCTTTCTGAACGACACATTGCACTCCAGATATTCCGTCAGATGTGAGATGCGAATATCTTCGAATGTGCCCACCGCCCCAAGCAGTGCAGGTTGTCCACGCGATTGTCTGCTGTCGCAGTGGGTAACTGCCGGCATATGTCTGTGTCGTACCCACCCGCCCCGTCAAAGCTGGCCTGGAGAAGGAGCATGCGTCGGGGCCGGTGCCCGGCATACGCCGTCGAATATGTGGTGCATGAGGCGGATGGACTGACAGGTAGGCAACGATGGTCGGCACCGACTAGGGGGACAAGTCGAGTCATCTGGCGTCAACTGCCGCCAAGACTAAAGGTTGAGGGGGCCAGGGAGGTGGACGGTGCAGGGAGGTAAGGAAGATGAAGCAGGGAAGAAGGCGGAGGGACGGAAAGCAGGCCGGTGATGTTGGCCAGTCATGTTGCAAGGAAACATCGTACTCCAAGTCCCGTCTCCGAAAGCATGGGTAAGTCGGATCAGATGGCGGGGATTCAACAATTCAACGAGAACGGTTGTACGGTATGCCATGCAGGGCCATGCGCGTCAACGTTGCGCGCCCTGCCAGGTCGTGTCGTCGTGACGCGCCGCAACAGATGGAGCCTTGGTTTTTCTGTTTCCTTGGTTAATGGGGCTGGCCAGCCGTGCCGAAAAGCAGATACAACGTCGGAGCTTTTGCATGTCCGTGGCGCACATACGAAGTACTGTGTATTTTTTATTTTTTTGTAAAGGCTGCCGTGTGCCGTGCATGGACGGGAGTCGGACTCGAGTTTGTGCTTACTGTGTGCGCGGCCGTCTGGCTAGCCTGCTGCCAGCTTGCACCAACCTCGGAGTCCAAGTCCCATCCTCGGAGCACCAACCACGGGAGACGTCATTAGACGTCTTTCTTTCTCGTGGCCGGCACCGACACCGGCCAAGAAGCAGCCGCCTCATGGTGGCCGACTTGGACGAATCTTGGGGCTCGTCTTTGACTCTTCTTTGACTCACGGACGCTTGACTGGGCGGGTAGGATCCATTTCCTGCCCCGGCCCGTCATTGGTTCCCTGTGTTGTCTTTTGGTGCTGTGCGAGCCGTTGGATTTGTGGTGCGCATTCCCAGTCTCATTTTCGTGCGTCGTGGCGTTTTCGTCGAGTCTTTACCGCCTTTTTCTGCGCGGCCAGGGGTAAACAACGGCGATGCCCAAACGGAGATAGCACAAGCATCGTACGCGAAGACGTCCGCGAAAATACGCGACAGGGACAGCGTGGACGTCGTTTTCGCCATTCACCATTCGTAATGTGTTGCTCCGTATTTCCAGGAACAAAATCGCTTGTGGTTTACGCGAGCAACCCTGCCGGAATGCAGCAACCTCGCGTGTCCAAATCATTTTCTTCGATTTCGTTGCTTTGTTCCGCGCCAGTGTTGCTCCACAGTGGCTTTGCATTGGTCATGCAGTGGTGATAGCCTTTCCGGTGCCGATTTGCCGGGCCGTCCAACCAACCGCTGTTGGCCAACACAAGTACCCCCCTGCTGAAGGCTTGGCCTGGTCTCTCAACAAAGTCCATCTAGTAACTGCACGCCGTGGCTCGATATTCTCGTTGCGCTTTGGTGATTTCGTCCTGCGGCTCAGCTCAGCCTGGGACGGCAACCCATAACCCATGTGCCCGGTCGTTCCACACGCCGGCAGATTGACGAGCTGGCGACCTGCCCATTCGTTTGTGGACCGCCATGGTCAAATACCCAGACGGCTGCCGCTGTGACTCAGCTCCGATTGCGTGCGACACCGTTTTCTGAGAGATCCACGGCCGGAGCAAAAATCGGGGATAGGGCTTGTTCAGTGGTTGATCCAAGACCTGCATCAAGTCCTGCATCCTCAAGATTGACTGGAATTGTCGAGTCGGCTCCATTCACTGACTTTGCCATGTTTTCTTGTCGCCGGTTCAGGCAGTGTATGGGCGAAGGGGGCGACAGTGTGGCTAGCTTGCTGCCTGCCGCGGGCCCTTGCCGCAAAGAAAGCATCGGTTCTGTTTTCTGTGATGGTAGCGAACCAGTGGACGGTGACCCAGGAAATCAACGCAATCCTGACAAACCCATAACCCATCCCGCCTAGCACGGGCGGCCCACGCACCTGTCGGCACCCTCAGTCGCCGTCACCTCCGAGTCCTAGCACCGCACCACCTTCTGGAATCGGCCTAAGCGTCCTCCAGCCCGCTCTCCCCAGACGCCCTAGAAAAAGAACTAGTTAGATAATACCGTCGCATGTATTCTGTAACTCCGTACGACATCCATGACGGCTTGGAACACAGGAGAGAAAAAGAGGAGTGGCGGATAAAAAATAAAATAAAAAATAAAAGTCCGCCCGCAATCGATGCAAACTAACCACAACCCGCGTGGCAATCAGGACTTTGAGACGGAGAACCTACCTTGTATTTCTGTGCCGTAGTTTCCTCCTGTCTTTTCTTTTTCTTCTTTTTTTTTTGATCCGTTCCTTGTGTTCCTTTCTTTGTCGTGTTCAGCTGCTGTCGCTTTGGCTCGCTCCCTTCTTTATTTAATTAGTAGCCACGCTCCTTGTTTGTTTTGTATTGTCCCTCTCTGACGTCGACTGGCGCCGATCGACGGAACAAACCTTTAGGACAATCAAGACAAAATCAACAACGCATCATCGTCAGACCTATTGCCAAGGTGGACCATCTGAGCCGCCGTTTTGTTTGACCAGACGCCTTGGCAGCCGCATTTGGACGACATCGCCGCCCAACTGCGTGTAAGCCCACCATCATGGGCGACTCCGAATATGAAAACGAAAAGGAGCACGAGCGCGAGGTCGCCGATGTCCCCGACCCCATCAGCAGTTCCGTCGCCGCCGCTGCCGCCAACAAAAGCGACGAGGATGTCATAAGCGAAAAGGACGTTGCCATGGACGCCATGGGCGCCATGGACCAGGACTCCGACTTCGACGACGACGACGACAGCGGCCAGGTGGGCCGCGCCCAGCAGAGCCAGCAGGAGGAGATGCACCGCGTCCGCAGCACGGCCACCGACGCCAGCGCCACCAGCGCCGCCACCTCGGCTGCTGCTGCTGCTGCTTCCGCACTCCCGCCAAAGCGGTCGTTCATGCACAGAATCAACCCCTTGCGCTGGGGCAAGGTCCCCGCCGTCCCCGACGAGCGCACCGTGTGCCCGGAAGACAAGGCCAACTTCTTCAGCAAGCTCATCTTCCACTGGCAGGGCCCCCTCATGCGCACCGGCTACTCCCGCCCCCTCGAGCTCAACGACATCTGGCTCGTCAACCCCAGCCGCGCCGTCGAGCCCATGACCGACCGCGTCCGCGCCTCCTTCAAGCGTCGCGTCGCCCGCGGCGACAAGTACCCCCTCCTCTGGGCCATGCACGAGGCCTACTTCTTCGAGTTTTGGCTGGGCGGCATGTGCCAGCTCTCGTCCTCCATCTTCCAGGTCATGTCGCCCTTTACCCTGCGCTTCTTGATCCAGTTCGCCACCGATGCGTACAACGCCAGCAACAATGGCGGCCCGGCGCCCCACATCGGCCGCGGCCTCGGCCTCGTCTTTGGCGTCACCATCATGCAGATGCTCCAGAGCCTG